TTCCTCATACTAGATCTTAAGTCATCATTTAAATTTAAACAAATCAACCAGATACTTCAATATGTAATATATTAATATTTAATACTCAAAGCTTCTTGGGGAATTAGAGAATTTATATTAACTCTTAATGGAATTCCAAACATTAAAAATCTCAATGACTTAAACTTCTCTAATCAAAACATTTCTCCTTGGAAAATAGCTTTATAAAATTCTCCTATTTGGTTATGTGGATCTAAATCTTATATTGGAGGAATTAATGCATTAGATAAGGATTCATAATTGAGAAAAACATTTAAAAATATACCTATTCATCTACAGATTAGAATAAGTTTCTCTATTGTGACTATTCAATCAGCACTTAGATAGACTTAATTCATTTTATAGTAAAATATTAATGATTCTAAAAAAGTGGATTATCTGTAAATTTAAGATTTAAAATATTGTGGAGGTATTGAATATACTCATCTCTTTAAATTTGATTATGTTTTAGATCATAAAGAGGATGATATATTTATACTACTTTATATTGAATAAATGAATGCATAAGAATTTTGGAGTTTTAGAGATTTCTCATTGTCATATAATAATGAAAAAACACAATCATGAGATTTTATTATTTTTATTATTTTATTAAAAAATAGTACTCTATATAAATTTAATGACTTATTATAAATTCCTAATCTCATTCAAACCCTGTAATCAATTTGAGAATTATATTCAAATAACTATTATCTTAATCTATTCTAGAAAAATGATATGAATAATTGGTTTTTTAAATTACAAATAATTAATTAATATTAATCAAATTTACTTTTCAATTATATTTTATTTAGATAAATTTTTTTTAATTAATTTTAAAAAGATTTTTTCAGTATCTTAGATATTTCCAAATTGAGTTGATTATTAAAACTATTAATTAAAAACCCCAAGACCATAAATATTATTAGACCATGTCCTAAGTAATATGAATTTTATTCAGGTATTTTTTCTTAGTTTATTTAAAATTCTGCTTGAATTAAATATTATTTGAACTATTATCTATGAGATCTCAATTGGCTAACTTAATTGTAACTAAAAATACGCAAACAAATAGATATTCATTTACATTCAATAAATACTTTATTATCATTTTGGCAATAAATTATATTTAGAATAAATAATCATTACAATCATACTCTTTTATCATAGAAAAAAAGTTATCATCTTTATATGTAATTATAATTTTTAAACCAACTAGGATTACTATAGTTTAATATATAATATATACAAAAATATAAATTAAACTATTTCTATATAAACCGAATATTATTCTTTATAAATATAAGCATGTCTATTTTGAAGCGAGAAAAACTATATTTTGACTTCAAAAAAACCCAAATAATTTAGTTTTGGATTTTATTAACCATTTAATTTATGTTGTTTCAACGAAATTTTGTTCAATTTCAACGACTTTACAAAATTTATTGATGTTTTAATTCAACAGTAACAAATTTAACTAAAGATTATACACTAAATATTTATTAAACTATCGCTTTAATCCTTAAATTTAAAAAATATTAATATGATCACTTTCCTTGTTATAATTTAGTTGTTTGTTTCAATATCAATTTAAAATAATAGAAGTTTAAAAAGTAAAAATAACTTTATAAAATAATAGGATATAGGGAAAGAAAAGCATATATTTTTATAAATAAAATTTAATTCGAATCCCTTTTGAATGTTAAAATTCTATTTCTAATTGAGCATTAATTTTATTAACACTTAAAATATCCAAATTATACAACTTAATTTTTAATTCATTTATATAGCATATAATAATATATAAGGAACTCATTTTATTTGAGTTGATTCATTAGATATAAAACTATTTATTTTTGAACGATATTTTTTTCATAATTATCAATATATAATCAATTATAGAAATTCACAACTTTGTCTTATAATTAAATTTATTAAAAAAATCAAGCTAAGATGTATAATTATTATAATAAATAACAATAGGTATATTGTTTGGAAATAAATTGCAAACAAAATAAAATTAATTTTTTATTCTATATTAGTTCTCATTTTTTTGCTACTATTCTTGAAAATATTAGCCTATTTTATTTAATTTCAGTTTACAAATATTAAATTAATCTTAACATTAAAATAATTTACTTATTCTTTGTTTTGAATTCTCATTTTATTAATGAAATGAGAAAATTTTTGAGGATTATTAAGAAAATTAGAAAAAATATTTATTATAATCAAAATTAATTCTTTTGATTAGTTTATATTCAGTAATTATTTAGGCAATAATGTTTTTTTGTTATCAATGACAATTATTTAACAATAACAAATATAATTACAAACCTCATTTGTAAAATGAGATTGGCTTTATTTTACGAAATAGCATCTACTATCAAAATACTACTGTTTTCTTGATTATAAAAATTTTAAAGGATTTTATTTAAATTACAATTTGTATATTATTGATAAATAGAATTTTTTTTGATTCTTGATCATATAGATATTGATGTAAAACTCAGATAGGAATAATTAAGAGAATTTAGGTTGTTGGAAAAGATTTTGCAATAAAATTAAGAATTGTTACTCATAATTGAATAGGATTTAAATAGATAGAAGAAATAGCTAAAATTCAATAGTAAATGGCAATCAGATTGGTTAAAATACTAATTAATAATTAGATAGGGATTATATGTAAAGGATTCGTGTATAACAAATCAAAATAACTGCTGGATCATAATTAGAATAAAATTAATAAGATAGAGGGTCTTTTTAAAATAACTATATAGCTTGTAACTTATGTGATTAAATAATGTAAGAGAATGTTTACTAAATTCATATAAAAATGTGTGAATAATAGATAAAGAATGGTAATTTATTTGAATAAGAATGTCAATAATGTGGTTTGATAATAATTAAGCTTTATTATAATGATCATCTCGATATTTGTGAGGCTAATTGCTGGATTTAAGTAAAATGCCCTTATTGTTTTATTGCAGTTTTTAAAGTTGATCTCAAGGATCATATATCAAAATGTTCTTTCTTTTTAAATCAGTAATAAAAAGAAAAAGAAGGAATATAAAATTGTGCAGTCTGTTTAGAAGATGTAATAGAAAATAAAAGTTAATTAAACTGTTCTCATATATTTCATCAAGATTGTATTAACAATTGGCTTATCTTACATAGAAACTGCCCTATTNTCATTTATATAGCATATAATAATATATAAGGAACTCATTTTATTTGAGTTGATTCATTAGATATATAATTGATGAATTTATAAACTGTTATCATTTATCTTGAAAAACTAAATGGACTGTAAAACTATTTATTTTTGAACGATATTTTTTTCATAATTATCAATATATAATCAATTATAGAAATTCACAACTTTGTCTTATAATTAAATTTATTAAAAAAATCAAGCTAAGATGTATAATTATTATAATAAATAACAATAGGTATATTGTTTGGAAATAAATTGCAAACAAAATAAAATTAATTTTTTATTCTATATTAGTTCTCATTTTTTTGCTACTATTCTTGAAAATATTAGCCTATTTTATTTAATTTCAGTTTACAAATATTAAATTAATCTTAACATTAAAATAATTTACTTATTCTTTGTTTTGAATTCTCATTTTATTAATGAAATGAGAAAATTTTTGAGGATTATTAAGAAAATTAGAAAAAATATTTATTATAATCAAAATTAATTCTTTTGATTAGTTTATATTCAGTAATTATTTAGGCAATAATGTTTTTTTGTTATCAATGACAATTATTTAACAATAACAAATATAATTACAAACCTCATTTGTAAAATGAGATTGGCTTTATTTTACGAAATAGCATCTACTATCAAAATACTACTGTTTTCTTGATTATAAAAATTTTAAAGGATTTTATTTAAATTACAATTTGTATATTATTGATAAATAGAATTTTTTTTGATTCTTGATCATATAGATATTGATGTAAAACTCAGATAGGAATAATTAAGAGAATTTAGGTTGTTGGAAAAGATTTTGCAATAAAATTAAGAATTGTTACTCATAATTGAATAGGATTTAAATAGATAGAAGAAATAGCTAAAATTCAATAGTAAATGGCAATCAGATTGGTTAAAATACTAATTAATAATTAGATAGGGATTATATGTAAAGGATTCGTGTATAACAAATCAAAATAACTGCTGGATCATAATTAGAATAAAATTAATAAGATAGAGGGTCTTTTTAAAATAACTATATAGCTTGTAACTTATGTGATTAAATAATGTAAGAGAATGTTTACTAAATTCATATAAAAATGTGTGAATAATAGATAAAGAATGGTAATTTATTTGAATAAGAATGTCAATAATGTGGTTTGATAATAATTAAGCTTTATTATAATGATCATCTCGATATTTGTGAGGCTAATTGCTGGATTTAAGTAAAATGCCCTTATTGTTTTATTGCAGTTTTTAAAGTTGATCTCAAGGATCATATATCAAAATGTTCTTTCTTTTTAAATCAGTAATAAAAAGAAAAAGAAGGAATATAAAATTGTGCAGTCTGTTTAGAAGATGTAATAGAAAATAAAAGTTAATTAAACTGTTCTCATATATTTCATCAAGATTGTATTAACAATTGGCTTATCTTACATAGAAACTGCCCTATTTGCAAAAAAACATAAGACAAGTGATTATAAAAATTAAATTTATAATATTTATTACTTTATAATATATTTTACCTATAAAATTTTAGATTATTTCATGATTATTAAATAAATTATTACTACTAAGATTTTGACAAATAATTTGATATGATTTGGGATTATGTCATTTAATATAAAGAGAAATATACTTCAGGTAATCGTTATAAATATTATTTTCCAAAAGGATACTATGTATTTGATTTGAAAATTAACAATATGTTGAAGATTTAAATTAAAATTCGATAAAAATAGATGGTAATAAAGATAAATGAAGAATAATGTTTCATGGAACAAAGTAAGAATTTGTAAAAGGTATAATAAAAACAGAATTAAATCTATTGTTTAAAGAAATATGGAAATAATGTAATAATAGGAGATGTAATATATTTCTCTGATTAATTTAAAGTTTGTGTAGATGACATAATCCACAAAAAATCCATGATAATTAAAAATAATTTCTTAGTCATTGATTCTAATGATTTAAGACCTTTTAGATTATTAATATATGAATAAAAATGATTTATTAAAATAAATAATATTTATTGTTTATTTAAATTATTAAAAATTATTTAAAAATATTCCCTCTTTTTTCTTATATTACCTTTTTTCCTTTTAAATTGAATTATATAATGATTTTATTACCAAGTTATATAGTCACTGCAAACTTCTTCTTAATTTAAGATTGTTACGATTCATATTATTTCGTGGACTTATTGTTTTTCTATTTAGATTATAGTTTAATATTTGATAATATTGATCAAATTTAACTAAGATTACTATGACTTCTTCATAATGTCCTTGAAGTGATATGAGAAATTGAAGAATCTGGAATTTTTATGAACTTTCTCCCACACTTTTAATTAATCCTACAGATCATATTAAAATCCCAAAATTAGTGTTTTATTTTGAAAAGTAACTTTAAATTTAGGGAAGCAAATATTGATTTGTAATGTGTAATACTAACTTTAAAATTGAATTTCACCAACTATAATTATCCATCAAGATTTATTTATCATTTCCACAAGATACTCTATTTTTATGTTCTAATCTAGTAATAGATCTTCATTCTAGTTAACCATCCAATTTATTCCATTTAAGGCAAAATGAATTATGCTAAAAGTTATATGAAAGTTTGAGAGTCTTCTTAGAAAATCATTTAAATTAATAAATATTCTATTATAGCAATCTTTACATAGCCTATTGCAATGCTTATCTAACCTTTATATCTTAATTTAAATAGCGTTTTCAAAGGATCAAAAACAATTACTATGCTTATAATTTTTAACCGAATCAAAATTACTTAATTTCTTCCTATCAAACTTATTCAATGTCTTTGATCAAGCTTGAAACCTTATGTTCTTATTAATTTTTTATAAATTAAAATATGAAAATATTTAAATGATTTATTTTTATAAAGATAAAATATTAAAGGGTTAAATTTATTAATTAAAAATCAAATTTTTAAATTACTTTTTATTTTTAGTTTATTTATATTAAATTTTATACCTTTATTGATACATGATACATTTGATCATCAAAGTTAAAGATTCTAATTTTATAAGCTTTCAATTTATAATCGAACTCTCAAATTATATTTTCCATTTAAAAAAATTATCATAAATATTAAAGATTTAACTTACTTGAACTTTGCAATCTTCAAGTAATCTTAAAATTCTTATTAAAATCTCCAATAAAAAATATTTAGTCTAAATATACTAAAAATAAAGGGAGTTTACAATAAATAGTAATTCTCAATTATATTGGAAATTAAATATCAATCTAATTTATAATTAGAGAGCAAATTGACAATAGTTTAAGGAGAAAGAACAATAAATACTTAATTGAAAATAATTATTCTGATGATAGAAAATATATTTCAAAATAATTGTTGTATTTATAAGGTGTCAAGATTATTGAATTTATAATAATTTATTATTAAATTTATACATTAAGTTTAATCAATATATATTGAAGTTAATTTGAGCAAGTTTACAAATAATTTATAAATTTTTATCTCAAATAACAGATATTAATTATATAATCAAAAAAACAAAAGAATATGGGATCAAGAATTACAAAAAATTGATATTATGATATCTATTTTATATCGAATTTCTTTTTGTGATGAGTTTGAATTTAGTTGTATGAATTGGATGATAATAAATATAAGTTAAGATTATAAGAATCAATAAATGTAAAATATAACTTAAAATATAATCTTGTATGAATTCATTCAAATCTTTTGGCTGTTAATAAGACTGATTATCCTGGAATTTCTGTACTTAATAATTTTTGTTGATAATTTTATATGTTATTCATAGAATTAAAAAGAGAACTAAATATAAATAAATAAATACGGTCTATTTTTAATTTAAGCTTTAGAAACAACAATAAGATACTTTCTTAATTTGGTTAAATTTTCTTTAAGTTTTTAGTGTTTTTTTTATTATTCATCTATAAATTATTCAAACATTTTTGATGCATATCTTAATTTTAAATGCTTAAAAGTTAAATGTATATATTTCAAGGCAAGTAATCTATATTTATTGTAGTAAATCTATAATATATTATAGATGAATGGAAAAGAAATAAGAAGAAAGAGTAACATAAGAATAATTTAAAGAGCAAGAGATATTACTTGATTATTAAGCTTTTCACTTTCATATTTAATAGCAGATAAAAATATAGTAATAGAGCATATTTAACCAGTGTGTAAATCTAATTTATTAAATTTAGAAATTATGTAAGGTTGTTATCTAACTGCTAATTTTTGATAACAAATCATGCATAAACCAATTAATGATGCTTTTAGATGTATGTTAGTTTCAAAATATGTTAAAATAAGGATCATTATAGCTCTTTTGATCAGTTTTATTTATTCCCAATAATAACTTTTTTTTTCATATTCATTAAAAAGATAACAAATGTGTGGTCTTAATGTATGCAAATTTAATTCTTATCTTTTGAAATACATTAAAAAAAACAAAGAAAGAGGAATTAAACAGCCAAATATTAATAATCCAGGTATTACTAAATAAAACATCCATAAATGATGAGTTTCTGAATCAAATTCTAAAGTTAAATCCCCTTATATATATTTAATATTGGCTATTTCTCTATATGAAACTACAGAACATAACCTAAATTATAATTAACTTTATACATTTTAATAAAACCTGCATAATTGAAAATATATAAGCAAAGTAAAGTGTTTGAAATGATATTGGATTTGAACTTTGAACGGACTAAAATAGAAAATACTACCAATCCAAAAATAATAATTATAAATTGCCATAAAATTAACATCAATATGAGAATAATTTTTGAATAGATTACTTGAATTTCTATAGCATCAGATAAATAACAATCTAAATTATTAGCCATTGAATAGGAGGTATTACTAGCTTAATCAACAAAGTTAAATTAAAAAGAAAAGTTAATATTAAATGTGAAAATCACAGAAAATATCCATAAATAATTTAAGAACATTTTAATTAAAATACTTACAAGATCTACAATAATAAAAAATAATACCTTAATTTAATTTAAAAAGTATTTAGCTGAATCTTTCTTTGATTTTCAGAAACAAAAATAGATCATTAGATTTTTCAATACTTTTTAAAGTAAGTACTATTGACACAATTGCCCTAAAACTATTAATAATAGATTATACCAAATTGAATTTAAAATGAAAGGCATAATACTATCTTCAATACCAAAACAAGGCAAACATGATGAGTTTTATAAATTTTTTAAATATTTACCTTCTCCTCTAATATCATATATATCGCATTCTTCACACAATGCTCCAACATGACCTTTACTACAAAGTGAATCTCCTTAATCCCACCCTCCTACACAAAAACTTGTTATTTTAAAACATAAGGAAGACTCATCTGATAAATAATGAGGTCTCCAATAACCTTCTTTTAATTTAATTTGATTTGAAGTTATCTCTTCAAACTTCTCCTTATCAAATATAGAACATTTATTAGAATCATATGTTACAGAATAAAAACCTTAAGTTGATTCACAAATCTAACATCCCTCATCTATATAGAATTATCCAAGTTAGCATTTGTAACTTTTAGCTTATATAATATAATTTAGAGGATTTTAATAATTTTAAATTGAACAATAAATAGATATTTCTAAGTATTTGTAATCTGAGTTATAAGGGTCAAATTTAAAAGATATTGGACTTAAATCAAAAGTGCTTTATGCAATATTATAAAGTAATTCAATATTTTAAAGACTACCATTAATAATTGTATCATTCAGTTATATAATATGATCATTAATTTTACAGGTTGAATTAATCAAGTCTTTTTGTAATTCATTTAAACTATTTTTAAATTGTATTGTCATTTGTTAAATCTATTTATATGTTTATTATAATTTAGGAATAGAGATAGAAAATGATTGAATAGCTTATCCACTAGGTATCATTAAATAATCAGATTCCATTCTATTTTCTTGATCAATAGTCTAATAAGGTTATATTTTTAAAATGTTTGTCTAAACTTTATCACTATTTAATTTCAATGACTTCATTTCAAATTAATTAATAAGTAAAACTAAATTTGTTGGACTTTCAACTAGATTATTAGCAAAATTATAAGCTTCATTAAATTTAAGATATGTTTAAATAAAATTTTAACTATTTAAATTATTATCTCCTTTTAAATAGATTCCTCCTCCTTCTTAGGCTTGATTTCCTATAATAATAGAATTTTTAATTATAAATTAATCATTATTTAATTCTAAGTATAAACTTCCTGCTCTAAAACTGGCAATATTTTAAATAAATTTGCATGATATTATATTTATTGGCCTATTTGATGAGATTGCAACTCCTTAATTTCCTTTATTTCGAATAAATGATGAACTTAATATTTGAATCTTTGAAGAGATTTTATTTTCATCTAAAATTTTTAAACATCCATAATATTAGATATTGTTATAATAACAGTTTAATTATAATATTGTGATTTTTTAGAAAGATATTAAATTAAGATAAAATAAACCATCAGTGCAATGTAAACAATTATTTTCAATTATTTCTAGTTTATTAAAATAAAATGAATGCTTATTTGATTGACTTTAAATATGGATTAATGAAAGTTAAGTTGATGAATGTTATTCTAGAGCATTTATAATATAATTTAAATAATATGGATCTGATATCTGTTTTTATTATTTATTAATAATAACACATCCTTCAAGTATATAATCATTATTCTACAAAAATATTCTTTGAGATCCTACTTACTATATTGAACTATTCTGAATATTTAATTATTGTATCATTGATATTGTTTCAATATCTATCATTTAAATTATACTTATCAAAGTAAAAGAGTATATTTGTTATACAAATCTTGCTTCAAATTTTTAGAAATCTATATTAGGTGCATTTATAATTTTTAGAATTGGTGATATATAAAGACCTTCAAATCTAACATTTCTGATACGTATTGAACTACTTTTAATGTAAAATAATGAATTTTAACTACTGGAAATGCGTAGAAGTTCTGTTAAGCTAAGATTTCCTATTTGTTAAAATAGTTATATCCATGATTCCTTATTTTGTTATACAATTATATTTTCTAAATTTAAGGTGTTTTTATACACTAATTCATCAGAGAATTCTACAAATAAAATTTGATTCATCAAAGATAAACAATCAAATATCTAAATTTCAGTTAAATTTATCTTATTTTTGATTTTTGAAGGTTATATTGATAAAATAGATGATGACATTCTATTGTATACATTCTTAAAAATAGAGTTTTAAATTTCTAAATTTATAAGGCCATCTGATGAGTACAAACTTACACAACCTGAACTATTTGAAACTTGTCTTAAATCTTATAGAATATCATTTACTATAAATGATCTAAATATGACTATTCCTAAATCTAAAGCTGTTATCTCAAAAATAGCACTCTTAAATGCAAGAATATTATTAAAGTTACAATTTAAACAATTAAAAATGGATGTTGTTATTTGAGCTACTCCTCCTATATTCGATATATTAAAAATCTTAAAGGCTATTTAATTAATTTATTATTAATCATAAAATTTGTCTAATTTTAATCCATAAAATCTTTCCCATTGTTAATATGATAAAACATTATGATTAAGAATTTTTAAATCTTAAATAAATAATGTTTTTGAATTTATATAGATAAATGTGTTGGATGAATTTGTAAAAGCATTTCTTTCAGACACAAAATTTAACATTTATATCTTACTTGTTTTTATATTAAGATAAAGTAAAGAAGAGTAGGACTAAAAAAAATTATTAGCTATTGAATGAAAACAATTTTCAATAAATTAAATCTTCCTAATTTTAACATCTATATCCCATTCTGAATTTAAAGCTAAAAGAGAGAATGATTTCGTAGATTCTTTAAACAATAATATATTTCCTCTAAAAGTAAGATCAATAATTTCTAATCTTGTAGAATTAAATTCTCTTCTTTATGATAAATCTATAAATGATTCATCAGAAGTAAATTGATTAATTATATTCACAGAATTTATTATTAATGAATAAAAGCTTTCTATTTTTAAAAGTTAGTTTTTCTCATTAGTTTTAACTTGACAATTTTATGAGAAAGGAACTTAATAAACTTAAGCTGAATTTTCATAAATTAAATTTTCTACTATAATTTCATTACTTTCAAAAATGTGGAATATAAGAAGATTTTTTAAATCAATAAAAGTTATATCTTACATATACATTATAGAGCATCTTATTTTAAAAAGAAATTATTTAATATCAGTATTATTTACTCCTGTTATTTCTTTAAAGGCTGAATTCGATATCATAAATTCAACCTAACTAAACTCCTAATTACTTTATAAAGACAAGAATCTAGAGTTTATAAATTGGGTTTTTTAAGTTTTAAGATATTTAAAAAGGACAGAAATGGATTAATCTTCATTTTTCTCAATCATCTAAATAAACTTTGATTCTTAAAATTGACAATCCAAAATTTAGATATATGAAAATGAGAAATTATATTAAAAAACAAATAGTTCAGAAAATAGCAATATATTAGATGAGAATAATAAGTGTTTGAGTGAAAAAGCAACATGATTTTTACTTTAAAGAAAACTTGAATTTGTAAAATTAGTTCTGATAATAGTAACATTGAAGAAATCAAATATACTTAATTGTTAAAAATTTGAATCAATTAAAAATAAAGAAGAGTTAGTAAATTAACTATCTTCTATAAGTATTTCTTTAGCATCTAACAGAACTTTATTATTTGTAGATTAAAATAAATTCGAATTAATGAAAACACATTTTTGAATAATAATTCTTTCTAAAACAATGATTCCATTAAGGTCTTGGCCAAATAGATTTAAAATTGATGAATTTTCAAAATTTGTATTTACTAATGAGAAATCTTAAAATGTAACATCACCAAATGCATTATTTTAAAACATAGCTTATATATTTTTCATTTCGCTATCTATAAAGGTAACATTTGTCAATTTTAATTCCACATTTGTCGAATTATTTTGCAGAATAAATTTATAACTTTATTTATTTTCATAAATGATGCTATTAATCTCAAATTTATCAATGTTTTTAACATAAACTTCTTTTGTCATTACCATTATCAAAATTTTATTAGAGCCTAAAATAAAATGAACATGTTTAAGAGAGAATACTTTAGTTTTAAGTTTACTTTCAATAATAAAATTAGAAATTTTGCACTATTTAGATTGAATTGAATAAATAAAATGAATAACTAAGCTATCTATTCCTATTTGATTAAGATAATCAATATTTAAATCAAATTCCCAAAATATATCAAACCATTCACAATAAAAAATTTTCCTCTAATGTATAAATTAATTAGAACAAGTTTGATCAAAACAATATTTAGCAATTTGATCATATGGATCTAAATAGATCTAAGGATGTTATACAGGTTTTAAGCATTTTTTAGTATGAATTGAATTTGAATTACTTAACATGAAGGTTGATTGTAATTTCTAAGATAAAAATAATAAATTACATATATTTCTTGATTTGTTCTAAGTTAACAAGCATGACATAGTTATGAACATTCAGAACATGTTCCATCAATCTAATCTCTAATTGGTTAGTAGTATTTATTTAATGGACATTTATTACAAGAATAACTTCCTGAATAATTTAATATACATTCCTGACATTAAGGATCACAATATTTATTACATTTGTAAGAAGAAACAAAATGATAACCATCTTAACATTCAACAATTTATTAAGTCATCATTTAATCAAGTTTAGTTTGAAAGTAAAAATAATTATTTGGTAAAAATTTCATTAAGAAACTCTGAATTCTCTAAATCCATCCATCTCTTAATTCATAAACACCTTCAATTATAATTGATGCTCCATTTAAACTATCTTAATCTGCTTTAAAACATCCTCCAGTTTATATAGATGTTATAAATCCAATTTCACATTAAACACATTTAATTGTAAATTCTGGTGATCGAATACATTATAAACAATTAGGTTAATATTTCTAACAATTTATTATTTCTGGAGCTATATTAAAATCATCAATCTATGATAATGTACACATTTCTTATCCTTTATATATAAATGATCTTAAACAATTCTATTATTTTGATTATTTAAATTAACAAGTTCCATCATTGAAATCAAATATAAAATTATCTTCACATAAAGCACATCCAATCTTTGCTTCAATATCTGAATCAAAATCTATAAAATTATTGTATAAAGTGCATTTAGATAGATCATCTTCTTAATATTCAAAACAATACTTACAATTAATTATAGGACATAAAGAACATTTTCTTTCAGATGTTAAATAATAAGGAGCCTCACAATATTTTTATTTGAAATTATTCTCAATTGAGATACAAGATCCATTTATTAATTGATATGGATAATAACATTAAATACATTCCTCACCATATATAGTTTTTTAGCATTCATAACAATTACTAATATACATTAGACAAATAATTTTTTATTTTTTTAATGTAATGATTTCATTTGGTATATATGAATCATCTACTATAAAAGAATATGAACTATTGCAATGATCACATTATATAAATACATTTCCATCAAAAAGATAATAAATAGAATAACCATACCATTCCATAGATTACACATTTCCATTTTAATTTAAGAATAAATCATATTCACAATATGGATTCTTGCTCCATCCTTTTGGATTTTATAAGCATTCTTAACAAGTGGCTAACTTATCATTTATTTTAGAAGGACTAATTTATTAATTAATAGTACCAATGTATACAAAGATCTTCGTATTCAAAATAACCATAATTACATTTTGGTAATACTTTTTTTATACTAGATAATTGTAATCCTGAATTTATATAAGATACACAATTCTCTTTATCAATTGTATCAAATGGACAAACACATGCTTTAAATCCAGGTAAATAAATTCTTTAAGATTCTGTTATACAAGACAAACAATTATTTTACGTTGGGCCATCACATTCTTAACAACTATAATGACAACTTTATAAAATATCATTTGTATCACAATTATTAAACTATGTTGTTTTAGTTTAAATATTTAAATAATTCTCTGTTTACTAAAATATATTCCCATATTCTAATTTTAATTGAGTGCATTTAAATTATTTTACATGTAATTCTGAGTCATATTCATGAATATCTTAATTATCATAAAACTATATATTAATCTTCAATTAATCTTCGATCAACTTTATTTGTATCTTTTACCATAGATAAATTGAATGTGTAATATCAAATTCTTTTTTTATTAATTATTCATCATTAGAAAAATTTATTGTTACTTTTGGAAATGTATAGCTATAAGTTGTAAGAATTAATTCATTTCCAAAAGGAGATATTTTATATGATAAAGAAAAAGGAGATAAGTTTTTGTCTGAAAATTGATTCTAAAAATTTGATGAAAGAATTAATAAGTGATAAATGAATTCATCTGATTTCTTAATAATATCAGTTATTTTTAACCATCCTTATAAATTAAAAGAATTGCAGTTAATATTTTATGAAGTATAAACATTCTTTTCCATCCATTTTAAGGTAAAATCTTCAACTTTAAAAACATCATTTCTACTACATATACATTACTAATAAGGTTCAAATTCCATTCTAGCAAACCATTCTTAATCTTATTCTTAAGGTATTTCTATGAATTCATACTCTACCTTTATCATTTTACCAGGAAAATAAGAAAATTTTATACCTGTTTCTATTGTTTCAATCTTAGATTAAGTTACTATTAAGCCTCCTCCAAATATCAACAATAAATTTTGATCTTTGAATGGGTATTTTATGTTCAAATATTCATGTATTGTTTTCTCTTAATAAATAAAAATTAGTTCAAATCTTTATGATAATGGCCATTATGAAATTTGGAAATAATACCACACATTTTCATATTCAAAAGGATCAACATCAAATGTAAATATATGCTACACATCTTCATTATCTATAAATGCTATTGTTTTTTTTATTTTCTATGATGCTTCATCTAAACAATCATAATAGATAAGATTGAGAGCTTAGGTTACCTCTTCAACAGCCCTATGCAAAAGAAAACAATCACTCTCAAATAAACCTACACTTCCAACTTAAAGAATATTTGTTAGAGGATTATATTTTGACCATAATCCATATCTAAACGCACTCAAAATGGATGGAGCATCTTATTGTATTACAATTGATTATTAGCTATATTAATATAAAGAATCCATTTCCTTTATTTTCAGGCTATATGTATTGCTAAATAACATTAACAACCATATAAAAAATGTCATATCTAAAACTTTAGTAATAAAATATTAATAAACCCTTTCAATATCATAATCACTATTTAATCCTTATTTTTGTGAAATTAAGTATTCAATTTCTAATCAAGTTATATAAAGGGAAATTTATGAGATAATAAATACAAAAAAATGCTATAATTCATTCCCTTCTGTTCGTTTTAAATTTTGGAAAATAATTCATAACTGAGACTGATTATTTTCAATATATCCATTTTTTGAAAATACCTTAGAAATTTAGGCTTTCTTTCAAATTTATTTAAGTTAGCCTTTTCAATTTAAAATAAGAATAACAATCATTAATTACTTTTTTAAATTGCACAAATTATTTTTAACTGTATTTATAACTTTAAATAAAAATTAAATATACAAATTTTAATTAGATAACATTATTTTTGAAGTCATCCCATAAAAAGCATTTGAAAAAGCTTTATTTTCTCAAAAGAAAATATTTAAAGATTGTTATACTTAATGATATAAATTTAATTTACATTAATCGAATGATATTTTAAATTTGAAGTTTAAAATACGATAATTTTAATAAATAAAATTAGAAATTTTAAATCATTAAGACAATTAAATAATTATGCAATCGATTTAAAGATAATAAAAAATAAAAATAATTAAAATATTTCAAACTAATTTTGTTTTTTCTAAAGGGGTTTGCATTTGATTGTTTCTCTTACTATTTTAAATTTATCTGTAAGATTTGCTTAAAAAATGAACAATGTATATTATATATAAATAATATAATTTACAAAAGATAATTATTAACTTTTTAAATCTTCTGAAATTTGTTTTTTTATAATTAGAAAGAAATTGAAAACATATTCGATGTATTAAGAATCTTGCACTTATTACACTGATTTCTTAACTTCAAACAAAAAAATTTGAAAATACAAATTTTGTGATATTTTAGAATAAATAAGAAAAATAACGACATTTATGAATTGCATGATCAATTTTTATTTTATTGTTATCATGGTCTTTACAACATATTGTTATAAGTTATATTGAACCCCAAAAGTAGAAATTATTAAGAGTATTTGGATATTAGTAAAATAATAATCATAACAATAAAAAACTCGATTCATATCAGTAAAACCACACTGAAACTTTTTTTTCATTAATATGATTTATTCTATGTCTTAAAGATTGTAATTGAAGAGAATCAAATTAGAACGTAAAAATTTTCAAAACTTTGATCATTAAATCATGAGAATTGTTAAAAACCTTGATAAATTAAAAATTTTGATTCTATCATATTAGTTTTAATTAAAATTATTATATATTTTTTTGAATTTTAAAATTAATTCTAATGAAATGTATTATTTAATTATTGATATTCTGAGGTCAATCAATCACTGTATTTAGATTTTTAAGATTTAAAAAAAACGTATTTATGAAGTTTTAGATTCACATAATTTAATTTTGAGCCTTAGTAAATTGGATTGAAATTTAAATATTTAATGAGCCATATTAAATATGTATTTGAATTAAAATTAAAAAGTAAATGAGGAAATATGATTTTAGGAATATATTTAATTTATTTTTGTCGTAAAATTCATTTGCTAATTAAAAAGTCTTATAATAAAGTAAATATAATTGATTGGGAGAAAGGAATATGATGGAAAAACTATAGAATGATAGAAGAATATGATATTAAAAATTTTTGAAATTAAATGAATGGTATAGTTTTTTATTGTTTAATTTTATTTATTAATGCTGTAGACATTTTTGAATTGACTTAATGATTATTATCTAAAGTAAAAGAATTTGAGGAAGAAGATGAATTTGAATAGAGCAATAATATATGAATGTCTATTTTATACAATATGAAATTGTTTGTAATTTTTAGTATTAATATAATGGATAGTATTAATATGTGAAAAATTGTACTATATAAGATATAATGAGAGGGAGAGAGTTTTAGTTTTATTGTTAATTAATTGTAATATAAGAAAATGATAGAAATGTTATTTTTGAAAATATTAGAAGTATTAATATTTTTGAAGAATTTATAAATTGGAATAAGAGTTATTAAGATATGCATATGATAATATAAATAAATAAGATAGATATATAATATATATATATTTATTAGAAATACAAAATATATACATAAGTATGAGTGAATATAAATATATGATTGAAATTCAATATTTGAGTTTATCAATAAAGTCTATACATATTCTTTTTAATTAAGAGATAACTGGATGGATATTTTTATGATATGATAATATTTTGATCATATTTATTAAGTAATTGTTAGCGAACATCTTCATAACAATCGGATTGGAAATCATGATTTTTGATATTTTTGAGTGTGAAAGAAATGATCTAAAATGATTGATTAAAGAGCAATACAATAATAGCAGATGCAATTTAAGATGGCTGGTAATTAAGTTTCCATGGTAATGCCATTAAAGAAAGAGCATATATTAATCGTACTTATTCAGCTGATATTCTTTTAGTCTTCTTTATGTAATAAATTAGTTATTCTATAAAATCCATGACAGTTGGTTTAGTTATTTCAAAATTTAATTTTTGTAAAATGTGTGTTTCAATTTATGTAGACATCTACCATTTACATCTATCTTATTAATCAAATTTAGTTGCAATCCACAAACTTGTTAATAAATAATCCTAAGTTAATATATTAGTTCTTAAATATATTGATTTAGCTAAATATAATGTTGAGATTTTAAGTTTCAATCTAAACTAAAATTATGACAAGATTTTAAACTCATCCAACAGATCGTTTTGTTAAAATATGAGAATTTGTTAAGTATGCAGATATGCAACAATATCTTTATAATAAGGATTCAATGATTCTGTTTCGGTATCACTCATATTTAAATTTAAATTAATTATTCTCAAAATTAACTGCTCTATTCAATTTACATTAAATTTCTTTATATGATTAATGTAAATCGTCAAAGTGTTTTAATGACAAACACCCAGCCAATTTAATTCCTTCTAATCTCTTCTACTATCTCTATCTTAGTTATACTCTACTTCCTGTAAATAATGATGATTCCCAAATTTTAGGCGCTTCACATTTTTAATATCTTTCACTTTAAATCTAAGGTAATTTAAGAGGTTCCTCATATTCAACTTCAAGTGGATAAGCATGATTCTTTAATAAATAACCATGTTCCTTATTCATATTTTCAAATTCATTATATTCTTATATTTATTCATCAGCATTCCCTATCTACTCATCCTCTACTTGTTTTAATTTCTCTTATATAGTTATTTGAGATCTATATTTCTTAGTAAATGGATCTATATTTTTATGTTAATATTTATCTAAATACGTAGAGTCATATCTTCTTTCTCTTCAAATTATACTGGATTACTTTATAACTTCATTAGTTCCTAAAAACCCAATTTTGTTAACACTTTTATCTTTGGTTTTCTTTAATAAGCAAACTCTTATACTGGTCTATGATTGAATTTTGTGAACATTAATTTTTATTTTTAATTATTATTACTCATTTCCTATCACAATACATTTCTTAATAATTACTTACCTTTTAATCAATTAAATCTCTAAAAATTAACTATTTTTTAAGACAATTATCAAATCTATTATTCTATTTCTTAATCATTACTATACGTAAAATATTAGTATATAATTACTTACATTTTATTTAATTTACGTAGTTAATTAGATTTATTGTATATAATCTTTAAATTTTCAATAATTCTAACAATTGATTGTAATATTATATTAAATACTTAAGATTTTAAATATCGTAAATTTAAAGAATACTTTTTTAAATATTATATATAAAAAGGAGTATTAGATGAAAAAGAAAAGCTATTTAAAGGATATTTAATATTGATTTATTATAAATAAAATCATGTGGATATATTTTATTAATATAATTAGAATATATTATATAATTAATTCTATTTTATAATATGTAAAACAGTAAATAAAATTTAAATGCATTGTATTCTCTTTAATCCAATCAAAATTATAGTTTAAATTATAAGAGTGAGCGAATTAATAAAGAGAATATTATTAATATCAATAAAAAATGGCAAGAACAAAATAAACCGCAAGAAAAAGTACTGCTGGAAATAAGAAACCAACAAAACATTTAGCAACAAAAGCAGCTAGAAAGACTGCTCCAGCTGTTGGACCTACAGGGGGTTTAAAGAAACCACATAAATTTAGACCAGGAACAGTAGCATTAAGAGAAATAAGAAAATATTAAAAGTCAACTGAATTATTGATTAGAAAGTTACCATTCTAAAGATTAGTAAGAGAACTAGCTCATGACTATTAAAAAGAACTGAGATTTTAAAGTTCTGCTATTTTGGCGCTCTAAGAAGCAGCTGAAGCTTATCTTGTTGGATTATTTGAAGATACCAATTTATGTGCAATACATGCAAGAAGAGTAACTATTATGTCCAGAGATATACAATTAGCTAGAAGAATAAGAGGAGAAAGATTTTGATTATTTCCTAAAAATTATTAAGACAAATTATTTGAAAGTTTTTATTAATTACTTTCGTTAAAATATTATTATTAATAAATAATATATATTCATTATGCAAGAATTAATTGAAATTGGTTTAAAAAAAGTATTACCAGGAATCTTGTTAAATTAAATAGCTTTCTATTCATTATACAAAATATTGAAGAATAATGAATGTATTGTTGATGTAGCATATACAGTGAGTCATTTTGTGGCAGGATCTATATATGCATATCATTTTGGATTATCTTCTTTTGAGAATAAAGTAAAACATTCTATTTAGTCTAGTTTAAATTAGGATTATTAGCTTTGTGGACTGCTAGATTAGCTGGATTTCTCTTTTATTACAGAATATTGAGAGGATTTAGAGATCCTAGATATGAAGTCATTTTCGTAAACTATAAAAAAGAAACCTTTAAAAGAGATGTTGTTGTCTTTGGATAATACATTTTTTAAGGATTCATAGTTTTAGTAACAAGTTCTTCATTGTATTTCTTATTTAAGAATTCATTGAATCCATATTAATTAGCTATTTTAGGAACATCAATATTCTGGATCTATTTAGAAGGATTATCTGGTTAGATATATTACTATTATTTCTAGATCATCAATTATAATCATTTAAAGATTAAAAGAACAAAGCTCCAGACTCTATATGTTAGGATGGTTTATGGAAAAAGAGCAGACATCCAAATTTATTTTTTGATTTAATGACTTGGACTACTATTGCAATCTCATCTATTAAATCAAAAAATGATGCTCTTGCTTTGATAAGTCCATTAGTCTTATATTATGTTATGGCACGATTGACTGTACCTATTACTGAAAAACTCATGAAAAAAAAAAGAGGAGATAAATTTACAGAATATTGCTCAAAAACGAATAAATTCTTACCTATTTGAGTATTAATAAATTATTACATTACACATATATATAAACACAAGGGAAAGTATATTTTATACAAACTCAAAAATGAAAAACACAAAATATAATATTTGTATATTGAATTCATATTTACTCTATACGGCTCCAATCTAATTAATTAATCACTACAAACTAGAACTATCAATTGAAATAATTTTACCAATCATAATAGATTGTGAGAAAACAAAAAATAATATAAAGTGTGATTAATAATAATTAACAAATGTTTATCATATTTTTGGTGTAATTGATAAGTGCATAAGTAAATCCATTATTGTACAAATGGGGAACATACAAACCCTAATTAATTCATGCAATAACAGAAAGAAATATGCAAACATTCAATCCTCTAACAATTACATTTTATTACTTTATGAACAATAACATAAGATGGGAGAAATCAATTAAATATAAAATAAATGAAAGAGGGAATGATGAACCTACATATTATTAATATCTCTATCATGATGGCGAAAGATATGCAATTCATGAGACAATTGATGGAGAATATAAAGTAAGATTCACTAATGAATTCTATAAGTAATTATTTATTGTATTTATAGAGTGAATCCAGAGAAAATAGAAGATTGGGTTACAACTGTAGTAAATAATGATGCTTTAGTTGGAGACGATGAATATGTGAGTTTAGTCTATTCTATTGCAATAGAGAAATTAAATTAAGAAAAGACCGATCTAAGAAAATTGCAAGTTGAAGAAGAAGGAGATTCTCTCAAAGTAATTCAATAATCTAAATATAGATTACAATTACTACTGCTTAATAAGTTAACTATATATATGTGGCTTTAGAATCTAATGGTAAATAAATAAACATAAATCAAAACGATAATTTTGGATATTCTTTATAGTTTTAGAATCCCACATTGAATTATAATTTGAGAACACTCCTTTATAGTGAATTGAGAAAAACAAAGGAATAAATTCCATTTAAATTTAACAAAACTGTAGATCAAGAATAAGGAAATATAGTGTTTGTTCAATATGTAGCTAAAAGAAATGAATTGTTTAAGTTTCAATTAAGATATATGTAAAGAGAGATATCAGTATCAAGTGATTACTTCTTTGATGCTAGAATTTTGAAGAAATTGGATAATATGAATTTCTTTTCTTAATTTAATAGAACTTTTAACAAAATACAAATTAGTATTAATATATTGTTTATACAATATAGAGAATCCATTTTATCTATCATGTTCAATTAGTTCTTTTGCTAATTTAATAGGAGGATTTGCAACGTCTTTTGGTAATATAGAATGCGAAGAAGCTAATCCAATTTGTTAATAATAGAAAATGATGTTTACACCAACACCTTCTAGATTTGGATTTCCTAGACCATTTTTATGGGATGATGGATTTCATAATATGATTATATGTAGATGGAAATCTTAATTATGTATATAATCTTTATTAGATTGGTTTGATACTATGTCTAGTAATGGATGGATTCCTAGAGAATAAGCAAGAGTATTATTATTATTATATTATTTATTAAAGAGTCCTGAATAAAAAACTGCCGTTCCTTAAGCATTTTTAGCTTAAAAATAAAGTGAAACTAATCCACCTACTTTTATATTTAATTTTCTTTATCTTGATTGTAATTATTAATTATAATTTATTTTATTAGCCTTAAAAAATGGAGAAATATAATAATAAGTACGTAAACTTTACACTAAAGCAATAGATTGGTATCATTTCTGGATAAAGTCTTAAGGAGTGAATGAAGGAGATAATATCTTATTATTTAAATGGTGGGGACTTAATGATAATATTAATTTTGGATCTGGAATGGATGATTGGCCAAGATCTCATAATGGTTTAAAAAGCAAATATAATATTGATGCAAGTATGTGGGGCTGGCTTTTTGCTGATTCAATGTAAAAATTAGCTGCTATTTATGATCCATAAAAAAGCAATTAATTTCATTAAACTGCTGAAATGATAAAAAAATCTATTTATAAATATCATTTTGATCCAGATGATAAAATATTTAAAGATGTTTTAATAGATGAATCATTTTCTCCTCATTTAGGATATCCTAATTTATTTCCCATTGCATTTGGATTTATTGATCCTACCAAAACTGATATCTTAGATGCCTATGTTAGTATGATTAAAAAAGAATTATGGACTAATCATGGTCTTAGATCTTTAAGCATTAATGATAATCATTTTGGAAAAGTTATACATTCCTTTTTCTATTCTAGGGAGACAATTATTGGACTGGACCTGTCTGGATACCTATCAATTATTTGATTCTTAGAGGAATCTAAAAATATTATTCAAATCACAAAGGTCTAATGGACATCTATAAAGAACTAAGAGAAAATTTGATGAATACTGTATGTATTAATTGGAGAGATAGAGGGTAATAATATTACTATTCTAATAGATACTTCTTTGAACATTATAATTAAAAATAAGATGGACTTGGAAGAGGATATCATCCATTTAATGGATGGACAAGTACAATTACATTAATTATTCATGAAATATATGATTGAAATCATTCTTTATTTATTATATTATTCATAATTTACAAATCTATTTATATTACATTTTTATATATTAACAATATATTACTATTTTATATTTATACTATCTTATATTCAAAAACATCTACATTATCCTTTTGTTAAAATTATTAGCACTCAAAAATAAAATTTATTTAAATCTTAAATAATATTTATGAAAAGTTTAAAGAATTATTACAAAAAAAATAATATAAAAAAATACTTAAATAATAATATTATGGAAAAATATCAAAATATCAATATATATTTAAAAACAATTAATTATGAAAAATTAAAATATACCAGAGCCTATCCTTTTTGAATTATTGATAGAAAATTTTAGACAAAAGCACAATTTTTAAAAGAAATAATAAAGGTTTATATTGATATGAAATTTTCCTTCCTTTGATTCCTCTCTTTATTTTTGTTGTATAAATTAAAAAACAATAATTAATTCAATTAATTAAAAGTCTATTACGTAAACAAATTTTATAAAGTAATTGAATTTAATAGAAAATTAATACAGACAAAAATGGAAAAATTCAAACTTGTCAAAATAAACTAATTTTTTTCAAAACTATCCTAATATTAATATTGCTTTACGTTGTTATAATTAGAACTTAGCTACTTTATAAGAAACAAACTAAGTTGTTGCATGATTAGAATTTATGTAATTAATCAAAGTAGGATTTTATCTTCCAGAATATAACTGAAAAGTAATTTGCATGATTTAGAATAATAAAATTGTAAAGTAAGTTAATAAAATTCGTCAAGAGAACTTAGGAGTAACTGCATCTAATAAAATAGAAAATTTAAAACATTAAATAGATAAAAATAAGAAAGAAGCTGAGTTGATTGAATTAAGGATTTGTAACTTTAAACAATTACTTTTATACAAAAACTGTGAGTTAGGTTAGAATTGGAGGAGATTTTAAAAAAATAAAAGTAATAATGATTTTTTAAAATCTTTAATTACGATTTTATCTATTCATTTCCTTTTTCTAGTGCAACAAAATAGTAGAGAAATAAATAACTTTCGACTTCTGTTTATTCTTTGACAATTTATTTTAAATATATGTCAATTGAAATTTCTACTTTATTGAGAAAAATGCTTCTAAATGATTTATAACTTTATTGGATTGAAATATTCATGAAATGGTAAAAATTAAATTAAGGAGAATTTAAAATATTCGAACGAGATGTTAACACTCAAGATGAAATAAGTACATTTGTAATAACTTTTATAACGAAAATTGATGAATTTATGAAAATAGAAGAAAATAATTGAATTAATTTGACTTTATCATTAGAAATTCATAAGTGAGTTAATTCTAAATTAAGTTTTTTTATGAAAGATTCAATAAAAATAAAAAGTTATTATTTATTTTTTGAAATAGAAATGTTAGAGTACAATGATTACTTTAACACATTTGATATATAAAATTTCTAATCAAATTAAAGAAATTTAAAATAATGTCATAAAATTAATATGTTTATGTTAATAAAATTAATATGTTTATTTATTAAAAAGTAAAAATAAGGAAATATTAAATAACAATGAAGTATTCAAAATAGTTAATATAGTAAATTTATAATAAAATTCAAGGAATAAAAAACCATTAAATTAATTTAAATGGTTTCTTAATAAATTTATATTTAATAATTGCTTTTATATACCATTGTCACTATTATAGAATATTTGAATAAAAAGCCTGGATTTAAATGTATTTAAAATATATCAAACTTTCCAATATTATCATAATAATAAAAACTACTATTAAAGAAGCTTACAATAACTTAAGAAAATTAATTTATTAATATTAAGATGCCAATTATCATTAATTTAATAACAAAAATGAAATTTTCTGATTTTAAAGTTTTAATTTATAATTGTTTTTTTTAAGTTTAAAAAAATCAATAATTTATTCATATTGAAGAAATCCTATTAAGATTTTCCACATATATTGAGTATTTATAAATAATATTGGTTAAATATCCAAGACATAAAATGACGAGAAATTAGTTCGATTAACAATGTAATCAAAAATGAAAAATAGAAAACCTGAAGTTTGAAATATGAGAGAAATAGTGAAACTTAAAAATTAAACTACAATAAAAATAATGAATGGTTTATTATTTATTAAATCGAATAAAATTAATTTTTTATAAAATTTACAATTAATAATTATTTATAAAGTTAAATATTTTGTGTGAAAAAATATTTGATAATAAGTTATCTATTGATTGTCCATTTTCACTTGAAATTATTAAAAATTATTCTTTTTTATTTTCTAAATATCTATAAAATAAAATTTCTTCCTTTTTTCTGATTATTGAATAAAATTTTAAATTAATGAGAAATTTCATTATGACCTCTTCTGCTTCAAATCAAATTAACTTTCTGATTTAATATATTTTAAATGCTTAATCTGAACTTGATAAGTTGGAATAATAAAAAAAGTAAATTTCTAAGAATTGTTCTTCCTATCAAAAAAGTAAAATTTAATAAAATATAATTTTCGGAAGGTATTTAATTTAGAGAGTAATTAGTGAATTAATGTAACTTGGTAATTGAACTATAACAAACATATAAAAATCAATCTATGTTATATTTTCAAACTATTTTACACTATACTCTAACCTAAACCAAATGATTTAAAATAGAAATAAAAATTTAACATTTTCTAAAAATATCTTTAACACAAAGAATCTTTCTATTATCTTTATCTAATATTTATCAATAAATCCTTTTTCTAACTCCAAAAATTAGATAATTTAATAAAATAGAATGATAACTTTAATCGAAAGCCTACTCTTCATAAGTCTATAGCAAGCATGTTTTTGCTTTAGATCATTTTAAAGTTAGTTTAACAAAGAAATTTTTCAAAAAAATTGTCCTACTTCCCATCAATATTGGCCCGATATTCATCCGCATATGTGCTCAGGTAATAAATACTTTTATTTAGGTGTTCCAAGAGAATGTATTGGTACGATTGAACTTAGATAAGTTATCGTTGGCGATAGTGAAATTTTATGCCACCCATAAGTATAAGGCTATATTCTATATGGGAATACTGATACTCATTTACTTTTAGGATGGTGGCCATTTATTATGATATATTCATATGACTAAAATGGAAATCTAATCTTTACAACTGAAGCCATATCCTCATTAAATAGCCATGGTTGTTTAATTGGATAAAAATTTTCTGGCATTTATAAATGTTTATATTGTGGTGGATAAAATTATGGAGAAAATTGCGCTACTTCTCCATTACCCTTAGGTTAAATTTTACATTTATTCTAAAGAATGTGGACAGTATTGTAAAACTTGTGATACAACAAAATAAAAGTGTGCTACTTGCAAAGATGGCCAATCCCCTTTAGACGATACTGACTTTAAATGTACATTAAGTAAATACAATTATATTTGAAGAATGTTAAACAAATCATAAAACTTGTTAATAGATTGAATCTGTATATTCATTCACTGAATGTAATGATGGTTTTGAATTATTAAATGGATATTGTTCGGGTAAAATAAAATAATTAAAATTTAGAATGTCCAAGTAATTGCAAAGCATGTTTTTAGGGAATCTGTACATCTTGTATGTGGCCTTTTTCTTTAAAAAATTCTTTATGCTTTGAAGATAGGAATTGTATGAATTACAATTATATTTATGATTCTGAAGGAATTCCCATCGATACTGATTGTCAATAATGTGATGTTGGATATTTTAAAAAAGGAACTAGATGCTCTTGTAATTAGTTATTTTTTATTTTAGCTTGTTAAGAGGAACCAGGATTAGAAAAATGTTTTATTTGTCATAATGCAAATGAGTGTAAAAGTTGTTTTGCAACTCATTATTTAACTGCTGACAAAAAGTGCGCTCTTTATACAAGTGGATGCAATCTTCCATGTTAAACATGTTTAGTGACAGATCCAAATTATTGTACAACCTGCTATTATAAAGACAGACTAACAGCTAGAATAATTCCAGGGAAATGTGTTTGTGATTAAATTGCGGGATATGTTGAATTAAATGGAGAATGTTTATTATGTTAAAGTGGAGATTGTGAAACATGCACTTCAAAATTTGGAGAATGTTAATCATGCAATCCTTTAAGGAATAGAAGTCTTGTCGATTTTGCTTGTCCATGCCTCTAAGGATATTTTGATACTGGGTTAGAGGATAAAATTTGTTAAAGTATAAAGGGCAATCATAATTAGAATGTTATGCTTCATGTTATAACTGTTCAGGACCATTTGATAATGATTGTACAAATTGTGGAGATCCTAATGTTTATTATAAATAATTAGTAAATGGAAAATGTATTTGTATTATTAGAACAATATCATTTGTATAATAGGATGGACAAATAATATGTTAACGTAGAAAATGTATTTTATATTTAGCATGTCATCAAAGATGTGAAAAATGCTATTAACCATTAGATTAAACATCAAATTAATATTGTACAATGTGTATAGCAGGATAAAATAGAATTGTATCTGATGATTTAAAATGTATTTGTAGAAATGGATATGGAGAAGATGGAATTGTAGATATTTGTTTTAGTAATTGATTATTTTAAATTATGTAGAATGTCATTACACATGTAGCAGTTGTAATGGACCATTATCAATCAATTGTGTCACATGTTCAAATGAATCAAATAGACATTTAACTTTAAATAATGAATGTCAATGTAATTAGACTTATTATGATACTGGAAGAAATGATATTGTTTGTTATTGTAACTATATACATTCATTTTAGTGGGTTGTCATCACTCTTGTTTAGATTGTAATAATAATGGAGAAGATTAATGCATAAGTTGTCCATCTACTAGATAACCTGATAGAATTGGATTAACATTTAAGTGTTAATGCATAGATCCACATTACTATAGTGATCAATTTTAATTAGAATGTTTAGAATGTCATTTTACTTGTAAAACATGTAATGGAATTAATGAAACCAATTGTTTAACTTGTGATTTAAACTATAGGTAATTAATAATTTCTAAGTGTGAATGTCCTTATGGTTATTATGATGTTGGCTAATTATAATGTTAATGTAAAATAATATAATATTTCAAGAATGCCATTATACCTGCATGACATGTTTTGGAACTGAAATTGATAATTGCATTACTTGTTAAACTGAAAGCAACAGGATAGTCAAAGCTAATAAATGTGTTTGTAAGGATGGACATTTACAAAAATAAGTAGGAGATCTAATATGTTACAGTATTTATAAACTTATAATTTTAGAGTGTTCATATCGATGTGAATCATGTAGTGGAACAATTGATCATTGTGACAAATGCCCAGATTTATCCTTTAGAGAACTTGGAATAGACTATTCCTGTTCTTGTCCTCTTAAATCATATGACGAACCAGGATATCCAATTTGCACATGTACAACTTAAAATTTTCTTTTAGTATGTCATTATACTTGCCTAACATGCATAGGAAATTAACCAAACTAATGTATTTCCTGCAATACATTATCAAGAAGATAACTGAATGATTAAAGTGAATGCCAGTGTAAAACTAAATATTTTGATAATGGTTAATCAGAATGTTAAGGTAAAATTGAAAAATTTTATTTATTAGCTTGCAGTACTATATGTTTAGATTGTAATTATTCTTCTGATAATTGTACATCTTGTTAACCAGAAAAATATTTATATGGAAACACATGTCTATGTAAAACTAAACTTTAAGGTTCTTTTGTTTCTACATTTTCGCTTTTAAATAAACTTCAATGTCTAGGTATTAATATAATTGAATAAAGTTTGTCATTATTCTTGCTTAACATGTTCAGGTCCGTCATCTTCAGAATGTAATTCTTGTTGGGATTAGGAAAATAGAATTTAATTAGGAACATCTTGTATTTGTAAAATTAATTATTTTGATATTGGAAAACCCAAATGCTCTTGTATAATATATTTTTAATCTTAGAGTGCAATTATCGATGTGAAAATTGTGCAGTATTGAATAATCTATGTTTAACTTGCCCTCCTTTAAGTTTTAGAGAATTAATTAATTCACAATGTTTATGTTTATAAGGATATTATGATGATGGAATTAATCCGATTTGTTAGAGTAATCAATATAATATTATGTTTTAGAATGTCATTATTCATGCCAAACTTGCTCTTAAATAGCAACAAAATGTATCACATGTTCAACAATTTAAAAAAGAATATTCAACAGTATTTTTAATTCTTGTATTTGTAATGATAATTATTATGATGCTGGAGTAGATATATGTTAAAAATGCCATTATTCTTGTTTTAATTGTATTGGTTAAGAATCTAATTTATGTAAGACATGCATTAATTAAAATACATCTTTCAGAGTTTACAATAATGGAATTTGTTAATGTCTTTCTGGTTATTATGATGATGGAGAATCAGCTAATTGTTAGTAATGTCAAATTTAATGTTAAACTTGTTTGAACTAATCATATTTTTGTACTTCTTGTGGAGATACACGACACTTGAATGGAAATAAATGTGATTGTGATTAACATTATTTTGAAACTGGATAGCAAAGGTGTGGTGAATGTGATAAAAATTGTTTAAATTGCAAATTAAATCCATCTAATTGTATTGAGTGTTAAATAACATAATTGAGAATTTTAGATAACTTAACTCATAAATGTATATGTTAAGCTGGAACAACTGAAATTAATGGAATTTGTTAAGAATGTCACATTTCTTGTTTAACATGCATAAATTCAATAACAAATTGTTCATCTTGTGGATTAATGAAATCATTATTAAACAATTAATGTTTATGTGTACAAGGAACTTATGAAATAGAAATTAGTAAGGAATGTAAATTCTGCAATAAGACATGTTAAACTTGTATAAATACAGATAGTTATTGTTTAACTTGTTCAGCAGAAGATTTTAGAATCTTTAAATCTGGAAATTAATGTGTTTGTTAGGATGGATATTTTGAAGATTCTTTTCAGAAATGTATATAATGTGATTTATCTTGTCTTACTTGTTAAATTAATTCTAAATTTTGTTTGTCATGTAATTCAAGTTTAAGTTTACAATTAAGTGATTAAAATAAATGCATTTGCATGTCTGGACATTATTTAAATATTTTAACTAAATAATGTGAAAGTAATTAAATTGATTTATTAAATGAAATATAGATTGCAATATAACATGTAAAGAATGTGAAAGTACATTGTAATGTATAGAATGCGAACCTTTGACTAGATATTTTGAATTGGATAATTTTAAATGTCCATGCAAAGATGGATTTTACGAAATAAATGAAAAATTATGTTAATGTAATAATTTATTAATGTTTATAGAATGTGATTTAACATGTAAAACATGTTTAAATTCATCAGCATTTTGTTAAACATGTGAATCCACATATTTTAGATAATTAAATAATTCTAATAAATGTAAATGTTAAGATGGTTACTATGATGTTGGTATTGAAATGTGTTAGAAATGCAATAATTTATGCAAAACTTGTTAGTTAACTTCAATTTAATGTTTTTCTTGTTATGAAACTGAATAAATTAGAATATTGAATGGAAATTAATGTATTTGTAAACCTGGTTATTTTGATAATGGATAATTAATATGTGAATGTAATATTGAATTACATTTTTAGAATGCTCAAAATCATGTTTAACTTGTCAAGGAAAGAAAGATTATTGTACAAGTTGCGATATTAATTAAAATAGAATTGATCAATCTATAATTCATAAATGTCCATGTTTATCTAATTTCTTTGAAGATTAGGATGAAATATGTCAAAGTATTTATATATCAAAATATTTAAAACTTTAGAATGTCATATTAAATGTTCTGGATGTATTAAATAAAGAGATTTATGTATAAGTTGCAAGATTTCTAATAATTCTTATCGATAAACAATAACTTAAAATTGTAATTGTAAGGATGGATATTTTGATGATGAAGTATAATTTTAATGTTAAAAATGTAATTATCAATGTAAAACTTGCGAATAAACATCATCAAATTGTTTATCATGTTTTAATAATTTGAGAGAAGGAGCACCGAATTGCAAATGCAAAACTGGATATTTTGAGAATGAATAATAAACTTGTGAATGTAAATTATTCTAGTTTATTTTTAGTATGTGATAATTAATGTAGTACTTGTGAAAATGAATCATCAGATTGTACAAGTTGTAAAGGAAATAGAATAAATAAAAAATGTGATTGTTAAGATGGATATTTTGAAGGTGGATTACCAGAATGTGTTTGTATTATAATTTATAAATAAACTTTAGAATGTGATTTTAAATGTTTAACATGTTAAAATAATCAATCAGATTGTATTATTTGTAAAGGAGATCGTATTAATAATCCAATTTGTTAATGTTAAGAAGGGTTTTATGATGATTTTGAAAGTATTAATTGTTAAATGTGTGAAATGAATTGTAAAAGTTGTAACATTGAAGGATGTTTAACATGTAATGGAAATAGAATAATATCTGATGAAAAAACATGTGAATGTCCTTAGAATTCAATTAGTCATTCACATACTCCTTGGTGTTCAAGTATTTTATTCTATCATTCATATTTTTAGATTGTGAAGTTGCTGTTTTAAATATTAAATTATCTGATGATTTATTATAAATCATTATTTCATTTGATCTTTCTTTAAATCCTAATTATTTTTAAACTTAATATTTTTAAACCAATATTTGCTCTAAAATTTTGAATAATCAAACAATTTAATTATTAGGAAATAATCCTGATTGTCTATTAAATTAAGAAGATCATAAATAATTAATTATTTAATTAGGTTCTGGTGCTAAAATTATCCCTGGAGATTTTATTATTTTTTAAAATAATTCATTTGGACATAAAGAATGCTCAAGCAGAATAAATCAATTTATATTTAATATTATCAGTTTTCCTTAGAATTAATTGTCACCAATTATTGAATTTGATATACCTTAATACTTAATTAATCCTTGTGATGATAACATAATTTTAATAAAATCTACTATAAATGATGGAATTAGAAGTTTAATAAGCATACGGTGGACATATTTAGTAGAAGGGGAAAATGGGAATGGTAATCTTAATGAATTTGTTTAATACCAAACAAATCTCTAACAAATTAATTTGATGATTCCTAGTTCAACTCTTCCAAAATAATCAAAAATAATATTCTTTGTTGAATTTTCTAATTTTGTGAATTTAAAAGGAACACAACAAATATAATTGTAAACTCATTCTGGATAATTCCCATCTGTGCTTTCTCTATTCAAGAAAAACTATTATACATTAGAACTAATAGATTTATTATTTAAAATATAGAAAAAAGATTGTTTTGGTTCAATTTAAAATGACTATTCGTAATACTTCGTTTAATTAATTGAAATTTAAAAAAATGATTCAAATTCTAGATCATCAAGAGTTAACCTTTCTTAAATAACTAGTAAAAATCATTTTAATATGACGATCTAAAGATATGCATTAACACCTAGAACTGCATATACATTTTAAATGAGTATTTAAGAACCTTCAACAAATTTTTCAGCTTCTCAAAATTTTACGATTGAAATAAGCCAAATGGGTATATTATGTTAGATTAACGGCACAAATATGATTCATAACTATAGAAATGACTTAATTATAATTATTTATTGTATGGATCTTGATACTTAATATCAATGGAATTAAGATCCAGAGATCAAAATTGAAGTTAGTTGTATTGATCTTACAATGAATAAAGTTTGCGAAGACATGAATTCAAAGATAATTTCAGTTAATAAAACTGAAACAATTTAAATCGTGTAAAGGTTTTCTATTAGACCTTATAGTATTTAAGCTTGGATAGTTACAGCTTATAAAGAATAATCAAAATATTCATTTTAATAAAAAATTGTTTTTTTAGATGATGATTTTAAGAAACTTGATATTTAGTGCAACTAGGGATATCAAATGAGACCAATAAATAATTATGAAACATTAGAGTTTGATTTTAATATTCCTTTTGAAGAGAAATATTACCTGTTATAATATCAAATAGTTCTAATATATGATTTTGAAATAATTTAAGTACTAGAACCTTCAATAGATTTGTATCATTTTAGATTATACGATTATTATAAATAGTTTAGCAAAGGAAACTAATTTAATTTAAGATTTTTAGCACAATTTACAAAAGATATTATCCCTAGTCAATATGAATTAAAATTAACTTTAAATTAACCTCCTAATTGCCATATATATTAAGGATCATAAAATTTTTAAGCCTTAAAATCATAGAAAATAGTAGCAAATTGTGATTTCTAAGATGATTCACCCTTTAACTATTAATTAAGATTTTTTTTATCTAATTAAGATTATAAGGATTTTTAAAATTAATTATCCGATTACTCTTTGATTATAGAGAGTTTTTAAAGATCCAATTCTTTTGAATTGTTTTTGCCTTATAGTGAAATAGTTACTATTATATAAGTTATGGATTCAAGAGGATCTATAACAAATCTAGAATAGCATTTAAAAGTAGCGGAATAAAAATTTAATTGCTCTGATTTCAGATTAAGAAATTTTAATTATAAACAATAAATTATATTGTTATTAGAAATATTGCTCAATCATTATAATCATTCAGATTGTGTTCGAATATCTGAATAATTAATTGAAAATATAAAAAATTATTTTAATTCAGAGGATTTAAATGACTAATTATTGGCTCTGTAAACTATAAAACTTTACAAACGTTTATATAATAATTTCAACAGTCAAAACTTCTCTCAAAGATTATAAACTGAAATCCTATCAGAAAGTTGTTATGAGAATAAGACAAAATAAATTATGATTAATGAGAATAAAATATTTACGTATTCACCTAAAGATATTCATACTTTTGTTCAAGAGACTATAAAATTAAACAATTTCACAAGTAAAATAATAATAAACAAAAAAAATTTAGATAATTAATTTAAAAAGACAGATATCTTTATTGATGAATAGCAGTTTCAATTGAAATAATCAATTACAAACTCATTAGCTGCTCTAATTTTATTAGTAGATGATTTATTTTACAAAATATAATAGACATATCTTGAATCTAATGAAGATAAAATTTTAGTCTTTAAATTATCTGAAGAATTAATTTATTTTATTGATAATATAATCATATATCTAAATGATTTAGTGCCAATCAATGGTAAAACATTTACATTAAAAGGCTAGATTTTGAAACTTTAATTAGCTAAAATAACAAAAAATGTCTTTAATCAATAAGAAAATATTGAAAAAGATGTTATAGATGGCTTAATTGCATATATTTAAAAGGAATAATTAGATTTAAATTTTAACTATTTACATACCTCTGAAAATTATTTATCAGAAATAAAAAAATTTTTAAATCTATCTTATTTGTAAATTGAGAAAAACTTTTATATAAAAACAAAATTGTAGAACTATCTTTATAAAAATTATACTGTGCCATTGTAAAATATAAAAAAGGATTATTTTATAGATATTGCATAGTACAGTTTTTGTATAAATTAATTTGAATCTGCTTTTAGCTTTTAATGTATTTAGGAGAGTATAAATGGATTATTTTATAAATGTAATTTATTAATAAATGAAACAAACATATAATCGGTCATAGTATCTTGTTCATGTTCTCAATTAGGAGTTATATTTTTAGTTAAATACTAAAATTAATCTGAAAATTAATAATAAATTATTTAGATTTCAGAAATTATTGAAAAGAATGATGACAATTGCCAAATAATTATTTAACCCTTTGTTCTATTTCATGGAATATACTTAGTGTTTTCGCTTTTTATATATTTGGAATTACTTGGACTTGAGAAAAAATTAGCAACTGTACCTAATATTATGGCCGAATCGCCATCTTTTAGTGTTACTGATCTAATAACATAGCATAATAAAAAACTTAAATATTATCCAAATAATTTTAAAGTTTTACAAATTTCAATAAAAGTAATTATAAATTCTATTTAGTTTATTCATGAGATAATTTGTATATTTACATGTGAAGAATAAATTATTAGAAAAAGCTACAGATTTTTAAAATCTTCAATTTTTCTGAGTATTTTAATTCCATTATCATTTTTTGAATATTCATTTATGGGTAAAGTAACTTTAATTACTATTTTGATTTTAAACTACTTTATATTACTTTTGGAAAGAATGATTTTTAAAATATGTGAAGCACTTTATAGATTTTAAGGAATTTTGAAAATTACAATATTAGCTTTTTATTTCCTAATCCATCTTTTCTCATATCTTTTTTTTATTTAATAAACAAAGAAGTAAATATATTAATAATTTTAGAAATGGATGCTATCAAGATTTAGACTCGAAGATGTTAATCATAATAGGGAGCACTGTCTTTTTATGTTATGTTATTTTTGACCCAATAATCATTTATCTGAGAATTGTTCTATACAAATATGTTACTTAAAGAATTAGAGCTGAAAATTTTGATGCAATAAACTAACTTATTTTCTTTTTTGTTTAACACTACAAATTGGAATAAATTTTTCAAGAATTCATTATTTTATGACTTTATTAATGAAATGATTATTGTATAAAAAATAATTAATATAATAATATATTATTTTTTTCATAAATCTAAATCTATTTCAGCCTACTAAATTATGAGAGTTCAAAAACATACAAAGGAAGGGAACCTCAAATAGATCTCTGTAAAAAGGAGCACTAATTCATTAAGGAAATGGTTGAATTTATAATAAAAATTTAAAACTTTGAAGGAGGAAATCAAAATTTATAAAATAAAATTAAGAAGTGTTTACTCTTAAGTTCGCAACATCTTATAAAGCTAATTAAAATGCCATGGATATTTTTTTATTTTTTGATAACTTATTTTGAATTTTAATTCTAATGTTTTGGATAAAATATTGAATATATTAATTATAAAATCACAAATATAAAAAATCTTCAAAGATTTAGTCAAGCTTATAGTGTTAAATGAAAAAATATATAAGGTGATTAAATGGATTGGTTGTTTTCACTTTTATTGTTGGTATTACAAATCTATAAAGAACAACTCTCATATAGATGAATAGCGGATCAAAAATTGCATAATTAATAACAATAGAACTCATTATGATTATAGATTAGTATTAATTTGCTATTTGAGAACAATCATTTCTAAAATAATAAAAATGCTTACTTTTATTTCTCAAAATAAACAAATAAAACGTAAGATAAAATATGAATCAAAATTGATAGAAATATTATGAAAATGCAAAATATTCCTTTAAATCTATAAATTGCCTCAAATATCTTAAAAATCATCCTTATGATAATTAACAAGATTTAGTTTATGATTAAACTTATTGCAAAAGTTATAGAGCTGAAAAGTAAAGATTCATAAAAAGATAATGGCATTAAAATACTTAAATATATTGATAATCTTAAGAACCTGTAATTTAATCTAATAACAGGATCATCACAATAAAACAAGGATATTATTTAATGTATATACTATTTATTAATTAAAATTACTTTAAAGCATTCTTTAAAAATGATTATATTACTTTAATAAATCTTTAACTTAACAGAGTGTTATTTATCTATGGGAGCTGATTCAAAATCGTCTCTTATTGATTTTCCTAAATATGATAATTGATAAAACATAAAAAGACTGAAAACTACATAAATGCCATGAAAAAGAAGAAAAGGCCTCTCAGTTAATTATAAATCACATTCAACTTTTTCTTCAGCAATATTCTACACTGTGATAGATTAATCTTATGTTTAATTGTTTTATCTAATTAAAAAAATAATTCCTAGATGAGAACATTAACAAGAAATTTAAACAAATTAAGAATTTATTTCTGTTACTAAGAAGTTACATTATTAAAATGATCCATAATTGTCATACAAAATGCATTAGAAACTAAAAGTAGGTTAAGATTCATTATCGCAATAAGGGTAATGTGTAACATCTATTACATAATCCTTGAGAAATTAATCTTGATTTGTACAATAACCATTATAGAGGAAATTTTTAGAACTTGTTTTAATAAAAAAATTTTCGTCAATTTGAAGTACCGATTTATTTAAAAATACTCTCAAATCTGATAATTATTTTTGAGAAACATTGAAATAATTGAAATAAATCTCCAGTTACTATTTTTAAACATAAGCAACTAGATCATCCATTAAATCTCTTTATAAATTTTATTAAAAATTAAACAAATCTTTTGAAATTTTAGCTAATTAAAATTTTATCATTTAGCCATTTAAAATAAATAATTAACTATTGACCTCCACTTTAGCTTCTACATACTATGTGATTTCATTTATTAGATTGATAAGTTCTTATGAGTACATAACTATTTTATCTTAGTCTTCATAAGTTTTTACAGATGTTTGTGAAATTTTCAAAATCACATCATCCACTAAATATAATGTGTTAATTAATAAATTTATAATTGATTCCCTTTTTTATAAAGATGCTTCATCTATAATTAAATCATTATTAATTATTTATTTATCTAAAATAATATGTTAAATCACTATTTCTTATGTAAATGTTTTCAGTTTTGTTATTTCCTTTTTGATATTAGACACAGTTTCATTAGATTATTTGTTATTTTCAGAAGTGTTAACTAAAATTAACTTTGTTAAATTATTGTAGCAAATGTCTTAAGCCTTTTTAAATAATAATCTTTAAGTTGAGGGCAAATTTTCCATTTAAAGTAAAAATCGCTTGTAATTTTTTACAATCTGAATAGCTAATTATTAATTTGTTAGTTCTTCTGAGTATAAATAACTCTTTATATAATCCATCAATATTCTTGATAATTTAGCACAATTTAATTCGTTATAGTAATTCTTTATAATATCAAAAAATAAAGCGATTTATTATTTATAATTAAGATTGCTATATAGAAGATTTGAACAATTGTATTCTAATTTGGTTATATTTAATAGCTATTATACATTTGAGATTGAGCCTCTTGAATCCATTATTTAAATAACAACAATGGCTTTTTCATCTTAAGGTAAATATATTTAAAATTAATTAGATTTTTAGAAACTCTAAAGAATTAAAGAATAATCAGATTATTTATTTTTAAAGTCCTCTAAGTCTTATTCAGACAAGAAAAATCTTAATTAGTATGTATATGGATAATCATCTGATAATAAACAATTCGCTGCTATTTTTAATAATTTTAAAGCTTGTAAATACAATTACCTTATATTAATTTAACAAATAGGAGGCAGATTTAGGGTTAATTTTAGGTCTTATTAATTAGGGATTATATCGTTATTGTATTGAACCAAAAATTTTAAATTTATTTTATTTCCTAAATTGAATTATTGATAATTATCATATAATCTAAAACTATATTAAAAATATTAAGGTATAAGTATCTTAATCAATTAAAAGTTATATAATATTGAAATAGAATAACCTACTAAATTATTCCTATCTTCAAAAGGAGTATTAAATTAAAATTTTAAAGTTTCGTAATTATTGATAGGTCTTATTGTATATCCTTTATTATAATTTAAATCAATTGACTTAAAATCATTATCTAAAAAAACAATATTTTATTTAAAAGAGTATTTTTATTATTTTTAAAAAGCTAATACAGACCATTAAAAAATACTAAATGGCTTAACTGTGAGTTTTGGAATGATTTGAATAAAGGATGTTTTATTAACTTAAATTGTCTTTTTATTGATGTCTAAGCAAAAACTATCCTGTGTTAAATCAACGCAAGCCACTTCTATTGTAATATCTGAATCTTCATTCCAATCATACTAAGTATCTAAATTTCTGCATTAAATATATATAATTAAATCTTTTCTATAATTTTGAATCTCGTTTATTTGATTAAATTAACATAGAACACCTTTTTGCATTATTTCAATTGTTATATTTCTGGTAGATATAAAGTTAATTAAAGGTTCCAAAGTTTAAAGTTAAAATGTATATGCAGTTAAAGGAGTTAATGTAAACTTTTATATTGTCACATTAAAAAAATATTCTCTTGTAGTTTGGGAAAAATTCACTTTTGATGACTAAGAGTAGGATGTATTTTTATAAATTTCAACTAATGTGATTGTATACTCAGACCTATCATTTTAAAGCTCTATAGAACTTGAACAATCTCTTTTTTAAATCTAAAATTGTAATTATATAGTTTCAAAAGTATAATATTGTTTTTTTCCAAGAAAGAGTACAGTTGGAAACTATCCTGAATGAGTTTAGACATTTATGTGCTGTTAAGATTTTTAAAATAAAAAATTTTTAAATTCAACAAAAAATGTTATTTTTGATTATTTTGGAAGAGTTTAAAAAGGTATTTCTAAATTTAATTGTTACAGTAGAGTTTGTTCTTAAACAAATTCTTCAAGATCACCATTTCCATTTTGCCCTTCTACTTAATAAGACCAAGATAGAATTATCAAATCCCGAATCCCATCATAACTTGAAGATGTAATTTAAATACTATTATCATCACATGGATTAAGTAAATATTGAGGTATTTCATATTCTATTTAAGGTGATCTCAAATTTACAGGGAATTTCAATATATTAAAAATAAATGAGGAAATTTTTGGTTTACAATTAATATAACCAAATGAATTATTTTAAAAAATAATAAAATCTCCAGGGATAATTTTAGCACCAGAACCTAATTAAATAATTAATTATTTATGATCTTCTTAATTTAATAGACAATCAGGATTATTTCCTAATAATTAAATTGTTTGATTATTCAAAATTTTAGAGCAAATATTGGTTTAAAAATATTAAGTTTAAAAATAATTAGGATTTAAAGAAAGATCAAATGAAATAATGATTTATAATAAATCATCAGATAATTTAATATTTAAAACAGCAACTTCACAATCTAAAAATATGAATGATAGAATAAAATACTTGAACACCAAGGAGTATGTGAATGACTAATTGAATTCTAAGGACATTCACATGTTTTTTCATCAGATATTATTCTATTTCCATTACATGTTAAACATCCTTCAATGTTACAACTTTTACAATTCATTTCACACATTTAACAATTAATACTTTCAAAATCATCATAAAACCCTTCTTAACATTAACAAATTGGATTATTAATACGATCTCCTTTACAAATAATACAATCTGATTGATTATTTTAACATGTTAAACATTTAAAATCACATTCTAAAGTTTATTTATAAATTATAATACAAACACATTCTGGTAATCCACCTTCAAAATATCCATCTTAACAATCACATTTTTTATTTATTCTATTTCCTTTACAACTTGTACAATCTGATGATTCATTTTCACAAGTACTACATTAATTATCACATACTAAAAATAAACTAGAATAATTTACATTCACAAGTTTATTATTCATTCTCAAAATATCCAGTTTTGCATTTGCAATTCGGTGCTCCTTCTCTCAAATTATTAAAACATGATAAACAATTTGATGATGTTTATTCGCAAGTTTTACATTGATAATTACATTTTTAACATTAAAATTATACTTCATCATCAAAATATCCATCCTTACAATTACAATTTTAAGTTATTGTTTATCGATAAGAATTATTAGAAATCTTGCAACTTATACATAAATCTCTTTATTTAATACATCCAGAACATTTAATATGACATTCTAAAGTTTTAAATATTTTGATATNCCAAATGAATTATTTTAAAAAATAATAAAATCTCCAGGGATAATTTTAGCACCAGAACCTAATTAAATAATTAATTATTTATGATCTTCTTAATTTAATAGACAATCAGGATTATTTCCTAATAATTAAATTGTTTGATTATTCAAAATTTTAGAGCAAATATTGGTTTAAAAATATTAAGTTTAAAAATAATTAGGATTTAAAGAAAGATCAAATGAAATAATGATTTATAATAAATCATCAGATAATTTAATATTTAAAACAGCAACTTCACAATCTAAAAATATGAATGATAGAATAAAATACTTGAACACCAAGGAGTATGTGAATGACTAATTGAATTCTAAGGACATTCACATGTTTTTTCATCAGATATTATTCTATTTCCATTACATGTTAAACATCCTTCAATGTTACAACTTTTACAATTCATTTCACACATTTAACAATTAATACTTTCAAAATCATCATAAAACCCTTCTTAACATTAACAAATTGGATTATTAATACGATCTCCTTTACAAATAATACAATCTGATTGATTATTTTAACATGTTAAACATTTAAAATCACATTCTAAAGTTTATTTATAAATTATAATACAAACACATTCTGGTAATCCACCTTCAAAATATCCATCTTAACAATCACATTTTTTATTTATTCTATTTCCTTTACAACTTGTACAATCTGATGATTCATTTTCACAAGTACTACATTAATTATCACATACTAAAAATAAACTAGAATAATTTACATTCACAAGTTTATTATTCATTCTCAAAATATCCAGTTTTGCATTTGCAATTCGGTGCTCCTTCTCTCAAATTATTAAAACATGATAAACAATTTGATGATGTTTATTCGCAAGTTTTACATTGATAATTACATTTTTAACATTAAAATTATACTTCATCATCAAAATATCCATCCTTACAATTACAATTTTAAGTTATTGTTTATCGATAAGAATTATTAGAAATCTTGCAACTTATACATAAATCTCTTTATTTAATACATCCAGAACATTTAATATGACATTCTAAAGTTTTAAATATTTTGATATATAAATACTTTGACATATTTCATCCTAATCTTCAAAGAAATTAGATAAACATGGACATTTATGAATTATAGATTGATCAATTCTATTTTAATTAATATCGCAACTTGTACAATAATCTTTCTTTCCTTGACAAGTTAAACATGATTTTGAGCATTCTAAAAATGTAATTCAATATTACATTCACATATTAATTATCCATTATCAAAATAACCAGGTTTACAAATACATTAATTTCCATTCAATATTCTAATTTATTCAGTTTCATAACAAGAAAAACATTAAATTGAAGTTAACTAACAAGTTTTGCATAAATTATTGCATTTCTAACACATTTCAATACCAACATCATAGTAACCATCTTAACATTTACATTTATTAGAATTATTTAATTATCTAAAATATGTGGATTCACATGTTTAACAAAATGCTGATGAATTTAAACATGTTTTACATGTTAAATCACATTCTATAAACATTAATAAATTATTACATTAACATAATTTTTCATTTATTTCGTAAAATCCATCTTTGCATGGACATTTAAAATTATCCAATTCAAAATATCTAGTCAAAGGTTCGCATTCTATACATTACAATGTACTTTCACATTCTTTACATGTTATATTGCAATCTATATTTCATTTAATAAATCAATTTAATTACTTTCACATTATTTAGTTAAAATATTTAAATAATGTCCAGACATGCAAATGCATTTATTTTAATCACTTAATTGTAAACTTAAACTTGAATTACATGACAAACAAAATTTAGAATTAATTTAACAAGTAAGACAAGATAAATCACATTATATACATTTCTGAAAAGAATCTTCAAAATATCCATCCTAACAAACACATTAATTTCCAGATTTAAAGATTCTAAAATCTTCTGCTGAACAAGTTAAACAATAACTATCTGTATTTATACAAGTTTAACATGTCTTATTGCAGAATTTACATTCCTTACTAATTTCTATTTCATAAGTTCCTTGTACACATAAACATTAATTGTTTAATAATGATTTCATTAATCCACAAGATGAACAATTTGTTATTGAATTTATGCATGTTAAACAAGAAATGTGACATTCTTAACAAATTCCATTAATTTCAGTTGTTCCAGCTTAACATATACATTTATGAGTTAAGTTATCTAAAATTCTCAATTATGTTATTTAACACTCAATACAATTAGATGGATTTAATTTGCAATTTAAACAATTTTTATCACATTCACCACACCTTTGCTATCCAGTTTCAAAATAATGTTAATCACAATCACATTTATTTCCATTCAAGTGTCGTGTATCTCCACAAGAAGTACAAAAATATGATTAGTTCAAACAAGTTTAACATTAAATTTGACATTACTAACAATTAGCTGATTCTCCATCATCATAATAACCAGAAAGACATTAACAAATTCCATTATTGTAAACTCTGAAAGATGTATTTTAATTAATGCATGTCTTACATAAATTAGATTCTTAACCAATACAATTAAAACAAGAATAATGGCATTTTTAACATATATCTACTCCAGCATCATAATAATTATCATTACAAATACAAGAATTAAAAATACTGTTGAATATTCTTTTTTAAATTGTTGAACATGTGATACATTTTGTTGCTATTTAAGAGCAAGTTTGGCATGAATAATGACATTCTAAAACATAATATTATATTGATTACTCTAACAAATCGGATTAATTCCATCATCATAATATCCTTATAAACATAAACATTGTGAATTAATTAATTCTCTAAAACTTAAAGGAGGGCAAGTTAAACATAGATTATTCAATACTGCACAATTTTCACATCGATAATTGCACTCTAAGATTAAAAATATATTATACAAGAGCATTTGGGTTTTCCAATATCAAAATAATTAATTTTACAAATACAAGATGTTCCTAATTAAATTCTATTTTCCTAATCCCAACAAGAATTACATTCTGAAGATGACGGACCTGAACATGTTAAGCAAGAATAATGACAAACTTTATTCAATTATATTAATACCTAGACATTGAAGTTTATTTAAAAGCGAAAATGTAGAAACAAAAGAACCTTAAAGTTTAGTTTTACATAGACATGTGTTTCCATATAAATATTTTTCTGGTTAACAAGATGTACAATTATCAGAAGAATAATTACAATCTAAACATATAGTACTGCAAGCTAATAAATAAAATTTTTCAATTTTACCTTAACATTCTGATTAACCATTATCAAAATATTTAGTTTTACACTGGCATTCACTTTAATCATTCAGTTATCTTCTTGATAATGTATTGCAGGAAATACATTAGTTTGGTTAATTTCCTATGCATGNTTTACATTCCTTACTAATTTCTATTTCATAAGTTCCTTGTACACATAAACATTAATTGTTTAATAATGATTTCATTAATCCACAAGATGAACAATTTGTTATTGAATTTATGCATGTTAAACAAGAAATGTGACATTCTTAACAAATTCCATTAATTTCAGTTGTTCCAGCTTAACATATACATTTATGAGTTAAGTTATCTAAAATTCTCAATTATGTTATTTAACACTCAATACAATTAGATGGATTTAATTTGCAATTTAAACAATTTTTATCACATTCACCACACCTTTGCTATCCAGTTTCAAAATAATGTTAATCACAATCACATTTATTTCCATTCAAGTGTCGTGTATCTCCACAAGAAGTACAAAAATATGATTAGTTCAAACAAGTTTAACATTAAATTTGACATTACTAACAATTAGCTGATTCTCCATCATCATAATAACCAGAAAGACATTAACAAATTCCATTATTGTAAACTCTGAAAGATGTATTTTAATTAATGCATGTCTTACATAAATTAGATTCTTAACCAATACAATTAAAACAAGAATAATGGCATTTTTAACATATATCTACTCCAGCATCATAATAATTATCATTACAAATACAAGAATTAAAAATACTGTTGAATATTCTTTTTTAAATTGTTGAACATGTGATACATTTTGTTGCTATTTAAGAGCAAGTTTGGCATGAATAATGACATTCTAAAACATAATATTATATTGATTACTCTAACAAATCGGATTAATTCCATCATCATAATATCCTTATAAACATAAACATTGTGAATTAATTAATTCTCTAAAACTTAAAGGAGGGCAAGTTAAACATAGATTATTCAATACTGCACAATTTTCACATCGATAATTGCACTCTAAGATTAAAAATATATTATACAAGAGCATTTGGGTTTTCCAATATCAAAATAATTAATTTTACAAATACAAGATGTTCCTAATTAAATTCTATTTTCCTAATCCCAACAAGAATTACATTCTGAAGATGACGGACCTGAACATGTTAAGCAAGAATAATGACAAACTTTATTCAATTATATTAATACCTAGACATTGAAGTTTATTTAAAAGCGAAAATGTAGAAACAAAAGAACCTTAAAGTTTAGTTTTACATAGACATGTGTTTCCATATAAATATTTTTCTGGTTAACAAGATGTACAATTATCAGAAGAATAATTACAATCTAAACATATAGTACTGCAAGCTAATAAATAAAATTTTTCAATTTTACCTTAACATTCTGATTAACCATTATCAAAATATTTAGTTTTACACTGGCATTCACTTTAATCATTCAGTTATCTTCTTGATAATGTATTGCAGGAAATACATTAGTTTGGTTAATTTCCTATGCATGTTAGGCAAGTATAATGGCAAACTAAGATGTAATAATTATTACTTATGCATCTTGGATTTTCAGGTTCATCATAAGATTCATCAGGACACAAACATGAATGATCAACACCAAGATCTCTATAAGAAAAATCTGGGCATTTGTCACAATGATCAATTGTTCCACTACATGATTCACATCGATATGAACACTCTAAAATTATAAGTTTATAAATACTTTAACATATTAGATCTCCTACTTATTTTTGTAAATGTCCATCCTTACAAACACATTTATTAGATTTGACTATCCTGTTACTTTCAGTTGAACAAGTAATGCAATTATCAATTTCAGTTCCAAAACATGTCATGCAGGTATAATGACATTCTTGAAATATTATATTATTTTACATTAGCATTATAATTAGCCAACATCATAATAACCATAAGGACATTCACACTTAGAAATTATTAATTATCTGTAGTTTAAATCACAAGTTAAACAATTGGTTTCATTAATTCCATTACATGTTTTACAAGTAAAATGACATTCTAAACATTCTAATTAAAATTGATCACTATAGTAATGTGGATCTATGCATTAACACTTAAATGTTAATCCAATTCTATCAGGTTATCTAGTAGATGGACAACTTATGCATTAATCTTCTCCATTATTATTACAATCTAAACAAGAGTGATGACAACCCACTAAAATGAATGTATATAGTTACAATAACAAACAATATCATTTCTTCCAGTATCATAATAAGTCTAATTACATTGACATTCATTATTTAAAGTTAAATGCCTATTTGATTCATTTGAACAGGTGACACAATTGGTTGATAACGGTCCATTACAACTGCTACATGTGTAATGACATTCTACATAATTTAACATAATCAATTACTAAAACAAATATCTACAATTCCATCTTCTCCATATCCATTTCTACAAATACATTTTAAATCATCAGATACAATTCTATTTTATCCTGCTATACACATTGTACAATATTAATTTGATGTTTAATCTAATGGTTAATAGCATTTTTCACATCTTTGATGACATGCTAAATATAAAATACATTTTCTACGTTAACATATTGTTTGCCCATCCTATTATAAAAATGATATTGTTCTAATAGTACAAATACATTTTCCATTTACTAATTATTTATAATAAACATTAGGATCTCCGCAATCTGTACAATCATTATCAAGTGGTCCTGAACAGTTATAACATGAAGCATAACATTCTAATTATTATTGCCCTTTATACTTTAACAAATTTTATCCTCTAACCCAGTATCAAAATATCCTTAGAGGCATGGACAAGTAAAACCGACAAGACTTCGATTCCTTAAAGGATTGCATGATTAACATTCTCCAAATTTTAAAGTACATGTTTCACAATTTCCACTCTAACATAAAAAACATTCTCCATTTAATTCAGCATATCCTGCAATTTAATCACATACACATTTCCCTGGAATTATTCTTGCTGTTAATCTGTTTTGATAATAGCAGCTTGTACAATAATTTGGATCAGTTTCTAAACAAGTTTAACATGGAAGATTGCATTCACTTGTATAAGGAGCACACTTTTTCTCAGAGGTTAAATAATGTGTTGCAAAACAGCCTTTACATTCGTTTCCATTATTACAAATAAAACATTTTTCTAATCCTGGTTCATCTTAACAAGCTAAAATGAGAAATTATCTTAATACCAGAACATCTAGTTCCTTTTTTAAAATATCCAGGATCGCATTATTGACAATTGGTATCTATTGGTGTTCCTTCAGAATCATAAACATAATCATATTTAATGCAATTTCTATCCTCAAAGCATAAAGAATTTTTTATAGAATAAGGCCATAAACATTCTGAGCAAACTCCTTATTAACATTTTTTGCAATTATTTGGGCATTCTAATTATATGAAATTTATTACCTATACACTATCCATTTAATAATTCATAACCATAATTACATTCAGTAAATGAATATACGGATTCTATTAATTGACATGATTTATGACCTGTTTAACATTCTATCAATAATAATAATTTTGCTTACTTAATGTACATTTAAAGTCTGTATCGTCTAGCGGAGACTGACCATCTATGCAGGTAGCACACTTTTAATTATTTGTATCACATGTTTTACAATACTGTCCACATACTATTTTATTAAGCTAAACATTTACCTAGTGGTAATAGTGAGGAAGTACAATTTTCCCCATAATTGTATCCAACACAATATATACATTTAATTGTACCACTAAAATGTGTTCCTATTAAACATCCATTCTCATATAATATAGTCAAGTTTAAGGTTAAAAAGTTAATATTTCTATTTTAATCATATGAATATAGAGTAATATAAGGCCACTTTCCCAAAAATATATTAGTATCATTATTCGCTGTTAATGCATACCCTTTTATTAAAGGATGGCAAAAAACTTCGTTATTACCAGCAATCGCTTATCGAGGTACTGTTGATTATCCACCACACAAACTATTAAAACCTAAAGTAGAAGAACAAATTACTTGCGCACATATAAGGATGGATTTGTGGCCAAAATTAATGATTAGTAGGACAAGACCTTTGAAATATTTCTGGGTTAAATTAAGTCTTAAAGGATCGAAAACATAGACATAGAGAGAATAGCTCTATTATGAGTAGGTTTTTGAAAAAATTCATGAAAGAATCTTTTTTAAAGTTTATTATTTATGAAATTAAGAATTACGCAGAAAAGAATTTATCTTTCAAAATTAAAAAGATCAAATAATTGAATAATTTTAAAGCTTTATAACAATATACTAATATCAAATTTACCAACCCTCTTTCCATTTAATTCAACAATTAATGAGTCTAATCAGAAAAAATGCAATTACTAATTGTAATTGAATTGTTGTATAAGGTGTTTTTAAATTTTTTCTTATTAATTTTCTAAATTTTATCCTAATTTCATACTTTTAAAATTAAACAATAAAAATAAGATGTATGAAGATATAATTTCAGCTTTAAAAATTAAATTTCCATTTTTATTAGAATTTTTTGTAATTTACTTAAGTCTAAATTTGTGGTTTATTGCTAGATTTTTCGTAAAGTTCATTTTTTAATGTCAAAGGTATTCACAAAATGAAATCCAGATTAAATGTTTTATAATTAATGCTTATACAAATTTATGATTTAAAATTAAAGAATATTTTGTCTTAATAATAGTTAGTTTTGAAGATAGGTAATGTATTTAATGTGTTAATTTATGTCTTAAAGGATATATTTATGCAAAATTAAGGTGATAAATTATCAATAAATCACTTGACTAAGTATCAAAACTTAATTTAATAAATTACATTAATTTATTTAAATATTAATTAAAATTATGTTAATAATTTTTTTATTTTTTATTAAATTGTTTATATGAAAATAAGGAAGCTAAACTAATAATTGGATGTTGTTATATAAATTTAATCACTTTTAGAAAGTAATCTTTTTTCTATTATCATTTTATTTTTTATTAAGTTTTTTTTTTGTGTATGGATAAAAATTCATGTCCAACAAAAGTTTATACAGCATTTTGAGAGAAATGATAGTTACGAATTTTTATAGATTTTTATCCAATAATTTTAGGAGTTAGCCAACTAAACAGCTTTTTGCTTGCTTCTTTTAGGAAGAGAATTTAGTAATTAATTCTAAACAATTACTAATTTAATTGATTAATATTTAATCATGAATTATATTTATGGGATGAATTTGGAAAATATTATTATGCTCGAAATGATGATAAACAATATGATATAGGTTCTCATAAAATGTATCTGATTCTACTAAAATTGAAGAGACGTATATTGAGAAAATTCATAGTTGTTCTATTTAAGTAGATTTTAAATGAATCAAAGTATAAATCTAAGGAATTCCTTAAATTTCATGTTAAAGATGAATACGATATGAATTCTATTTTTAGTTTATTGGAATTACAAAAAGAGAAATAGACATCAAATAAAGAAATTTTAAACTAGTTTAATTAAATTACTATAGAGAGTAATATATATAATTATAGTAATAAATAATTAAGTAGCAAGAAAAGTTTGGAATAGTAAAAAGACCTTAATATCCTAAGAGATAAGGATTATGAGTATAGAAATATAATGATTAAGCAAATATGAGTCAAAAATAAATCAATTGTAGAAAATAATGAAGAATAATAGTAATAATAATCATAAAGAATTGAAAATCAATAAGAAGAAGATGATTTTAATTCATTAGAAAAATGAACAAATAAAAAATAAAGTAGTTAGGAGGAAAGAGAGAGCCTGGATAGATGTTTGGAACACAAAATATAAAAAAAAAGAATTGATTAGATTTAATATATTTTTATATATTGATGAGTCGAAATCCATCACCACGGAGATTCTAAAATGTGTTAGATAAATGGCATTATAGTAAATGTTCAGAAATAAAGATCCACTTCTTTGTGAAAAATCTCTATATGGGCAATCAAACAGAAGATCAATTTTTGTGTTTTGTGAAAGATCGAGTGTAGAAGGCGGTAAGATTATAAAGATGAATAAAGGGTCCTTGTGAAGTGATTTAAATAACAGATAAGAATTAGAATGAACGAACAATTGATATAGCAATAGGTATGCGATATGACAACGATGCTAAATTGATATATATTGGAAAGAAACATATCAATTTGGTATCAAAAAATCAAAGTGAAAAGAAAATAATTCCTATGATTAGTGATATATTTTTGATGATGCTAAGGGTAGTGAATATTATATAAGAGGGTGTTAGGAGAAGGGAGAAGTAGACAAATAAGCACTTGAAGAAAAATTGAGGTAGTAAAGATTTGGTGAAAAAAAGAGAGATAGATCAAGTAGTTAAGAATCATCAAGATCTGATAGTGTTGATAAAAAGAAGAATCCTAGTGCAATAGTCTTAAATTTATAAGTTATTCCATAATAGAAAACTATTCCTCCTCCTCTTCCTCCTATTGTGGATATTTAACCAGTGCAATTAACAAGTAATTAAATTCACTCATACATTATAGTTCCTAAGGAAACTCTATATATCTTTGGGATTCCCTTAGAATTCACTTTACAAGAGTGCTTGATAGATATTAAAAATAGCTTGAATTTATAGTAATTACCAGAGGGTACATTCAGAAGTGAAAAATAGTAAGATCATATTTTTGAATATTTGGAAGTGCAATTAGAAATGATATAGAAGAATCTGTTATTAAAAATTAAGAATGTGCCCTGTCTTATATGTTAAAAGAAAAAGAAGACTGATTCATTCTCAGACATACTTAAACAATATTAATTATTCATCAAAACATAACACCCAATCAATACAAACAAATTATTGACCATATTCCAATAATATGGTGATATCATTGGATTATATGAATTGCTAGTTAAGTAAATTCACTATCTCTATTTCTAGTCAAGAGGAATCATCCAATTCTCATTGTATTGTATATACAACTGATCAATTCATTAAACATTTGAAACCTCCTGGTCAAATTGAAATTCCTGAAGAAAAAACAATTTATGAATACAGAATACCTGATTAAAATTTTGTCTCTTTTCAACGGATCCCCTACAAAAGTACATTACATGCCTAAATTACAAGGGATTCTAGTAGTTCTAGTAGTAGTAGCTCATCATCATCAGTAATTATTTTAATATTATTATTAATAATAGTCTTCACGGAGCAGAAGTGATAGTAACCCTAGAAAAAAAAAATAATACAGTATTTATACTATTATTATATATATAATTTTAGATAAAAATAATTATAACAATCGCAAAAGATAAAACTATAGAAGGAACAATAATTATTATGACAATTGAGATTAGGTCTAAATATATTAAATATTGATTTTATTTTAAGGTATAATAATTCATCATTCTTCATTTCTTTTATTATTACATTTGTTATTAAATTTATTACACTTGCATCACTCGTTTCTGTAATTCAATATTCAATTTATCCATGAATTACTTTTTCTAATTTATAATGTTTGTGAGTTTATCTTGTGATTCTTTCAATAATTGCAATTTTCTGTCACAAAATTGTGATCCCTATTCAGTATTACGCTCTACAAAATATCCTGTTCCGTAATCTATCATAACTGATTATGGATTAATCAATCTTCCTCATTATGGTATTTAATTTGTACCTGGTACATAGAGTGAAGCAGTAATGGGCACTAGTAGATCATTATCTTTAGGTGTTTGATCTAATTTCTTTAAGATTATTTTGCTTTCTTCATATTTTGAATTTGCAATTCTGAATTAGGATAATGATTAAGTTAGTTATTAGACTTCCTAATTAATAGAATAATGTCAAACTTCTTCAATTTGCTTTTTGATCTACAACAATTATTGAGGAGTCAATTTATCAAGAGGGATAGCTTTTTGTTCTTCTTGTTATTGGCTCATCACAATTTAAATATATAAATTTTAATGTCTGATTCCGAAGAAGAACAAGTGAAACAAGCACCAATAATAAAGCCTCATTAAAAATAACAAAAGGACTTTTATGCTGAATAATTATAAGCAAATGAAGAAGCAGATTCATAAGCTCCTTTGTTGGTGGTTGTATAAGGACCAAAAGGGAGTGGAAAAACAACATTAATAAAATCTCTAGTGAAACACTATACAGGATAGAAAATAAAGAAATTAGTGGGTCCAGTGACAGTTCGTTCTAATAAATAACATCGTGTGACATTTATTGAATGTCCAAGTGATATCAATGCAATGAGTGATTTAAGTAAAGTGGCTGATTTAGCATTAATAATGATTGATGCTAGTATAGGATTTGAAATGGAAACATTTGAATATTTAAGTTTGCTGAACAATCATGGTTTTCCTAATGTAATGGGTGTATTGACACATATCGATTTCTTTAAAGATAATAAACAATTGAGAAAGACCAGAAAGAAGTATAAGAAGAGATTTGAATATGAAACAGGTGGAAATTATAAATTGTTCTATTTGTAAGCATTAAAAAATGAATACTATTTGAAATAGGATATACATAATTTAGCAAGGTTTATTTCAATAATAAAGATTGCACCAGTGAGATGGAAAACAGAACATCCATTTGTATTAGCAGATCGTTATGAATAGGGTAAGGATAATACTACAACATTTTATGGATATGTAAGAGGATGTACATATAGATTAAATGATAGAATTCATTTCGTAGGTTAAGGAGATTACTATATAGAAAGTTTTAAAGAAGTTTTAGATCCTGTTGAAATTATTACTACATAAAAAAAACATAGATCATTGAAGGATACTGAAAAGCTAGTTTATGCTCCTATGTCAAGTATTGGTGCTTTAACTATTGATGCTACAGCAGGATATATTACAATTCCATAACCAATTTTCACAGAAAAGAATAAATTTGTTAATCAGGAAGATGAGGATGATGAATAAGTTGAAGAAGAAGAAGAAGAATAAGAATTACCAGAAGGAGTTAGAATGGTTAGAGAATTATAATAAATGACTGAAGGAATTGATAAATAATTAGAAGAAGAAGAAGATGTTTAATTATTAGAAGGTTTTGAATTAGAATAAGAATAACCAACCAAAAACAAAAATAATTAATAATAGATTTAATAATAAAGAGAATTAGTTAGATTAAAGAATAGAGTTAATATTAAAATTGAAAATGGAACTGTTTTACCTATTTCAGATACATTGTTAGCTACTGATTTACATGAATTAATTTATTTGAATAAGAATGGTATTAATGAATTTGATAGTGTAAGATACATTCCAAAAGTTTAAGAGAGAGATTCATATAAAGAAATTAAAGAATTATTTGTAACAGGGTTTTATGGATAAACTGATGTTGTTGATTTAGAAAATTTAGAAAAATAAATTGAGGAAGAAGAATAAGAATAAGAATAAAAAGAGCAATAAGAATAAGAAAAACAAGAATAGGAGGATAAATAAAATTAGGATTAAAATTCAAAAGAAAAATAAAATAGATAATAACTTGTTAATTAATTGACATAATCTAATCTTGGATTATATAAAAAAGGAACCTATGTTAAAATTGTTATTAAAGATTTCTCTTAATAAATAAGGGATGATTATCCAATGATACTTGCTAGATCTGAAGTAGGAGAAGATAATTTAGGATTCATTAAAGTAATATTTATATTGAATAATTAGATTCGTATAAAAAAACATAGATGGCATAGTAATATTTTGAAATCAAATGATCCAATCATTATTTCATTAGGATGGAGAAGATTTTAAACGATTCCAATATATTGTGTTTAAGATCCTAATGATAGATTACGTTTCATTAAATATACTCCCGAATATGATTATTGTTATGCAATATTTTATGGTAATTTTGCACCTCAAGGAACTGGTCTCGTATGTACTTAATCATTAAGTAATAAATTGGTATAATAAATTTATATTAAATTAGTCTAAATTTAGAATAGCTGCTACTGGGATTGTTTTAGAAATGAATCATTAATTTGATGTTATGAAGAAATTAAAATTAGTTGGAGAACCTTTTAAAGTTATAAAAAATACTGCTTTTATTAAAGGAATGTTCAATTCTTCACTTGAAGTAGCGAAATTCTAAGGTGGATTAATTAAAACTGTATCTGGTTTAAGAGGACATATAAAGAAACCAAGTAAATTAGGTCCGGATGGTAGTTTCAGAGCAACATTTGAAGACAAGATTTAAATGAGTGATTTAGTATTTTGTAGAACATGGGTTAGAATGCATTTAGAGAGATTTTATAGACTTATCACAAGTGATGTTAAATTAATGAAGACTATGTGGGAATTAAGATAGGAAAGATAAATACCATTAGAATTTAAACCAGATTCTACTTATCAAGATTAAGAAAGAGTTCCTGTTAAATTTGCTCCACTTAGAATACCTAATAATTTATAATAGAATCTACCTTTTGAAAGCAAAGAGAAAGTAAATAAATTCTAATAAATTATAGGTTAAATCACTTTCATTTAGAGAGAAGTTGAGATAATAGGTAGAAAAGAATTTACCAGTTAAGAGTAATATGACTGATAAGGAGAAGGAAGTTTATTCGCTAATATAAAGATTAAATACTATTAAAAATGAAAAGGAAAAGAAAAGAGATGAAAAAGATATATAGAAATAGAAGGTTAAGGAAGCATAGTTTAAAGGATAAAAATAACATTTAGAAGAAGGGAAGAGAAAATATAAATAATAAAAGTAAAAAGAAAAGTTTATAAAATAAGTTAAAAAATAATAATAATAGTGATGTGTATATTTAATATATATAATTAAATGAAGTATGGTTCTCCTAAAGTTTCATCAAATACTATAGATGTATTGGATGAAACATTGTCTCCTCAAAAATCTATAAGACCATATGTAAGAGACAAAAGGAGTAATAGTAATAAGATGAAGGATTTCATTTATGACAATTAATTGTTTGATAATGTTGATAATAAGATTAGAGCTTATCTTTAAAAGAATCAAGTCAATTATGAAAAGAGTCTTATCAAATTGTATAATTTAGATTCTCTTTAAAGTCATAAAGCAAAACGATTGTTAGGAGAACTCAATTAAACAAGGCGAATATAACAATTTAGTGCTGTTAGACAAACTAAGTCTATGTAGAATTCTCATCCATCACTATATAGAGAAAGAAACAACAGTCTTCCTTCTTCTAAACAAATGCAATTTGATCTTAAATAAATATAATAGGAATTAAAAAAAATCAATCCTGATATAGAAAATAAAGTATTAATGAATGTCTCAGTCTTTAAATTTAATCAATCAAACTGTGCTCGTCTTGAATAAGAAGAATGGGAAAGAGTTGCCTTTTAATAATACCCTTATAAAATTAGACCAAAAATGACCAATTTCTAATAAGAATTAGATCGATTAAACAGTTATTATTCAAGAAATGAAAACTCTTTAAATTAACTTATGCAAATCTAAAGAGATTTGCTGCATTACAAATTGCTTTAATAATGATATTTATCTAACATATTTATATATACTCAGAAATGATCTGGAAAAAGACACAATATTAGATCTCTAGTTTATGGAAATTGTTGGAGAATATAAATGATTTTTTTTTTCAGTTCCTCCATATCTTACACTCTTTCACTTAAATATTTATATTCAGCTGAATTTTAATTAGTAATCATTGTTTCAATAATATTCGATAATTTCTCTTAATTGTTAGGCCAAGTATCACATAACTAATTTATTTAATTTAACTAATTACTTTCTTTATATAAGTATATAATGCTTTCTCATATGTTTTAATATCTCCATTAGACCAAAATATTTTTAATTATTCTTCCAATTTAGATATATATTGAATATCATTAATTGCATCATCAATAGTAGTTTTTTAGATCAATCTCTTATATATCTGAGCATCATTATTTGGAGGAGTTTAATATTCATTAAAATTAAATTTCTATAGATTCTTAATATCAATATTTTGATTGCTAATAAATATTAATAGAATATAATTACTTAACATCAATTTATTTAGTTTTAATCCATTATCTTAATTATTTATGATACGTATAAACACAATAATCTTTAAATAGAAATTCTACTAAAGGATAACCTTCAGTGTCAATTTTAAGATTTGCTTTAATCAAAGGATCAATGCTTTATTTACCTTTCTTTTCATCTTCATTAAGTTATTATTTTTTATCCATCCATTCATATACATGCTACATAAGTATTTTAATATCTCCTTCATAAGATATAACTTTTTATTTTAAATCAATAACTTTAAATTCCCCAGTATTTTAAAGACATAAAATATGATTTTTAGGACTCAAAACAATTTAACTTAAAAATGGTAAAATAAATGGTGCTTCTTATCTCATTCCTTTATGATTCTCAATATAAAGTAATGCCTAATCAGTGTAAATAACTATATGATCATCATTGTATTATATAGTCTTTATTTAACCATCTACATAATCTATCCATTTAGGTACATTATTCTCAATACATCTAATCAAAGTTCCGTAAACTGCTTAATTGAATATTCTTTGTTATTATTTTTGAACTTCTAATAATAGAGTTTTCTTATTCATTTAAAAAGAATAACTCTTAGGTAATACCTCATATTATTATATAACCAATAATGGTAATTGTTGTTCAACTTTTTTTACAACAGGTTCAGAAGAATTGATTTCTAAAGGAATTAACTTTTTTTTCCCATCAACAATTATCTGTTTAAATTAAGTTTATATTGGTTTAGGAATTTCTCTTTATTATATAGTACTATCAGGAATTTAATTTTTGAGTTCATCTTAAACATGCATTTGTTCAATCTACATGTCTGCAAATTTTATATTTTCATTAATTTTTGGTTAATAAAATCTAATTTATTTAACAGTATTTTTAAGATTTCCATAAAGATTCTTAATTTATTGTTACTTTTCATTTTCAGTTAAAGTTTAACCTAAACTCATTTAAAAATCAATTATTATAATATATTTTTTAGAAGTTGTAGCCATAAGAACTGTTCCATTTTAATTCCAAGTAATATCCTCTATAAGTTCTTCAGCTTTTTTATGTCCTTTAATTAAAAGGAATGGTTATTCATCAACTTAATTTTCATTAATTTACCATAAACTTATATTACCATCATTGTCACCAATAGCAAAAACACTGAAATATTCATTAGAATTAGAATTCTTAAATAACATGGGTGAGAATCTAACAACATTAATTGATGAGAATGGACCCACTATAGTTCTAACAACTTAAAAATTTTAATTTCTATCTAAAATAGCTACAGTTGGGATTGTCTATAGATTATAAAATTAATACTTTATCATCTAAATTTGGAATAGCCAAATATCTACAATCTACACTCCAATCTAATTTTCTATCTTCTCTTTTAGTTGTACATTATTTTCCTTATATTTGGAGGGAAATAGTAATTTCCTATTTCCAATTATCAATTTTATAAAAATTGACCTTGTATATTAATGTGTGATTACTGTATTATCAAATTTTAACGAAACAATGTATTTATCAAATGGATCCCAACATATTCCAACTGTTTTTTAACCACAATCAATTTTATGTTATATTCCATCTTATTTGATATGATAAATAAAGATATTTCCATCTAATGATGCAGTAGCTATTCTTTAATCATCGGGCGACCAACATAATGCAGTAATTTCTAATTTATGTCCTTAATATGTTCGATAAATAGATAAATTGGCGCCATTGAATTACCAAACAATTAATTTATCATTACTTGTTGCTAAATATGTTCCAGATGGAGACCATGCTAATTATGAAATCATTCTCTTTTCCATTTTACCAATCTAAATAGGATGTAAATTAAATTAAGCATCCACTTCATTTAATAACAACCAATCTTCCTCCTCTCCACTTCCCAATGCTAATATATTCTTTCTTGATAAACTCAATGATTTTAATCCTGTTGTTGCCTCTATTATACTAGTGTATTTGATTCTTACAGACATATAATTATTTATAATAAATCAATTGATTATTTGTTTCTAATTCTTTTTCATCAATTACTATACAATTGAAGAATGAAAGAATCGATCCCCAAACGAATTCATTACTTAAGGTGATTATTATTACTTATTGAAGTGTGGTTAATATCCATCAAAATTTTTAATTTCCATATATCGAGGACTTATTAGTTTTTATTTTTCCATCAAATTCTATGGCAACGAGAATTGAGTCTTATGAGTACTTTCACGAATCAAAGATTGGGTATCCACTGGAAATGGTCCTCTATATAAATTAATCAAATTAAAATTACAATGGCTTAGGAATAATTGGATCTTATTTCTCATATTTCTGACTCACAAAATTACGAGAATAATTTGTTTCAGCAATAAATGGTAATTTCTTATCACTTTAAACATAAAATGGCCCAATGATACCATGATATTATTTTTTCCAATCTCTAAAATTAGCTGTGTAAGATGACAAACATGACATAATATTCTAATTAGGCATATGATCAGGTTTAAAATTATCTGACTTTTCATATCTTTGAGGCACAAAATGTTACTTATTTATTACTAAATTTCTTGTATACATTATATGTGCTTGAATTCTAAAGAAATGAAGCTGATTATTTTGCTCTCTCATATATCCATCTATTAATGTATGTTGAATCTTTCATAAATTTATCATTATAATCATCAGTATATTATGTATTGTATTTACTTTTACATCCCAATTTTTTAGTCTTTAATAATCTAATTTCCATTTCCTATAAATACAATGCTTACTATTATGTATTTCATACCTAATAAATCCGAAAAGTAATCCTAATTTTATGTAATTACTTCCTCTATACTTTAATCTCCTACTTAGAGATCTCTCCAAAGTTAATGATCAGGTGGAAATATCTCCTATATATTATTTATCAAATCACACAAATTAGTTTTAGATGATTATTCTGATGTAATTTACTCCTTCTTTTATATAGATGGTAATATTATTGGTTTTTATTCCTCAATTGTTATCTTTTCTCCTACACGTTATTATTCAGTCTCTGCTTTCTGAGATTGATAATATAATTTCTGAATATCTGGACTAACATGTTAAGATAATAATTAATTCTTTAATTTCACAACCCTTCTCTTTTTTGGCTTTGTTTGATTTGTTCCATTACTTTTATAACTCTATTCACTAAACTCTGATCTTGATAATTTTTATTTATCATTTCCTTTCTAAAAATCATTCGAACTCAAGATCTTTTAGATTTTATCATCAATTATCATCTTATTTAATAATTATATAAATATATTAAATATTACACTCATTAATTATTTTATTAAATTATCCCTATTATGTTTTTTATAATTTTAATCTATCCTAATAAACTAGAATTAATTATTACTATTATATCTATCAAATAATTTATAAACAATTTTACATCTACATCATCAAATTATTATTTTCTATTCTAATTTTTCTTATTTTAAAATTAAGTAATCTATTCCAATTTTATATTTTTCATAAGCCTTTTAATAAATCTACTCTAAAATAATGATATCCCATTCTCTATAAAACACTGTATTAATTATTAATCAAACGAATTATCTGGGAGAAGAATAATTATTACAAAATTACAATTTATATAACAGAAATTAGACTCATGATAAGAATTATCAAAAAACAGTTGTTTCCTTAAAGAAGTTTGATATACAAAAAATTACTGTTTAAAATCAACAATACTGAAGCCAAATAAAGAAAATAGAAATAAATTGATTGAACTCGATAGAAAGTCCACAAGAAAGAATTATAAATTAATTTTAAGTAATTATTTTTAGATATTATTAAAATTTATTAATTAAACAAATCATTCTTAAAGAAAAGATTAAATAAAAGAATTCAAAAACTTTTAATAAAATGAAAGTAATTTTTGTAAGAGTAAATATTTAGAGAATTTAAATATTGTGTATTGTTCTAATTAGAAGAATAAGAGCAATTTATTATTTACTGTGAAATATTAAAAAATAACTTAAAAAAATAAATTATATTTGATTTGAATGTTAATATGTATACTTAAAAAAAGTATATAAAATAATTTTGTTTTGTATTTTATTTTTATCACGCAAATATATACTATAAATTCAATAAATTTCTGGTTGATTTCCTAATTTCTTCTAGGTATTTAATAATCTATAAAAAATATAAAAAATATGTACGGTTTCGAATAAAAGTTTTTAGTATTTGGTTATGATTAATTAATAGTACTAGTAATTTGATATTATTACTAGAGTTCTTATTATTATCTTTAAGAGTTTTATTATTCATCAGGTTATAATCTTAATTGCCTCTTTTTGTTTGTACCTTATATTGATGAGGCATAAGAAGGAATGTAGGCACAATCTAAATCATCTTCAAGATTATTAGAAACAACATTCTAAGTATTAAAATTAAAATTAGGTTTAGTATGATGATTCATAAGGTTCTAATTATTCTCTTATTTTGCATATGCTTTATTAGCTTTTGCAGGTGTCTATAGAGGACTTATTAAATATTTAGTATCATCTTTCAATTCTAATTCTTTAGGTAAAAATTTAAATGGTTAAGATAACCAATTACATTATAGAACTTCTACTGCAGTTATTCTCTATAGTGGATCTTCTTAAAGCATGCTTTTGATTAGATTCAAAGGTTATTGAGGAATTAATTTCTAATGTTAATCCAAGTTGAGATTTTAAATCTGGTATAATTAATCAATTTCAGTTGTACCAGGTATTAATGGATTCAATAGATATAACTCTGCTAAAATACATCCTAAAGCCCATATGTCTACTTCTTGATTATATTATTCTTATTTGATTTACTCTGGAGACTAAATTAATAACAATTATACATTACCCTATACCATCTAGTAGAAACATAATCTGTATGTTGTTCATTTTAATATGTAACTTATCCAAAATCTATTAATTTTACAATGCCATTGTCTTATATCATAATGTTCTCTGGTTTTAAATCCCTATTAATAAATCAAAAGCTATACCTATGTAAATATCCTTGATTATGCAAATAATTTAAAGCACTAGCTATTTAATATACTATGCTTTAAATCTGCTGTTCACATAGAGTTCTATTTTTCTCTTTTACAGATTTATAATATTATAACAAGTTCCTCTCAGAATAATCAAGCACTATTGCTATTGTTTTATTTTGCTTTATCACTTCCCTTAATTTTATAATGTTTGGATGATTTAGCTTTTTAAGTATTTAGATTTCCTTTATTTTTGTTTCATCCTTAATTGAATTATCTCGATAAGATTTTATTGCCACAAATTCATGAGTTCTTTCATCAAGTGCTTTTGTTACACTTCCAAAAACACCATCTCCTAATTTTTAGATTATTTTATACATTTTATTAATAATTAAAATTGTGAGTAGATTTTTAAGCAATAATATAGATTTTAATTATCTATCCCCTTGATATTCATTAAGAAATAATACTAATTACTTTTAAACTTATTCACTTTATATAATTATTTATATGGAAAATTAATTGAAAATATTTTAAGAAGAATTATAAGAATTGCTCATCAAATCATAATTAAACATGAGAAAGCTCACTATTAATAATATCTAACTATCAGATCTTATGAAAACTTCTGCTAATGACTTACATATTGCAGTTGAAGAAAATACAGATAAGGTTAATTTGTAAATTAAACAATGTATGTAAATGCAAGATGAATTTTTGTAAATAGAAGCCCTATAAAAGAAAGTGTATATTATTTGCATCTATTACCTAGGGAAATATTTAGATTAATAATTGAAGAAGTGCAGAAAAAGAAAGAACAAGAATATTAGAATTTATTAAAAAAATAATGAATTATATATACATAAGTTATTTAAAATATATCTATCCCTATTAGTATAATTATCTAAATTTGTACCTATAGTTACTACTAATATAAAAATATATTTTAAATCAAGTCTTCATTAAATATAGTAGAAATCTAATTAGATAACTTATAATTTGATTAGTTTATTATTAATATTAATTATAATAATTAATAATTACCCATATATATTTAGATGATACTCAAAATCTATAGAATATTAATTTATAAAATAATACTCAAAATATTAATATAATATATATATATAATAAATCAATGTTTTTTATTTTAATAAAACTTGGTAATTTTTTGAATATTAGGAAGTTCATTAATAGATTCTTCATCTTCCTCTTTAATTTATTAGAATGGTTATATCTTTTTGATATTTGTGCTTATTTAATCTGTAGTTTATCCTCTTTGTTACTTTCTAAAAGTTGAAAATTCACTTGCCAATTCACTAAATCCATCATTCATGTCTTCAAAAGGTTTAAATTTGCAATCTTATGCACACCAATCAAAACAATAAGGTCCTAATTTAATTATATATTACTATTTTTATTAAGTCCTTCTTTACATAATTCCTTCATTTTTGCATAATTAGGTTATTCATCAAATCTTAATCCTTTAGAATGATCATAAATTATTTTAATAATATGAGGGATACTAATTTCTAATTAACCTGCAGCAAATTTTTATTTGGCTTCTAAAATCTTTTAAAATTTTTCTTATCTCGTTTAACATGAAAAATTCTGCCATGGTAATTAACCATTATAGAGATATAAAAGAACATAACACATAGCTTCTAAATCATCTCTTCTACTTTACTCAGCACCTAAATGTGAATTAATACTTGTATATCTAGCTGTACCAACCATTCCCTTATTATCTGCTTAAGGTATATGAATTCCTAAATTTAAATCTTCTTATTTAATACCTTATGCATCTTAATATGGCTTGGCTAATCCAAAATCTATTAAATAAACTGTATGATGATCTCCACTACTTCCAACTAAGAAATTCTCTGGCTTTATATCTCTATGTACAAATTTTCTTTCATGAACTGCTTCTATTGCTGTTATCAAACAATATGCTAATCTAATTATACATGTTTCAGAGAATTTCTCATGTAATTACTTCTTACGTAATTCCTCCAAATTACCTTAACTTAATAATTCCATTACCTTAACCATAATATGGCATTATTATCAATTTGTAATCCTACTGTTAAATTAATTGATAAGGTTAAGGAATTTATTATATTCCTTTTAACTATACTAATGTATTGTATTCTTTAACTAACAATGACTATTAATTTTATTGTCTTGTATCTTTAAATTCCACTTTACATGCATGCAAAGTTTTTGTAATTGTATTATAGATTTTATAAATCTCTCCAAAACTACCTTATCCAGCCTTCTCGATTAATACAAATTCAGCTGGTAACTCAATCAATGGACTTACAACCTTCTTTATTGGATATTCACTTTGTAATCTTACTTTTGGTAAACTTGTTTACATTTATGTTTTTAATAATAATAATTATCAAAATTACATCATATTTCATAATACATACATTCATAAATATTATAAATATCTAACACAACTCAAAAATACAGAAAACATTCTTCTATTTGCTGCATATTACTAATTATTTTTTAAAATATTCTAATTATTTGAAAATCTAAATATCTAATTAAAAACTTAAAAATGATGTTTAACTTTACAGGTTCTTTTTAAAAGAAAGGATGAGTTCAATAAAATATATATTAATTCAAAAAAAAATTGATATTTTAAAAAAATAGCTGATATTCGATTTTTTAAATTCTAATTAAGATTATGAATATTCTAATATTATGAATATTCTAATATTATGAATATTCTAATATTATGAATATTCTAATATTATGAATATTCGAATATTATGAATATTCTAAAATAATTAACAATTGTTGATTGAATGTAAATTAATCTCTTAATGTAGTAGTTTATCATCTTTATCAATGATGTATAGATAAGTTAAAAATTAAAAAGCTTAGATATATTAATTTTAAGGACTGTAATAATCTATTCTTAATTTGATTTAAAGAATTTATATTATAAATAAAGTTCTTTAATTTTTAAAAAATTTAAAATCAATTGATTTATTATTGATATATTTAGAATCTAATACATGGTAATAGTTTGTTGAAATGAGTTTTAAATTTTGTATAGACATTGATAATTGATGATTGATTATTTAAAGTCAGTCATTTGTTTTTGATAATGTTAATTAAAACTTAAATTAAATTATTTAGAGATTATAATATTATTAAACTAAATCTTTTAAATATGAAAAATAAAGGTGCATAAGTATTCTGGTAAATAGTTTTGATAATTATATGGTTGTTAATAGATGAATGTAAATTAATATTTCTAATTAGGTAATGGATGTCCAACTGGATGTAAGACATGTGGATTGATTAATGATTGTTGGTCCTGTATTGATGGATATTACTATTCTTTATTGTATTGTTATAAATGCATCAGTGGATGTTAAATTTGCTCATAGTCAAATTCCTGTTAAACTTGTTTATCTACTTATACTCTATAAAATGGCATATGCTAGCCTAAATGTTCATTAAATTGTTTGAATTGTAATGCACCTTCCACATGCACTAACTGTATGGATGGATACTATATTGATACCAATCAATAATGTTAATAATGTACTCCACCTTGTTAGACTTGTAATTCAAGTCCTAATTTATGTCTTACATGTAATGATCAAATAGGAATGATCGTCATTAATTCATAATGTGTTTGTAAAGAAGGGTTTATTAAGAATTCCTTAAATGTTTGTATACCTTGTACACCTCCATGTTTTAGTTGTATCGATAATTAAAATAAATGCATTTCTTGCATTTCCACATATAATTATTATTCCATCAGCAATACATGCGAATGTCTAAGTGGATAATATGAAATTAATTAGAGTTGTCAACCTTGTCAATTACCTTGTTCTACATGTGAATTATCTAGTTCTCATTGCTTGTCATGTTCAGATATTAATTAAACTTTAAATGGATAATTCTAATGCATTTGCAATTAAGGATTTATATAGATTATGACGCATTGTGAATAATGCATCACTCCTTGTTTAACATGCAATTTAACTACTACTTTTTGTCTTTCATGTGTTGATATCAATCATGAATTGAATAATGGAGCATGTATATGTAAACAAGGATATTTAACACTTTCTACATCACAATGTATATAATGTAATTCTGATTGTAAAACATGTTCTATTTCAATTGATAAATGTGATTCATGCATAGATCTTAATAAAGAAGTTGATTAACTATATTAATGTGTTTGTAAGTAAGGATTTTATTTGGATCCAATAAATAATATATGCAAAGAATGTGATAGTTCATGTAGCATATGTACAATTGATAGATGCATAACGTGTAAATAAGGATATGGAAAAAGTAAAGAATCTGTCTTGTATTGTTTACCTTGTCATTATCCATGTTTAGATTGCTAAGAAGATGTAGAATTTTGTAATAGATGCGATAAAACAAGTTTTATTTATTTAGAGAATAAAGAATGTAAATGCCCAAAAGGTTATTATTTTGATAATCAATAATGTTCAAGATGTTCACCTGAATGTGATAATTGTTCTTATAAATTAGATAATTGTTTGAATTGTATTGATAACAATTATTAATTTTTTGAAAATAGTTGTGTTTGTCCTTTTGGATATTATATAGATACATCATATAATTGTTAATAATGTAAAGAACGTTGTGAATCATGTAAATATAATTTTGATTTTTGTTTAAGTTGTAGTAAATCCCAATAGATATTGATTAATAATTAATGTTAATGTATAGATGGTTATACTTACATAATGACAAATGATTAATAATAATAAGATCTATGTCATTAATGTTCAGATATTTATTAGAATTGCATTGAGTGTGATTCATAAAAATGTAATAAATGTTAATTAGGATATTATTAAAATGAATTATAAGAATGTGTTATAACAATATGTGGAGATAAGATTAGAGTTGAAAATGAAGAATGTGAAGATGGAAATGATGGATGTTAGGATTGTTAATGTTAATTAGGATGGTATTCAAATGAAATAGACTGTAATTCTATATGTGGAGACGGAATTTAAGTATATAGAGAATAATGTGATGATGGCAATGATATTCAATATGATGGATGTTATTTATGTTAGTATGATTGTAATTAAAATTGTTAATTATGTAATCAAGGTGTTTGTAGTGAATGTAATGAAGGTTATTAATTAGAAAATAATTAATGTATTACATCATGTGGAGATGGTATATTAAATTAATCAATAGAATAATGTGATGATAAAAATAATCTACCTAGAGATGGTTGTTTTAATTGTTTTCTTGAAGATGGATTTATTTGTCATTACAATAATTAATTATAATTTCAATCTTGTGAAAGATGTTTAGATTTAAATTGTATCACTTGTTCTCTTGATAATTAAATTCAAATTTGTCATAAATGTTAAGATGGTTATTTTATTGATCTATATAATGGATGCTCAAAATGTGATGATATTTGTATCAATTGTATTATTAACTCTAAAAATTGTATCACTTTTGATTATCAAGTATATTAATTGAAATAATGTAATTAAAGTTAAGGACTTTATTATGATTTCACCCTTAAAGATTGCTAATCTCAATGTGGAGATGGAATTATAAGTGCTTAAGAATAATGTGATGATTATAACACTATTGATTATGATGGATGCAATAAATCTTGTTAAATTGAACCTGGTTTTCTATTTGATATTTAAAGTAACACGTTCATCAATGAACCTAAAATTAAAATAGAATCCTAAAAATCTAATAATAATTTATATTAAATCATTCCTGATTCTTTTTCAGAATCTATTAATTGCACTGGTTCATTTATAAATATTGATAATTTCAATAATTCATAATACAATTTTAATATAACTTAAATTCATCAACATTGTGATATATAATTATCCTTATATAAAACTATTGATCCAATTAATTTGATTCATGTTTTTGTCAAATATAATCAAAATTACAAAAAACGAATATTAGATGAAGATTCCTCCTCATAAGAAATCGTTATTGTACCTTAAAGATAAGTATATGTAAATTAAGAATAAAAAGAATAAGGATAAAAAGTGGCTTCAGCTTCCAAAGCTATGTCTTAATCTATTGTTGCATTTGCACCTCTAGCTTTAATTTTTGGAGGATTCAAATTTATATGGGCTATCCTAGACATTTTAAGTTGGTTAAATAATTTCTATTTCTTAAATGTTAATTATCCTGAAAATGTTAGACTACTATTTTAATAAGCAGAATGGAGCAATATTATTACCTTTCCTACTATTAATATCTTAAATTAACCACATGATGATTATTACTTTTAAGCATAACCTAAATTCACAGATAAAGACATTGATCCTCTTTTTTTTAATAATATCCAAATTGTTTTCATTTTCTTATTGCAAGTCTTCTTTACTAAACTTATATGTTGTAGCTTAAGGAATTTATTATAAAGATATTATAAAAAAATTTTAATCCTCAATTAAACAAAATCTATCTTTAAACTTAGTGAATTTGAAATTGAAATTTAATAACAAAATTAAAAAATATAACCAAGATAATAAACATTAATCTATTAAATTCCAAAAATATTCACACCTTTATATTCATAATGTCTTATTTTTGAATCAACTTTTGTAGCTAACTTAATCAAAACTTTATAATTAAGCTATTTGGATATCACTTTAGCAATTGTTCTTTAAATTACTAATTAATAAACAGCACACAATTTAATAGTTAAAGTAAATATTGCTTTTGCTTTCTTTTTTATTATTATTTTAATTTATCTAATTTGCTTTTCATATACTATAACATCATCTCATCAATTGAAATTAAATTATGAACATTTTCAAAAAAGATATAGTTGTTTTTATGAAGAACTCAAAACAGATTCAAAAATTGCTATGATGTATTCTTTTGTCAATCTATTACGAAAAACTTGTTTTATAGTTGCCACTGTTGTACTATATAACATCCCTATATTTTAAACTACTGTATGTTTCTTATCTTGTTTACTCAATATCATCTTTTTGTTAATGGGTAACCCATTTACAACTAAAAAACAATTTATCTTAAACTTTATTCCTGATCTATGCATATTACTAATTATAGGAATAACAATAATTTTTGCATTTTAGGATAAATTTTAAATTTTAGATGATTAAAATATTTATATATTAGGTTGGATAGTTGCTCTTTGCATATATATTTCCATCATACTGTAATTATTATTCTTGTTAAAAGAAATATTATTTTAAATGTGGGATCGATTGAAAAAATTGTTTAACTATTTTAAAAATAAATTTAATTGTGTATATTGATTATCTTTTGTATATATTATTAATAAAATAAAATTTTCAATATATCCTTTAAGTATTCTCTCATTGTATTCTATTATAATTTTTTTCCAAATATAATTTAGTTTTTAATTATTTATCTTGTTTAAACTGAAGATGTACATCTAAAACTAGATGATTAAAATTTGCTATTAATGAATAAATCAGTTAAGAAAGAAGAAAACATATTAAGTGAATGAGTTTTTTATAAAAATTAATAATTAATGAACAACCTAATTGAAGATAAAAAAAATAATATAAAGAATTCTTATGTTAATGGAATGATAATTGTTTGATTTTAGAAAATAAAAGAATTTAGATTAAAAAAAAATAGATTATAAAATGTATTAGTTAATTATATTAATAAATTTTATATAATGAATTAAAAAACTAGTACAGATTGTTGTGTATAAACTGATTTGGATTATATGGAATTAGAAATAATTGAAAACATTTCACCAAAAATGATTTGTGTTAATTAATTGTCAAGAAGTGTTAACATGAGAAATAAACAATTGAAAATTGATGTGAAAAATAATTTTAATAGTTTTTAACTAAGAAAGATAGAGAGTTTTGATTAAAATTAGAATTAACTTAGAAGATAGAAAAATATTTATAATAATAAGTCTTTCCATAATGAGAATGAATAAAGAGCAAGAAGAAAAAAGTAATTTATTGCAAGATCTTTCCATATTGAATCATTAAACAATATTGCAACACCATAATAAATAGTTTTACCATAAAAATAGTAATTCACTCCTCTTCATGTATTAAAGAGGAAGTTGAATTATCCAGCAAATCCATATAGATTAAAAACATGTCCTGATGATAGTAAATTTAGTGATAAATTACTATAGACAAATATTATACCAGAAAAAATAAAATATTTTGATGGGATTAAGGCTTTAAAGTGATTTAAATTATATGTTAATATGTAGATATTCATTCTAAAGTTTAGATTGATTCGATACTATCTCTAGATGACACTTAATTATAATAAAATATAATTACATTCATTAGAAATGAGATTTGATATGATAGATGATGTTTTTTCTTATTAAATTAATAATTAATTAAATGCATCTAAGGTATTTTTAACTTAATTTGCAATTTTTAAAATTGATTAGATTTTATTTTTATCTACTTTAACAAATTTTTTATCAGTGATAGTACGTTCTTGATCATTAGTTAATTTATACGGATCGGTAGTAGTATGAAATGTTTTTGTATGTTCTAGAATGGTTTTAATTTTATTAAATTTAGGATCAGCAATTTTAGTATTGATTTATGAAGTATTAGCTACATTTCCTTAACTGCCAGAACGAAGAAGGAGACTACTTTATCCATTGATTGATTATTGAAGTATATTAAATATATGTTATGATGCATAACATAATTCTGGGGAATCTCTAGGCTGATTGAGTTTATTTTCATAACTCTTATTTATAAGTGTTTATAAGAGGGCTTATTGAGAATGTGTACTTTTGTCACTAATTTTGATTCGGGCATCTAAATCTCCTAAGTAGAGAGACTGATAATACTTGAGTCTCTATAAGTTTAAGAGCCATTACAATTTCTTTGGGCAAGATAATTTTTAAAGATATCATTTTGAGTTTTGTTTATTCTTGGGACCATTTATTTGTTGTTGTCTTTTCCTTTTTTGTTTAATTATTTTGATATTTGACTTTTATGCATCAGTAAATCTTTAACATTTATTTGAAATTGACTTTTTGAATGATCACTAAAGAATTTTGACACATCTGTCTTATTCTTAGGAATTGGATAATTCGCTTAGTTATCACTAATTTGATTTCCTATCTTATCATACCTAAAGTTTGTACTTTTCGTTTAATTTTTTAACTTAGCATTCTAAAGCTTTATTGACTATGTTTATCTATCTCAGTCTTGTAATTAGATAATATTTTCGAAATCCTATCGTTTTTTACTATTGATCTATTGGTTAAAATTGAATTTTGCATAATATAATTATTATTATATTTATACTAATCAGATGACTAAAGACTTTATAGATATTTATATATTATCCATCTAAATCATATAAATAAATTCACAACCTTAGTATTTCTATTTAAATCAAAGTATTCGTATTCGTATTAAAATAGAAAACACAAATACTTATCAATCCCTTTTTTTAAAGATTCCTCAATTATAAAATAGTATCTTAACTACTTTTTCTAAATGTTCTTTTGATATATTCTAATTCAAAAACCCTTTAATTATAGTTCTATTTTGTTCATTAGTGTAATTAATACACTACTCAATAAAGTAAGGATATAATAACACAAATCTTATTTATAATAATAATCCAACAAATCTCAAACCCAATTCTATGCTATCCAACTTTTTTTGATAAAATTTCTTATATCAACAAAATAACAGAGAGGAATAATGATAAAAAAGATTATTTCAAAAAAAAAAACCTTAAAATTAGAATCTCATANCGAAGAAGGAGACTACTTTATCCATTGATTGATTATTGAAGTATATTAAATATATGTTATGATGCATAACATAATTCTGGGGAATCTCTAGGCTGATTGAGTTTATTTTCATAACTCTTATTTATAAGTGTTTATAAGAGGGCTTATTGAGAATGTGTACTTTTGTCACTAATTTTGATTCGGGCATCTAAATCTCCTAAGTAGAGAGACTGATAATACTTGAGTCTCTATAAGTTTAAGAGCCATTACAATTTCTTTGGGCAAGATAATTTTTAAAGATATCATTTTGAGTTTTGTTTATTCTTGGGACCATTTATTTGTTGTTGTCTTTTCCTTTTTTGTTTAATTATTTTGATATTTGACTTTTATGCATCAGTAAATCTTTAACATTTATTTGAAATTGACTTTTTGAATGATCACTAAAGAATTTTGACACATCTGTCTTATTCTTAGGAATTGGATAATTCGCTTAGTTATCACTAATTTGATTTCCTATCTTATCATACCTAAAGTTTGTACTTTTCGTTTAATTTTTTAACTTAGCATTCTAAAGCTTTATTGACTATGTTTATCTATCTCAGTCTTGTAATTAGATAATATTTTCGAAATCCTATCGTTTTTTACTATTGATCTATTGGTTAAAATTGAATTTTGCATAATATAATTATTATTATATTTATACTAATCAGATGACTAAAGACTTTATAGATATTTATATATTATCCATCTAAATCATATAAATAAATTCACAACCTTAGTATTTCTATTTAAATCAAAGTATTCGTATTCGTATTAAAATAGAAAACACAAATACTTATCAATCCCTTTTTTTAAAGATTCCTCAATTATAAAATAGTATCTTAACTACTTTTTCTAAATGTTCTTTTGATATATTCTAATTCAAAAACCCTTTAATTATAGTTCTATTTTGTTCATTAGTGTAATTAATACACTACTCAATAAAGTAAGGATATAATAACACAAATCTTATTTATAATAATAATCCAACAAATCTCAAACCCAATTCTATGCTATCCAACTTTTTTTGATAAAATTTCTTATATCAACAAAATAACAGAGAGGAATAATGATAAAAAAGATTATTTCAAAAAAAAAAACCTTAAAATTAGAATCTCATAAAAACTTAAGGAGAAAGTAATCCACAAAAGTAATAAAAAAATGCAAATAAAATTAATTTAACAACACTCTATCAAATGTATATACATTGAACGCATACAATTAGGGTAGGCTAATTAGTCATTAATGAAATATATTAAAATCATTCAATTTCTATTATTCTTTAGAATAGATTGTTACTTTCCAATAAACAGTTTATTTAATTCTATATCTATCATCATTAATTTAATTAAAAGAACAATAAATTTGAATTTCAAATACAGTGTATTAATTGACCTATCGTATAAATTGTAAAAATATAATTTATTTTATATGTTAAATCAATATACTACACCTCCAAGAATACCTAAGCCTTCACCTCTTCCTTAGAATTAAGAATAATTATTGCATGTTGTACTTCATGAAAGACAAATACAATAACAATAACGTTATTATACTCCTTAAATTCACAGAGCCCCATCTTAATAAACTATTTCCACTTAGCTTAACTCTCCCATTTCTAATCAACCTAAGCCTTAGAGATACAGTGTCATATAATAGGTCAATTCTAATGATATGTAGAATCAATATCATCAAATCTTGCAATATTACAAAGAGTTAGAAATCAATATGTAATAATAAAAATAAGAAAATTATCTTAAATATAATGAAATACTTTAAAAAATTGATAACATCTCATAAATTATGGTTCATAATATCAATTAATTGAATATTAATCAAAAAAACGAATATCAATTATTGTTATAAGAGTTGTAATAATAACGATTAGAAAATTAGAAAAGATATGAATAATTGTTCTATAATATTGAATAACAAAAAGATAAGAACAATTATGCCGAATCAAGAGAATAACTCATATAATAATAGCATAATATAATTGAATAATAGAAACAATAAATATGCAATTAAAATAATATGATAATTAGACCACCTTAATATGAGGATATTCAAGTGGCATAATAATAATCAAAATAATAAACTTATGCATCCAAACCCATTAATTTAGAACAAAAATTATTTCCTTAAGATAAGTAAAATTGTTCTCAAGATTAACTTAATTACTCTTAAATTCACAGTAGATCAAATAAATAATCCTCTCCTTAGATTTAAATATCAAACAAAAATCAATCTCAAGATAATAATACTTTTGGTATTAATTCTGGTTAGCTTACTCCATTTATTTAAAATTCTCCATAATAATAAAATCATTCTCAGACAGAAAAAGAATTGTATAATTCTCCTTCTAATTAATAATTAATGAATAATTAGATGTCTAATCAAATTATTAAATAGACTAAATCTCCAAGGGAATAAATATATCCGTGCATTTGTATAAACAGTCCTAATAATACAAGTAGAGATAATTCAATGTAACATTAAAAAAAGTAAATATTTGAAAAACCTATATTTGAATAAGTTAATAATAAACCAATATTTCATCAAAATTCTCCAATTAATAATTATGATAATCAAAAAACATAATAATAAAACCATGATTAATAATAAATGTAATATTATCAAGTTTAATAACCATTTCATTCAGATGAAAGCATAATAATTGATGAATCCAAGAATTCCTCTGAATTATTGTCACAATTAAAAACAGAATATGGAACTAATAGTTTAACATAGAATTCCTCTTTTTAGCTAATTGCTAAATAATTACAATTAAATTATTGTTACTAATGTGATTAATATATTTAACTCTAATTTTCTGATAAACATCTTTAAGAGTGCAATTCTTAAAGACCTCAAAGAAGATAGAATGATAGCTATTTAGATTAATACATAGCCTACAAAGGAGATGATCATTTCTTAATTGAAACTTTAGAAGTTAAAACCAAAAGAATTTGTCAAGAAATTTTTATAATTAAATAAATGATGCAATTAGCTCAATTATAGAAGCTAGTGAAATAAGAATAAATTTAATTAAGAGAATTTTGCTAAATAGCAATTATAATACTTGATAAGTTGTTATCAAATCCTAATTCCTCTTAATTAATTAAATTTTATCAACATACTGAATAAATATTTAACGTGGTTTATTTGGCACCATAAATATTTTATAAGCAACAAGCTAAATTATTGCAAAAATGCTTAGATCGTATAAAAGAATTATATTAGCTATATAAAAAATGATTAAATGATTTATTATAAATTTCTTATATAATTTTGTAATTTCTACTATGATATAGTAAATTATTGTATAAAGTAAATGATAATTAAGTAGTTTCCCTATAAATAATGTTGATTATGTATTCTAATGATATTTTTGAAATATCAATAAATTTATATTGATTTAAATTTTGAATATTATGTTTAGGGTATAAGAATGAAGTATGTTAAAGTTTCGAGTTGAAATTTTAAAATACAAGTAGGTTGTCGGGTATTTGATTAAAATAATTGATTTTTTTATTCATAAAATAGTACTTTTCAGTAAAATCCTAGTAAGAGTGATTTTTTTTTTGAAATAAATTCTTTAAATCTAAACTGAATAATAGAAGATGGAGATGAATTTAGGAATGAGAGTATAAACTTATAAATGTTTATTAGATAACGAAAGGAATAACTATTGAATAAATATTTAATAATTTATATTTGCAAATTAACCGTAGGAACAATAAACTGAATAAATACTAAAACAACTATATTATAAATTCAAAGTTAAAATAATTATGTCATTAAATTCTTACTCATCTTCATCATAACGTAAGCCATGGACACCTAGTGAAGATAGGTTGTTGTCTGAACTTAAAAAAAATAAAGAGTATGATTGGATTGAAGTTGCCAGAAGAATTGAAGGTCGTAATCCATCCTAATGCTCTTAAAGATGGAAGCGTATCAAAGGATTCAAACTAAGAAGAACTTGGACAAAAGAAGAAGACACCAAATTGCTTGAATTAGTTAACATTCATGGATCTAATTGGTGTTTAATAAGCACATATTTTGAAAAGAGATCTGGCAAATAGGTTAGAGAACATTATCTTAATCAATTGGATCCATAAATTAATACTTCCCCTTGGAGTATGGAAGAAGATAAAAAGATTGTTGAACTTTATCAATCAATTGGAGGGAAATGGAGTGTAATAACTAAAGCACTAAACTAAAGATCTGAGAATAGTGTTAAAAATCGATTTTATTCTTGTCTTAGACACAAATATCTCAACATCAAAAATCCATACTATATTGTGCCTGAAAAAAAATAAAAGTTGAATGAAGAAGAGAGTTAGCAGAATTAAAATTTTTAGGAGCAATAAAATATTACTGCAATTCAACAACCAATTCAACAACCAATTTAACAATCATCAATTGAATAAGTTCCTAATTATGTTCAAATTTATTAGAATTGCCTTTATTAGATTCCAATATATGTGCCTTAACCAATATTAATGCCTGTATATATTTACCCATCATAATTCCAACTCAATAATCAACAATGATTATTATTATTTATTTTTATATTAAGGTGTACAACTTCCAATATAATTTAAACCATCATTCTTTTCTCATCTATTAGAAACCAATAACCAAAACATTAATGACATTATTAATTAATATAATGAAATTAATCAAACAAAAAAAATTATTACAAACAAACATCTTCATTTTCTAACTTATTCAATCTATTTGACTATTCCAAAATTAGAATACTCAAAACATCAAATTAGAAACTTATTATCATTATATTTTATCTATAGCAAATACTTAATTAAAATTATATATCTATTAATTTACTCAGTTATTGGATTCCTATCCTTTACAATCCTCTCTTCTAATATATGAAGTACAACATTCTAAATATCAACTTTTTTAAATTTCTTAATCCATTTTATGTTTCTAGTACTATTAATTTATTGATATTATTTTTAATTGAAATTTTACATATTTTTATTATTAATACTATTTCAATAATAGAAATCAATATATGGCAATATTAAGCTTGGAGATTTTATAATTAAGAATCATAGTGTGTTTTAATAAAAATTTTGGATTTTTAAAAGTACAAACAATAGAGGAATACTTAAAAATCATAGCCCTGGTCTAATCTACATTTATTATTGATATTTGATCAAATTGGGTTGTATTTTCTATGAAATTTTAATTAACTAATTTCTTTTTAATGGTAATTTATTGTAAAGATTTATATATATAGGGATAATTATCCAAATCGATTAATCAAAATTAAGTTTAGTTTATAAAATTATTAAATTTATTCGAAAATTCTATTTTGATTTTTGGAATTAAATAATAATATTAAATATCAATTCTTTTATCTAAACTCAATTTTTTAGAAAGTACAAAATTTAAATTTAGAATCGATCTCAATATTTAAATGGACAATATGTATTTCGAATTATTAAAGTTAAACTCTTCGTTTTCTTCTATCTTACAAATATATCAGTTAATCGCTATTATGATTATTTAAATTATGTCTATAATTGTATTATATTATAAATTAAGAGTAATTATTAAAAAGCTTAACTTTCTTAAAAATATAATTATTTAAAAAAAATAATTATGAGATATTATAATCAAGTTAAAATGAAAATAATATTTTAAATAAGAAAATAGTAAAGAACAATCTAAAATAATATAAAATATCAAATGGCTAGATTTCATTAATGGTTGATTATTACTTTAAAGTTTATAATTACTGTATTAATAAAATTTCAATTGCTAAATCTTTTCATGAATTTTTTAAACTAAAATTAAAATCCAAAACGATATTTCATTCTCTCTTAAATAAATTTGTTAAATATCTCCCTTTTATCTAACATACCATAAAGACTATTGGTTTTTTCTAAATATTATAATAAGGTGGTATTATGATTTTTTTGTGAATCATAATAGATAAGTTTTTGATAATTGTATTGTTTTCTTTCAATATTTTAATAGTTCTACCTTGAAATTATTAAAAAATTTTAACCTCCTTTTGATATTTAAATTTGCACTATATATTAGAGAGTTTGATAGGAAATATATTTTGTTTATTGATATTTTAATAATAAAACTTTAAATATTATCAAGTGGATCAAAATTAAGAGTAATGGTTCTTTCTGTTGGAATGAGTTGAAAGTAAAATTTACATTTTAAGTCTTAGATTAAACATAAATTATAAAGAATAGCTTTTTAAATCATCATGTAACAAAAAAAACTATAATTATTCAAAATTTGGTGTATATTTTGTTCATATAATGCAAAAAATTTCTAATATTGAATTAATTTATATTTTAAAGCGTTTAGGAATTATTTGTATTTAAAATATGTTTGAACCGGGGAATAGTAATAGCGATATATTGTTTAAAAAATCTTTAAGATCAGGAAACAAATCAGCAAAATTCACAAAAAAGAATTCTCAATATCAACATCATGAAAGCGATTTGATTACAAAATAGTTGTCTTAGATTGTATTTGATTTGCAAAATAAAAATGATTCTTATGATCTTGCTATTCAAATATTAACAGAAGAATNGTATTTCGAATTATTAAAGTTAAACTCTTCGTTTTCTTCTATCTTACAAATATATCAGTTAATCGCTATTATGATTATTTAAATTATGTCTATAATTGTATTATATTATAAATTAAGAGTAATTATTAAAAAGCTTAACTTTCTTAAAAATATAATTATTTAAAAAAAATAATTATGAGATATTATAATCAAGTTAAAATGAAAATAATATTTTAAATAAGAAAATAGTAAAGAACAATCTAAAATAATATAAAATATCAAATGGCTAGATTTCATTAATGGTTGATTATTACTTTAAAGTTTATAATTACTGTATTAATAAAATTTCAATTGCTAAATCTTTTCATGAATTTTTTAAACTAAAATTAAAATCCAAAACGATATTTCATTCTCTCTTAAATAAATTTGTTAAATATCTCCCTTTTATCTAACATACCATAAAGACTATTGGTTTTTTCTAAATATTATAATAAGGTGGTATTATGATTTTTTTGTGAATCATAATAGATAAGTTTTTGATAATTGTATTGTTTTCTTTCAATATTTTAATAGTTCTACCTTGAAATTATTAAAAAATTTTAACCTCCTTTTGATATTTAAATTTGCACTATATATTAGAGAGTTTGATAGGAAATATATTTTGTTTATTGATATTTTAATAATAAAACTTTAAATATTATCAAGTGGATCAAAATTAAGAGTAATGGTTCTTTCTGTTGGAATGAGTTGAAAGTAAAATTTACATTTTAAGTCTTAGATTAAACATAAATTATAAAGAATAGCTTTTTAAATCATCATGTAACAAAAAAAACTATAATTATTCAAAATTTGGTGTATATTTTGTTCATATAATGCAAAAAATTTCTAATATTGAATTAATTTATATTTTAAAGCGTTTAGGAATTATTTGTATTTAAAATATGTTTGAACCGGGGAATAGTAATAGCGATATATTGTTTAAAAAATCTTTAAGATCAGGAAACAAATCAGCAAAATTCACAAAAAAGAATTCTCAATATCAACATCATGAAAGCGATTTGATTACAAAATAGTTGTCTTAGATTGTATTTGATTTGCAAAATAAAAATGATTCTTATGATCTTGCTATTCAAATATTAACAGAAGAATCAAGCTTATTAAGATAACATCTATCTTTTTAAGTGTTTATACCTGAAATCAAGACACAATTAGGAGAAAAAATATTAAAAGACATTAATCTATGGATTATTATTTTAGTTGTGTTTCGCTCTTTGTGCAAAGAAAATTCTAAATACTCTGAGTTTATCTCAAGAAACATTATATGTGCAATGTAAAAAATCTATCAAGATGATTCCATTCTCAAATCGATTGAATAATAAGCAAATTAGATAATTTCAAATTCTGAAGATGGTTAATAACAAATTATAAATTAATCTGCATCAAAATGTTCCAAAAAACAACTCAGAGTCTAATTTTAAGAAGATAAAGAGAACAAATAGAGTAATAGTAACCAAAAGTAATTTTAAATTATCAATCCAATTGAATCTAATAAAGAGCAGGAAACTACAAAATCTAATGAAAAATTGAAAAAGAAAATTGATGATTTGGCAAAGTAATTTTAAGAGCTCAACAATGATTCTAAGGAAAATTTAGAAATAGTTGTTCCATAAGTTGATGAAATAATTAATGAATAAGTCAAAGAATTAGAAGATGAACTAAAAAATTAGCATGACTTATCAAATAAAAAATAAAGATTATCATTAACAGAAAAGCTTTTTTCACATTTTGGTTTCAAGGCATGGAGAAGTGAATAAAAACAAATAAGACCAAATCCTATATAATCAAAAATGAGAGGAATCAGATTATTAGATGGATTAGATTCTCGAGAGCTTCAAACCACTTATGTGGCAAAAGTTGAAAAGATTATGGTTCCAAATTTAAATGATAATGGATTGCATTCAATAGTTTAAGTATGGATATTTTATTTAACAATATTTAGTTATCCACAAATAATTCATAAGAAATATTAGATTGGGGACTTTATGCTATCATTTAATTAAGCGATTCAGATTGCACTAGCAAATAATATTTTGAAGATATGCAATATTATAAATAATTGATATCTTTTAAATTTAGATAAGAAAGACAAATTTATATCCCTCATGGCAAATATGAATTAAATTGATATTATATTTAACAATGGTATGAATATTTTTTTTTTGATAATGATCTAAAAAATATAAATTCAGTCGAAGGAAAGCAAAATGATAATCATTAAAATCATTTCTTTAAGGTGTTCATCATCATGCTAGATGATTCTTACCTGAAATTAATTAGTTTATTGATTGATCCTTAATTTTATGGGTTAAGAATTTTATAATATGTAAAATATTAAAAAGCAAAAATCTATTTTTGATTAGACATTTAGTTAAAGAGCAACAACTACAGCAGAATCAAGAAGGACTTGCAAAATTCCTATACAAATTATTGATTTTAAAAATAAATTTGAAACCTATCTGTCTGGATAAACGACATGCGTAGATGTTATTAAATATAACAACAGCTTGCCAACAAAAAAGTATAGAAATGTATAATCAATTATTATATTCAGAGTCTTTTCGCCAAAAGAAAAACTCTTCATGTTGGAAATACAATGACATAATAAGAACAAATTATCGATTACAACAACATCAAAGAATTTATTGTTGATCATGATTAAAACTACACTGAAATCAAGAAAACTCTCAATACTTATCCTTCTCTATCAGAACGAAAATCTTCTAAATAAGGATTGAGAACTTATATTAAAAGTGATTATTAGGAAAATAAACGATTAAATCATTTGAATCTAATAGCAGAAGATTATCGATCACGAATTAAAAATAATAATTTAGTGTCTAGTCCTGATCAATTGAGTACGATATTATTTTATAGTAGTATTCAAGAATAAAATAAAAGCTAGAACTAAGCATATGGCATTAATAAGGTATTAATTTAATGTTCAATAGACCTAAATTGGATTCAGCAAACATGTAATCTCGAATTAAGTAATTAAAACTAGAAAATGGAATAAAATAGCCAATAGTAGATGTTTATTAAAAAGTAAACAAAGATAATTAAAAATATAAGTTATTTCGAGCTACATCTGATCATTTTATAGACGCGTTAAATTTAAATTGTAATGTGAAAACCTCTGAGTTGGAAAAAATAGGAGAATTGGATTTCTATGAGTAATGGAATTTAATAAATAAAATTTAGATTAAATAAAAATAAAAATGCTGTGTCAGATAGACAAAATTTAAAACCCTCTTTATTAAATGGGAATATAAAATAGTTGAAACATAATAAAAATTGTCCTACAAATCAAGTTGATGATTGCGTCTTAGATGAATCTATAATTTCAGAGACAGAAGGTTTTCTTTTATGATATATTAAGCTAAATTAAATATCTTTTATGGTTTAAGCAAAGATTTCTAGAAAAAAATGATGAATCGAAATGAGAATCCAAATAAAATAGTAAATATCATATCCAAAATTGACTAAATTAGGGACAACATCTATTAAGTCAATAAAAATAAATTATATTGTGATTGATTTTGAATTACTTTTTTTAATTTATTAACAATTAATCTCAAAAATATTATTTTAATAAATATTATTACAAATAATTAGAATTTATTTGATACCCAATTAAATTTGAATTAACAAATCAATAAAAAATTAATCAGAAAAAAGAAAAACTTGTTCACTTATTGCATTCAATACAAATATATTCTTCAATATTTTTTGCTTCATCTTCAGTTAAATGTACACATTCCATATGCAACCATTTTTTACATGATTCACAAAAAATGTAAACTAAATCTGGGTTTTGAGGCATATCACAAAAACACACCTTTTCTAATTCATTTGGATTTGGATTTATAATTTTCTTTTCACTATTATATGTACATCTCATAAAAAACAATCTATTTTGTCCACTAATATCGTCGTCTAAAAATGAATCATACTCACTCAAACTTAAAACCTTTACTTTATCAATTATTTGCCCAATAAAAATGAAATCTGATATTTCTGTTAGAAACAATTCATATTCGCTAAAACATTTAATATATTTTTCCCATGATGAATCAAGTTCAATTTTGGAAAAGTACCAATTTAATTGGAGTAATGGCAATTCTTAATTATCTACAAAAGACTTTATGCTAGCAATTCTTTTTATTATTCCAATTCTCAATCTATCCTTAAAATTAACTCTAATTGATTCATTTATTTAATATAACTATCCTTTCCATTTCAGCCTTTTGAATATTTTAAATTAAGTTTTATTCTTTTCTGCTAATTTTGCTAATTCATTATAACTCTTCGACTTTGCTAATTCTTCAAAGGAATCTTAATTGAATTTTTAATCTTATTATATCAATTAATCATCTTAAACTCTTTCAAATTGTTCAGATAAATCTTAATTTTATTATTCTTTTCTATATTCTGCTTGTATTTCTGACATTAAAATGATATTTAATTTGGAAAATTTTTTTGAACAAAAAGAAATAAAAATCCTGTTATTTTTTTTTATTTCGTTAAATATATTATTAAATAAAATTATAAACGTTTTAAATTTTATAGTATTTAATTATATTTAAAAAATTAAATAATATTTTTGAATAGGATTATTAAAATATTTGAGTTAGATAATTTGTATGAAAAAGAATTTAACTTGGAATGTTAGATTAAATTTAAAAGTTTAATATTTTTCCGAAATTATATAATTATTTTTCTCTGATCAATTCTGTTACACAATGTTATTCCTATTTTGATTGGGAATGGTAATATAAATGAATCAGAATCTCATCTGTTCATTTCGAATTTCTAATGAAATAGTTAAAAATGCTTTTATTGTGCGGATATGATCATTTAAAATATTCTTTATAATGAAAAACTCTATAAAACCTTTTCTAAATATATTGTTATTTTTAAAAATCTTTGTCAATGAGACGATAATAGTTCAAAACTTCAAAAATTTTGAAGAAAAGCTCTCAATTGAGATCAATAGAAATATGTTCACGGAAATTCTAAGTTTTGGGGAAGTGAAAAATCACGATAAAATAGAATAAAGGGAAGAGAAGTTATTAAATGCATTATAAGATATAAAAATTCTTTAATGAGATATAAAGGTAACAGAAGATATATACAAAAAAAATCATTAGCCACCTCTCAATCTTAAAACTAAGTGGAGAGTTGATTCCTTTTAAATGTTATAGTCTGAAAGAGTTCTTCCGTCTTCTAATTACTTTCCTGCAAAAATGAGTCTTTATTAATCAGGTGGGATTCCTTCCTTGTCTTAAATTTTAGCTTTGACAGCGTCGATGGTATCAGATGGTTCAACATCAAGAGTGATGGTTTTTCCAGTCAAGGTCTTTACGAAAATTTACATTCCACCTCTCAATCTCAAAACTAAGTGGAGAGTTGATTCCTTTTAAATGTTATAGTCTGAAAGAGTTCTTCCGTCTTCTAATTACTTTCCTGCAAAAATGAGTCTTTATTAATCAGGTGGGATTCCTTCCTTGTCTTAAATTTTAGCTTTGACAGCGTCGATGGTATCAGATGGTTCAACATCAAGAGTGATGGTTTTTCCAGTCAAGGTCTTTACGAAAATTTACATTCCACCTCTCAATCTCAAAACTAAGTGGAGAGTTGATTCCTTTTAAATGTTATAGTCTGAAAGAGTTCTTCCGTCTTCTAATTACTTTCCTGCAAAAATGAGTCTTTATTAATCAGGTGGGATTCCTTCCTTGTCTTAAATTTTAGCTTTGACAGCGTCGATGGTATCAGATGGTTCAACATCAAGAGTGATGGTTTTTCCAGTCAAGGTCTTTACGAAAATTTACATTCCACCTCTCAATCTCAAAACTAAGTGGAGAGTTGATTCCTTTTAAATGTTATAGTCTGAAAGAGTTCTTCCGTCTTCTAATTACTTTCCTGCAAAAATGAGTCTTTATTAATCAGGTGGGATTCCTTCCTTGTCTTAAATTTTAGCTTTGACAGCGTCGATGGTATCAGATGGTTCAACATCAAGAGTGATGGTTTTTCCAGTCAAGGTCTTTACGAAAATTTACATTCCACCTCTCAATCTCAAAACTAAGTGGAGAGTTGATTCCTTTTAAATGTTATAGTCTGAAAGAGTTCTTCCGTCTTCTAATTACTTTCCTGCAAAAATGAGTCTTTATTAATCAGGTGGGATTCCTTCCTTGTCTTAAATTTTAGCTTTGACAGCGTCGATGGTATCAGATGGTTCAACATCAAGAGTGATGGTTTTTCCAGTCAAGGTCTTTACGAAAATTTACATTCCACCTCTCAATCTCAAAACTAAGTGGAGAGTTGATTCCTTTTAAATGTTATAGTCTGAAAGAGTTCTTCCGTCTTCTAATTACTTTCCTGCAAAAATGAGTCTTTATTAATCAGGTGGGATTCCTTCCTTGTCTTAAATTTTAGCTTTGACAGCGTCGATGGTATCAGATGGTTCAACATCAAGAGTGATGGTTTTTCCAGTCAAGGTCTTTACGAAAATTTACATTCCACCTCTCAATCTCAAAACTAAGTGGAGAGTTGATTCCTTTTAAATGTTATAGTCTGAAAGAGTTCTTCCGTCTTCTAATTACTTTCCTGCAAAAATGAGTCTTTATTAATCAGGTGGGATTCCTTCCTTGTCTTAAATTTTAGCTTTGACAGCGTCGATGGTATCAGATGGTTCAACATCAAGAGTGATGGTTTTTCCAGTCAAGGTCTTTACGAAAATTTACATTCCACCTCTCAATCTCAAAACTAAGTGGAGAGTTGATTCCTTTTAAATGTTATAGTCTGAAAGAGTTCTTCCGTCTTCTAATTACTTTCCTGCAAAAATGAGTCTTTATTAATCAGGTGGGATTCCTTCCTTGTCTTAAATTTTAGCTTTGACAGCGTCGATGGTATCAGATGGTTCAACATCAAGAGTGATGGTTTTTCCAGTCAAGGTCTTTACGAAAATTTACATTCCACCTCTCAATCTCAAAACTAAGTGGAGAGTTGATTCCTTTTAAATGTTATAGTCTGAAAGAGTTCTTCCGTCTTCTAATTACTTTCCTGCAAAAATGAGTCTTTATTAATCAGGTGGGATTCCTTCCTTGTCTTAAATTTTAGCTTTGACAGCGTCGATGGTATCAGATGGTTCAACATCAAGAGTGATGGTTTTTCCAGTCAAGGTCTTTACGAAAATTTACATTCCACCTCTCAATCTCAAAACTAAGTGGAGAGTTGATTCCTTTTAAATGTTATAGTCTGAAAGAGTTCTTCCGTCTTCTAATTACTTTCCTGCAAAAATGAGTCTTTATTAATCAGGTGGGATTCCTTCCTTGTCTTAAATTTTAGCTTTGACAGCGTCGATGGTATCAGATGGTTCAACATCAAGAGTGATGGTTTTTCCAGTCAAGGTCTTTACGAAAATTTACATTCCACCTCTCAATCTCAAAACTAAGTGGAGAGTTGATTCCTTTTAAATGTTATAGTCTGAAAGAGTTCTTCCGTCTTCTAATTACTTTCCTGCAAAAATGAGTCTTTATTAATCAGGTGGGATTCCTTCCTTGTCTTAAATTTTAGCTTTGACAGCGTCGATGGTATCAGATGGTTCAACATCAAGAGTGATGGTTTTTCCAGTCAAGGTCTTTACGAAAATTTACATTCCACCTCTCAATCTCAAAACTAAGTGGAGAGTTGATTCCTTTTAAATGTTATAGTCTGAAAGAGTTCTTCCGTCTTCTAATTACTTTCCTGCAAAAATGAGTCTTTATTAATCAGGTGGGATTCCTTCCTTGTCTTAAATTTTAGCTTTGACAGCGTCGATGGTATCAGATGGTTCAACATCAAGAGTGATGGTTTTTCCAGTCAAGGTCTTTACGAAAATTTACATTCCACCTCTCAATCTCAAAACTAAGTGGAGAGTTGATTCCTTTTAAATGTTATAGTCTGAAAGAGTTCTTCCGTCTTCTAATTACTTTCCTGCAAAAATGAGTCTTTATTAATCAGGTGGGATTCCTTCCTTGTCTTAAATTTTAGCTTTGACAGCGTCGATGGTATCAGATGGTTCAACATCAAGAGTGATGGTTTTTCCAGTCAAGGTCTTTACGAAAATTTACATTCCACCTCTCAATCTCAAAACTAAGTGGAGAGTTGATTCCTTTTAAATGTTATAGTCTGAAAGAGTTCTTCCGTCTTCTAATTACTTTCCTGCAAAAATGAGTCTTTATTAATCAGGTGGGATTCCTTCCTTGTCTTAAATTTTAGCTTTGACAGCGTCGATGGTATCAGATGGTTCAACATCAAGAGTGATGGTTTTTCCAGTCAAGGTCTTTACGAAAATTTACATTCCACCTCTCAATCTCAAAACTAAGTGGAGAGTTGATTCCTTTTAAATGTTATAGTCTGAAAGAGTTCTTCCGTCTTCTAATTACTTTCCTGCAAAAATGAGTCTTTATTAATCAGGTGGGATTCCTTCCTTGTCTTAAATTTTAGCTTTGACAGCGTCGATTGTGTCAGATGGTTCAACATCAAGAGTGATGGTTTTTCCAGTCAAGGTCTTAACAAAAATTTACATTCCACCTCTCAATCTCAAAACTAAGTGGAGAGTTGATTCCTTTTAAATGTTATAGTCTGAAAGTGTTCTTCCGTCTTCTAATTACTTTCCTGCAAAAATGAGTCTTTATTAATCAGGTGGGATTCCTTCCTTGTCTTAAATTTTAGCTTTGACAGCGTCGATTGTGTCAGATGGTTCAACATCAAGAGTGATGGTTTTTCCAGTCAAGGTCTTAACAAAAATTTACATTCCACCTCTCAATCTCAAAACTAAGTGGAGAGTTGATTCCTTTTAAATGTTATAGTCTGAAAGTGTTCTTCCGTCTTCTAATTACTTTCCTGCAAAAATGAGTCTTTATTAATCAGGTGGGATTCCTTCCTTGTCTTAAATTTTAGCTTTGACAGCGTCGATTGTGTCAGATGGTTCAACATCAAGAGTGATAGTTTTTCCAGTTAATGTTTTTACAAATATTTACATTGTCTTTTTAAATTAATAATAAAATAGTATTTTTTCCGAAATTATATAATTATTTTTCTCTGATCAATTCTGTTACACAATGTTATTCCTATTTTGATTGGGAATGGTAATATAAATGAATCAGAATCTCATCTGTTCATTTCGAATTTCTAATGAAATAGTTAAAAATGCTTTTATTGTGCGGATATGATCATTTAAAATATTCTTTATAATGAAAAACTCTATAAAACCTTTTCTAAATATATTGTTATTTTTAAAAATCTTTGTCAATGAGACGATAATAGTTCAAAACTTAAAAAATTTTGAAGAAAAGCTCTCAATTGAGATCAATAGAAATATGTTCACGGAAATTCTAAGTTTTGGGGAAGTGAAAAATCACGATAAAATAGAATAAAGGGAAGAGAAGTTATTAAATGCATTATAAGATATAAAAATTCTTTAATGAGATATAAAGGTAACAGAAGATATATACAAAAAAAATCATTAGCCACCTCTCAATCTTAAAACTAAGTGGAGAGTTGATTCCTATTAAAAATTATAGTTAGTATTCTCCATATATGTAACACAATTTTATATTTCCTCTATTCCTTAAATTTCAGAATACGTTCATTATTGAAATATTATTTATTGAAATTTTAACACGATGATTGTAAGGTTAAGGATAAAGAATTAATTAAATTTATTTTTTTTAGATTTACTTATTTAATATAGCTTTACAATTCAAACACCAACACCGACATTAAATTGGGACTCTTCATTTTATTGAGACATTCTTGAAATTTAATATTCTTACTTTGTAATAAAGATTGATAAATGTTGATTGTTTTAATTAATTTTTTTCTATAAATTATAATAATTATTAAATAACAAAATATAAAAATTTTATGATAAAAGAATTTACTACTTACATATGATACTTGAAATTTTTAGACAAATATAAAAATTATTTAGTTGATATATGGTTTATTGACATTTACTAATTTTAAATCTTTTGTCTTAAGCTTTCTTTTATCATCCTTAGTAGATGAAGTGTCCACAATCAAATTTAGAAAAGTTAAAGGAAAGTATTCAAACTGATAAACAAATACTCAGTATTTGTGAGATTAATATAAAATAACTTAATGGAGAAACTTTTTATAATTAATAAAAACTTTTTATTAATGAATATGGACTAAAGAATATATTATAATAATAAATACTTTAATTGTGAATAAATTTATTAAATTGTGAAACAAAATTTCCATTATTAGTCATAAATTTCTACAAAAACATAATTGATAATTTACAAAACAGTTTTACGCTATTTTGCTTATTTATCAAAATCGTAGAATTAACAAGATCGAATAAACTTCTTCTCTAAGAATTTACTTTTTAAAAAAATTCTTTACTTTTTAAAAATACTAATTAATATAATAAAAATTGAATAAAAGTAAGCTGTTCATGATTAATTCTGAATCTTAGCCAATTGCTATAGTTAGTTTATAAATGGAAGATAGAGTTGAAGAGATAAAAGTGTATGAAGGGGAGGATATAGAATTAGAGGTGGAGCTTTTTTGTTAAAGATATAAACTTGGTAATGATTGTTTAGACTATCTGGTTAATTAAATTAAGCAACAACTAAAACGTGAATCTTCACCTAAATTTGGAGATTTTTATAAGGAAAGATTTTTGAGCAAAGGATCATTATAAACAAGAAGCAGTAATCAGAGTGATTTTGGACTTATAACATCAGCCAGCTCTGATGAAAATTAAATATCAGCATAAAAGAGTTATGAAGAATGGTAAAGAAACATTAATAAGAAAGTTGAGACTAATTCGAATTCTAAATTTTAATTATGTGGACAAACATTAATTAGTTGTAAGTTATTTTCATAATTAGAAAATAATTAAAACAATTCCAGAGCTATAAATAAAAACTATAAACCATTTAGAGAAACAATAATCTAAAAATAGGATAAGATTAAATAACAAGATTAATCTCAGTTATGTTTTAAACCAAATACTTCCAGAAATTGTAGATATTTTGGACAACAAACAAGGAAAGTTGAAGATAGTTCATTATTAAAAATTGGGCATCAATTATATTAGAAAGAAATGGAATTAAATTAAAAAATATAATTATAAACATTTCAAGATTAAGAGGACTAACCTAAGAGGAGATCCTATTAAACAAGAAAATCAAATATTAGTAGTAGAAATCATTCAGAACAAAATAAATCATAAGGTAATACAAAGAATAGATCTAACACTCCAAATAATGAAAAACTTTAAGTCTATGAAAAAGAAGGAAAATAATAGAAATTCGAGTAGCTAAAACAAGAATTTTAAAAAATCTACTTTAATAACACATTAATCAATAATAAAAATTAAAAATAAGAAAACTTAAAAGAAATATCATCATAATAAGTTAAAAAGTTATTTACAGAATAAATTGAAAGAAAACAAAAGATTGAATAGAAATAGTAATAAATTTATTAAAATTAGACGAGAAAAATCAATTTAAAATAATTCTACGTTTCAAAATTAAATTAGTAAAGATTAAGTTTATTAAAAAACTAATAAAAAATAGGATTTTGAAGATCAAAAAAAAATTAAATTAAAGCAAAACAACAGAAGCACTAGTAATTTATCACACAGATCAGATTCTCGAACATTAACAAATATTACAAAAATTGACTAGTTTGATCTAAATATAAAAAAGATTTTCAGGCAATTGGATGGTGACAAAGATGGTTTTATTAGTAAAGATAAATTGAATTTGTCAGGGATTGAAGTTGAATTACTTGAATTAGTAAGCGAAGCATTATATAAAATTGAGGAAGAAGATATAATTGCAGATTAAATATAATTTAAAAAAATTTGTGAATCTATGGGATTATCAGAGAAACTTAATCATTAAATAGTTTGAATACTGTTAGTTATAAATAATTAATAAAATTTATAAACAATTTTTATTGTTAATTATCAATCTAAATATCAATAAATTTTTCCATTTAATATATTAAATTCCTAAAAATAATTGATCTTTAAAAACAAATCCAAAAACTGTTACTTGTCTTTTTATATTGTCAATCAGTCTCCTTCATATATTAAGTATTTTGCTGTATCTATTATATATGATAAATTTATTCCGATAAATTTAAATTTATTTATATTAAAGAAAGAAATTAACTAATTTAAATAATTTGAATAAATAAATTGATTATTAAAAGAATTCAATTTGAATGAAGAAAAAAAAATGATTAATTTAAAATATCAATAATTTAGCGGTTTCAAATTTGAAATAACTAATTAGAACATTTGAATCTTGTTTCAAAGATACACAAATCAGTTTGAAGAACAATTAGATTGATAAGTTTAAGGAAATCATTTTGGTATCATTGAAATAAAGAGTTGTTTAGAAATAATTTGGAAAAGGTGAACAATCTTAAAATATTATAGATCTCCTCTTAAGCTAAATTTAAGGACGTAATTTAAGGTTAAATATTTAATAATGTATTACTGATGATTTTGTCGATTAAATTGAAGACAATATAAAACAACTATTCTTAGAAATCAAAAAAAAATAAAATTGTTTTTAATCAAGAAATTTTCAAATAGTTAATATTTCCAAAAATTAATCAAATAAATATTTTACCGTAATATTAGATATTTAAAAATAAGTTATAAAACTAACAATCAATAACATAAAAATAGTTTCGAGAGTATATTCTGAAATTTTTGGAGATTTGTAAGTTAATTTTTGAAATTTAGAAAATATATGAATGATTAAATTATTAAGTAAAATTCAAAGAGTAATGTTATTTAAATTAGATTGGTTGAAATACTTGCTCAATTTTTAGTTATAATCGTATTATTTTGAGATTATATATATTATTCTCTAATTGCATTTTTCCTTAAAGATATAAAGAATTTTAACGATATATTTTTATAGATCTGTTACTCATTATAAAATGGAAATTTTATTCAAATGATTTATTGGTTTTCAACTCTTATTAGTTGTATAAATATAAATCAGAAATATTATTTATTTTTTTCAACAAAGAAATAAAAATTGTAAACAAAATTTCAAATGATATTTAAGAAAATTATGAAGATTTCTATATACAAACAAAGCATCTATCCCTAAATGCATATTTTGTAAATTTTTTTGGTAGAAAAAACCATTTATATATTTTTTCCGAAAAATCTGGCTTCTTTGATGAAATTTTAATTCCACACCACTCTATAATCTTGAAACATAAAATATAAATTTTAAATTAAACCTAATTATACTCTTATTTATTAATTTGAGGCTCTTTTGCTGTAGAGTAATTCTTTTTATACTGAATGATTTCAAATTTAAATTAGAAATGTTAATTTACTTTTGTGAACAGGACCAAATAGAAAAGGATTAAGATTAAAAAAAATAATATTTTATATATAATCAAGATATAATGAAGTAGATCAATAATAGAAAATATATATTCTTTTAGTTTGTTTCTTCCTCTAACCAAAAAGATATGATATGCGATTCATTTTTTTAACACCAGATCAACTTCTAAAAATTGAAATAGATTTAACTAATACCTAAAAAAGAGTAATAAAAATCTACAAATGAATAGGATTTTAATTAGTTTGTTTGATAATATAATTAAATGAATTAAGGAGAAAATTTCATGTAACTTTTAATAATTAGATAGTGAAGAACTTTTGGATGGTTTTCGTATTTCTGAATATTAAAGTGAGGGCAATTAAAGTGCATTTAAGAACCTATTAAGTCAAATACAAGAATTTAGATAAAAACTAAGTAAGCAGTTGTATTAGAAGCAACCCTATTAACCTGAATTTTCTGCATAAGGTTCTACTTCAACCCAGATTACAATGAGTAGCAAGAGCTTTAATGTTAATGAAGAGAATGTCTAATGTTAAATAGAGAGAGAAACTTTAAAACAAAATTAGCTATAGAATGTAATAAATACAATTTTAAGAAAAATAACTGATTATAAGAAACATACCGATTCTGTATTAGAATTATTGTATGGATTTAATAAAGATAATTAAGCTGCAAAGTAAGAAGAAGTTGAATCAAATTAATTACTTTAATAAAGTAAAAAAAATGCAATGGATGCGTAAGAATATTAATCATTATTGAAAAATGCATAAAGTTTACAAAAATAAATATTGTTGGACAAACATTAATTGATTTAATAAGATATAAAACAATTATAAAATGAATACATTGAATATAGGTAAAAACATTAACAGAAAAATGATATNTACAAACAAAGCATCTATCCCTAAATGCATATTTTGTAAATTTTTTTGGTAGAAAAAACCATTTATATATTTTTTCCGAAAAATCTGGCTTCTTTGATGAAATTTTAATTCCACACCACTCTATAATCTTGAAACATAAAATATAAATTTTAAATTAAACCTAATTATACTCTTATTTATTAATTTGAGGCTCTTTTGCTGTAGAGTAATTCTTTTTATACTGAATGATTTCAAATTTAAATTAGAAATGTTAATTTACTTTTGTGAACAGGACCAAATAGAAAAGGATTAAGATTAAAAAAAATAATATTTTATATATAATCAAGATATAATGAAGTAGATCAATAATAGAAAATATATATTCTTTTAGTTTGTTTCTTCCTCTAACCAAAAAGATATGATATGCGATTCATTTTTTTAACACCAGATCAACTTCTAAAAATTGAAATAGATTTAACTAATACCTAAAAAAGAGTAATAAAAATCTACAAATGAATAGGATTTTAATTAGTTTGTTTGATAATATAATTAAATGAATTAAGGAGAAAATTTCATGTAACTTTTAATAATTAGATAGTGAAGAACTTTTGGATGGTTTTCGTATTTCTGAATATTAAAGTGAGGGCAATTAAAGTGCATTTAAGAACCTATTAAGTCAAATACAAGAATTTAGATAAAAACTAAGTAAGCAGTTGTATTAGAAGCAACCCTATTAACCTGAATTTTCTGCATAAGGTTCTACTTCAACCCAGATTACAATGAGTAGCAAGAGCTTTAATGTTAATGAAGAGAATGTCTAATGTTAAATAGAGAGAGAAACTTTAAAACAAAATTAGCTATAGAATGTAATAAATACAATTTTAAGAAAAATAACTGATTATAAGAAACATACCGATTCTGTATTAGAATTATTGTATGGATTTAATAAAGATAATTAAGCTGCAAAGTAAGAAGAAGTTGAATCAAATTAATTACTTTAATAAAGTAAAAAAAATGCAATGGATGCGTAAGAATATTAATCATTATTGAAAAATGCATAAAGTTTACAAAAATAAATATTGTTGGACAAACATTAATTGATTTAATAAGATATAAAACAATTATAAAATGAATACATTGAATATAGGTAAAAACATTAACAGAAAAATGATATAATTTAATAATAAATATCAGAAATAGCATAATTAGATGAGAAGAAATCAAAAATATAACTTAAATAATAAGAATAATCATCAGTAATATGTTATGCAAATACAATAAAGTTATTAGATGAGATGTTTAATAAAGATGATCCAAGAAATTTATTCTAATATTAATTTGAACGAAGATAATAAATAATTAGATAAAATAGGAGGTTAACGTAATCATAAGTTTAATCATCAAATCCAGATTCAATTATTAATATATTTGCAACTTAAATAGATTAAATAGAATAGGATACACTTGAGTCTCCAAAGGAAGAAGAAAAAGAAAGTGAACTTAAATTATTAGAATTTATAAAGAATCCAAATAATCAATTGAATGAATTAGATATATAATAAGATTTATTAGCTTTTTCTGATTTAGTAGTCTAAAAATATTAAGAGTATAAGGAATAATTTGATAGACTGGGATTTTAGTTTATATAATTAAATGAGAAAAAATATGATCTACAATAAATTATGAGAGAAATTAATTATTGTAAATATCCTGAGACATCAAATGGTCTGTTAACTTTAAAATTATCAGATAATTACAATAATAATTAGATTACTTTAAATATATTATCAACAAGTGTTGAATTGGATTTAAATGAATAACGAAACGAGAATGAAGTAAAAAGAGTATAAAATGCTGTGATAAGATTATTTAATTTCTTGAGAAATCATGTTGCAAGAGTGAATCATTTAGTAAAACATATATAAGAATTAAGTGATTTAGTTCCATCACCTATATTTTAAGTATTGGATTAATTGAAAAACTGTTTATAAATAAATGAGATAATCAGAACACCAACATAAAAGAAACCGTCCATGTTAGCAACAACAATTATAGAATAGAAATAAGAATTTGTTTATGTTAAACATGCAAAATTATTATCTTAGAAATAAATGTTAAGTACAGTTCATATTCCAAAGAAACATGTTCATTCACCAATATCAAAATTTAAATATTAATAAATTGTATAAAAATTTATAAAATCTCTTTTATCTGATGAAACAGAAAGAATATTTATTTAATAAGATATGGTTGATGAGTAAATAAAATATATATTGATTTAGATTAACTAAGGAGGTATAAAAGCATTGCGAAGAAAATGATCCTGATGAAGAAGGTTTAATGAGATATTTAGGAACAAAAAAGATGTTCTTTTAACATCATTTATAATAAAGAACTAGAAGTATATTGTAAAATGTTCTTTCGAAATTAGGTGAAATACATAAGAAACTAAAATATTACAGTTAATAACGTAACTAAAATTGTTAAATAATAATAGTTCGATTAAAAGGGTTAGATTATACAGAAGAAAAGTTTAAAAGTGGATGTGCTTTTACTAATAATGATATTTAGATGAAATCCTGCTAGCGTACATCATCAAATAATTTTGTATCTAGCTAATAATCATTTGATAATATCTCGATAAATCATTCTGAACATAGTAAACATCATGGAGGGAAGGATGTGTTTCATTTGTTAAAGAAATTGACAAATGTTAATGATATGCAAGAAATAGCCTAATAAGATTCTGAAGATGTAAATAAAATTTAATTTATTTTAAGAGTATTGATCAAGAAAGGGATAAATTGAAAAAGTAATAATACTTTATTAAGAGTTAAATTAATACAAAAGATAAAACATTAAAGAATTTAGATGATGATGTATTCTACAGGTTAAATCCATAAAGAAAGAATCCAAATTAAGAAATGAGAAATTAGTTAGAAATTTTAAAACATATGAGAATCAGTAATAATTTTGATGATATTTCATTTAATAGGTGCTGCAAGAAGTAGTTGTTCTATTGAATAAGAGATGAAATCTTAAATTTGGAAAATGACATGTCCTGTTCAACCAAATAAGATCAAAATACGTAAAGATACATTTAGAAAATTATTTAATTCTTCTGATAAGAAATAAGTTGATTTCTAATCTCAAAAAAAATTATCAACTAGATCCTTTTAAACAAATTTGAATCCAATACCTAAAATTACAAATACAGTTGGAGATGATGCAGAAGCTATATGGAAGAAAAAATATAGAGCAAAGAAAATTTTAAATGCAATATCAGTGAAGGAAACATAGAAAGAGAAATTTGGGTTTTTAGAAGTTATTTGATAATATAAATAATTTATATGGATAGATTGAAAGATATTGAGAGTATGGCACATGGACATGCTGGTGCTTTAGCAGCTCTTTTTTCTACATGTTTACTTTATCCTCTAGAAAATATCAAAACAAGAATGGCTGCATCATAATAAAAAGAAATCATTCAAGACATTATTATTAAAGTATGGGAATAAGAAGGACTTTGGGGATTTTTTAAAGGTGTTACACCATTAGCATTAGGAAATTATATATCTTATGGAGTCTACTTTTTTTGGTATATATTTTATATTTTATCAGAAGGTATGAATATTTTAAGCATTTATTTAAAACAGATATTTCCAATTCATTTGCTTTAATTAAACCATCTTTAGCATCTGCCATCCTTACAACTTTTGTTACAAATCCTTTTTGGGTTGTATAGTCAAGAATGACTGTCAGCAAAGATAATCTTAATTTTTTTTAAAAAACTAAACAAATTATTGAAAAAGAAGGATGGGAAGCTTTAATGAAAGGACTTTAAGCATCTCTTATTTTAACTATTAATCCTATTATTCAATTTGTTATCTATGAAGCATTTAAAAGAAAATTCTAATTTGCAGAAAATTAAGCCATTGTTAATTTTATTGGAGGAGCTATCTCAAAAGCCATTTCTACTATTTTAACTTATGTTTCAAATTCATATTTTAATATTAGCCTTACTAACTTCTTAGAACCAAAACACATATCAAGAAAAATAGTTCAAAATCATATTTTTCAGCCGCTGAAAAAATTATCAAAAATGAAGGAATATCAGGATTATTTAAAGGTTTATCAATTTATATTTATTAATTTGTAGGTTTGACACCAAAATTATGTTAATCAGTATTAAATTCAGCATTTTTACTAATGTTTTATGAAAAGATTTATGAGATCATAAAATAAGGAATAATTGTTATTATTATTGAAATATTGAAATATCGTAAAAAAATAAGAAAACTGTAAAAAGTAAAATGATAAACAAAAGAAGATTAATTTATTTATTTTTTTATTTTATTTAATTCAAGCAATTTATTAAAGTTTTTATTTGTATAAGGAGTTCAAAAATACTCTGGATGGACATTTTTTTGGATTCTTATCATCAAAATCTTTTTGTGTAGTTGAATTAAATTATCCATCAAAAGCTGGAATCATTTTAACTTACTAATTGTAAATTAATAATAATAAAAAAATACTTATTCGGGATCAATTTTATTTAATTTTCCAGTTTAATAGGGTTTATAAAAAGCACTATTAGTAGATTGATGAATAAATGGTAATTCTGGAGATATGGGACTTTTAAAACTACTTTTATTTGCAGTAGTTAAAAATTCTTCTCTTGGTATAGGTTTTTTATAAAAATTATCTTGATAAGTTGAATGAGTAGTCATGGGCATATCTACTACAGTAGGATGATGAGGAGGATTAATCTTCAGAGATGACATTCCACCTCCAGCATAATCAAGCTAAATAGTTTATATGAATATATTTATACTCTATAGGCTGATGAACTGCTGAATGGAATCAAAAATACTTTTTATTCAGGTTTTAAAGATTCTGCTGGTTTAGCACCAGGATGAGCCTAATATGTACTCTAATTTATGATTAGTATATTTATAATACTCTCTAAATAGTATCAATATCCATGGGTAATTAATTCTTGTAAGTTACATTGTGATCAATCAGAGGAATTTACTTCTATTTACCATGTGTGATAAAATCTCTTTAATATAAAGATTCTTATCCTTTCTTAAAATCATTTGATAAAAGCATCTTAGGACATTTACATTATCCACAAATACATTTGCCACATATACAATCTCCTTTAAGATGATTAAAAAATGCTTCATTTTTATCAAGTAACTTTCCAAAATGAGTACACAATAATTAACTTTAGTAATTATTTGATTAGAGAGTTGAATAACGTGAATTTATGTGATAATCTTATTCACTCATAATTGTTTATATAATAAATATTAATAAATGTTGTTTTCTTTTTATTTTAATATTATGGATAATCTTTTGTTATTCATAACTTTGCCAAATCCATTCTATTTTATGGTTTTTCAACATTTTGACTTTTTAAATTTTATTCTAATTGCCCTAATCGTTCTATAAAATATAATTTATTATGTATTTCACTCTAAATATTTGATTCTATTATGGAACTTTTTTAAAACGCCATAGAGACACCAGTAAATGATTAACTTAATTAACTTTTGATGCTATCATCTAATAATTATTTAAATTAATCCATCTTTAAAAGTAACATGGAATCTTAAAAAACCTTTCTTTCAACAGGCTTTTTTTAATCCCCGCTTCTTTTAATAGGTATAACATCATTAATCACAAGTTCATATTCATATTTTTTTTTATTGGCATCTAATGTATCTCTAAATTCTTAATAATTTAATTTATATGAATATTCAGGATGTTTATCCATAAACTCTTTAAAATCCCCTTTAAAATTTTCAAGCTTAACAAAAGACATAGATTCATCCTATGAATAAACTGTGAGTATACAAGTGACTTTTTAATTAAATATTGATAGAGAACCTTTAATAGTTTTCTTAAAAGATTTAGATCTTTTTATTTATCAAAATATTATGCTCCAATAACTGCTTTAAGGGCTTAGGCTTATATTTTTGGGTTGTTTCTAAAATCAATAAGATATTAAACTTACTTTAATTCTTTTGAAGAATTGATTGCAAGATGCATTTCATCTTTCAATCCTAATTGAATAGTAACTTCAGCCAAATTCTGATCAGATAACAATACTTATTTTTATTTTTTAATTTCAGTGTATGTTGAAAATGTCTTATGATCTTTATTGGGCAAACTAATAAATTTAGAATTAATGTTACTTTTGATATGTAAAGAATTCAATAAAATAAAATTCAATTAGATCCATACCCAATTCTATGAAATTTTCATTGTTACCATATTTTAATGGATTATCTTTATTTCTAGCTGTATACTCTATATGGTAATTTTTGAATGTCATAGCCTTGTGATATAAATCTGAATATTGAAATTCTAATAATGTTCTTAAATTGGAATGATCTTCCTAAATAGCTTACATTTATAATATAAAAATATTATAGTTAAAATTTATTATCAATCATATTTTTCTTTTATAGATAAGAAGGTAAGCAGAATCAATACGAGAGATTTGATTATATGAAAGTCTTTCGATTTCATCATCATTGAATAAAAAAAACTAAATTATTATTTTAGAATTACTTATTAATTACGTTTCACAACTGCAACATAATGTCCTTAATCAATAGTTCCAGAATGTACAATCATGGCTTATAATTCATATTTGGCATCAACAATATTTATTGCACAAAAACTTATGTAAAAATATAAAGATATACTTTCTAATATTGATTTCCATAGTAGTAATAACAGGCTCTTTAATTTTTTTTTTAAGTGGATAACTTTGAAATCTTTTAAGTTATAAAATAAGAATATTTGGAGCACTAGTAATTTTAATACGTCTTTTAATTTTTTTAGATAATTTATTACATTCTGAACATGTCCATCCTCCATCAATAAATTCTTCTTTGAAATAATTAGCAAGACATTCATTGATAGTAAGTTTTTTTTATATGAAATTCTAACCAATTAATGGAAGACTAAGATCATAGAAGATTTCTTGATGTGAACTAATTTAAGTACAATGTGGACATTTAATAAATGATGTAATTTATCCTTGAAATAATTCATCAATTACTGTTATATCTAATTAATTAAATAAAGTAATTTCTTCTCTAAATTTATCAAGAATAAAAAGCAGAAGTTCTGAACTATCATGCATTTCATATATTGAGAAATGTTTTTATAATATTTTAATTAATTCTTTTGGAAGTATTCTTGCTTTATAATATAACTTATTAATTTTTTTGAGTAGTAATGTGTATGCTTAAGTAAATAATTTATTATCTTAATTTTAAGAATACAAAAAGAAATGATTTAATTAAGGAATTCCCATTAGACATTATAAAACACTATTTAGATAACAAAAGTAACTCTCATTTTCTAATCCAACAATTTAAATCTCTTTACTAGGTAATTGATTCAATAATCTAAATTAATATTGTTTCTTATCCAAATCATTCATAGAAGGAGATGCAAATACTCTTAATGATTAATCTAAAATATTATTATCACTTATTCTTTCAAGATCATTAATTGTAATAATAGGACCACCCTTATAAATGTGTACCAGCATATTCCATACTTAATCATTTACTAAAACATAATCTTTCTCAGAAATTAATTCTTATTTATTCTTCAACTTCTCAAACAATATTTTATTACTGATTTCTCCTGGATGAATCCGTTCATCCTTTATATAATTTGTATAGGAGTATGCCCAATTAAATTCTATTAAATGAGTCTTCTCTGGCATATCTATCAATCTCATTATAAGTTCACGTTCCTATTCAAAGGTTTTCTTATCATCCAATATGAATCTTTCAAAATCTTAAGAACTGAAGTTAATCTTATCATTTGTGCCTTCAAAATTTGTCAAATTCGTAGAATGTTAATCTTAATCTAAAAATATACGAATTTAATATTTTGGCTAACTAGGTTATTGCTATATCGCCTATTGAATTTAGTTTTCCTTTCTTTTTGCTTTCTTATTACTATTACAACAAATAAACATATTCGTAATTATTATTAATAAAGTCAAACACCATCCAAATGCATCTTACAAAATAATTAATATCCATTATTATTTACTATCAAATTTGATCAAATCTCATTCAAAGAATTACCTTCTAAGTAATCATCAAACCGATACAGAATTCAATTATTTATTTTATTTATTCCTTATACTACTAATACTTATAATTAATATTTTATCATGTGGTACTACTCTCCTCTTTATTACATAAACTTATATACTAAACAATATTGATTATAAATCATTACACAAATAATCACTCATTTTTATAATCACTCCCTATTAAATAATCTTTTTTTATTCATACCAACTCCCATTTCTCTCTAATTCATCATACTTCATATCAATCCATTGTAACTATAATCAATCAATCTATTATATTTACAAGTTTTCATCTTAAATAATTTTTTATTATATTTTTTAATCATCAAATCAAATTAACTACAATTTTCTCACTTATACTAAAATACTAACTATATAATTAAATATCTTCTAATTACATCTATAATTTAAAGCAAAGATTTTTTAATTTTTAAATCTATTTACTATCTCCAAAGGAGTAAGTAATTCTTAATTATTAGCGAGTCCTTCTTTGTGATTGACCCTAATTTTATATCTATCACATTTTCAATCTTGAATAATTTAGGCAATTTAAATATTTATTAATAAAAATCATATTATCAATATTTACTATTTTATTTTTTGTTATTATAAATTTATTTTAATTAATCATTTTCATTCCAAAAAAATTCCTAATTAAATGAATATCATTTAAAGATCAATTAGTCTAAAATTCTTCGATATAAGTTATTTCTTTCCATTTTCTATCATTTTTCTAAAAAATGCTTAATTCCAATATTTTATTCATAAATAATTAAATTAATAAATCTCGAAATATATATTTTTATTTTGATATCTTTTAAATTTTTCTATTTTTCTGATTAAATGATATTTATCATAGTAATTTAATGTATCTTCTGTTCCTTAAATTTCCTTCTAAAGAATTTGTGATTATTTTTGCACTTAATTTTATCACTACAAATTGTTAATAATTTAAATGAAATATTAAATTTCTAGACCCTTTGAGAAATTCTTAACAATTACTAGAACTTTTTCCACTTAACTAAAAGCAACTCTAGAATTAAACCTTGCTTTTTCGGAAATAATTTAATAAGTATACATTAAACATTTTATTTTTCAATTCTCCTTAAATAATATAAGTCTATCTAATTTAATAAATATTACGTCTATGAATTTAAATTATTCCAGTAAATTTTAGATTTATCAATCTTCTTTCTTAGAGTAACATTAAATGCATTATCAATATCTTAAAGAAAATAAGTAATAGCAATCTATTATTCTTACTAATAAAATCAATCTATTTCTTTAACTCAATTTTTTAATAGTAACAAAAAATTACTCAAAATACTATTATATATAAATTAATCACGAATAGGGTTTTTGCTATTTTTATTTAGAAGTATTAACTAAAGTGTTTCTTTAAATTTTTCTAATTTAACTATCCATCTCTGAGAAGTTTAGTTTTAAAATTAATCATTTTTAATCAATAAATTTAAAAGAAAAATAAATTTTAATAAGCAGCATTTGCATTCTTACAAAAGAACTTTCAGCAAAAAATACATTTTATACATTTTAATATTCCTATTTTGATTAGGACAGATTTAAGAATTATTTATTTTTATAATGATTTGAAATAGTTTTTAAAGATTTTTTTTTGTATCTATTTTATTTAAGAAAATGAAATTAAAAAAGAAGGAACTTTATTTAAAATATCTTATCTTATAATTATATTTGAAATTAATTTTTTTTCCTATTACTCAATAGTGATCAATTTGTGATTAATCAAATTTGCATAACACAGAATAGTTTTAAATTATCTTATTATCGAATTAAGATAATGATAATTATTAAAAAAATGAATGAAATATTATTATGGAAATATTAATTAGTACATTATTATTTATGAAATTAAAATTTATCTCTATATAAAAATGAATTATTAGTTAAATTCCATAATTAAAGAGTTGGTTCTGGTTAAGAATTATAAGTAAAATGAATAAATAAATTATAAATTAATTTATTAATAAGAGTATTGGGAATAAAAATAATGTTAATAGAAAAATATTATAAAAGTTTGAAATATCAATGTATTATTTAAGAAAATAAATAATGGATTAATAAATATAAATAAATTAAGAATGTTAAAAAAAGAATTTGAGAAACATTTAAAGGAGATAAGAGAGGAAGTAAATTAATTGATACCAAAGTATCTTGATGAAGGAATACTAATAAACTAAGTGAGTTGCATGAAATATTTAATAGATAAATAGTAAAGTAAAAATTGAATTAGCAGAGGAATTCAATATTCAATAGGATTTTGATTAGAATTTTAAATCAATATTTTTAGAATTTATTTTTAATCTTCAGAAACAGATGATGATTTAAGAAAAAATATAGAATTCTCCTAAAACAATTAATGATTTATTTTTATGTAGCTTTTTTAATTTAGATGACATTCCAAAGATAAAGAGACACTCTATCTTAAAGAAATTATTAGATCATATAAATTAGCGCATAAATCACTTCTTTTAACACCAACAATCAACAATATAGTTTTTAATTGCTTAACAAAAATTAATTGATTCTTAGAGTACACGATCATCTCCAATAGTGATTGATATAGAAATTGATTCAAATAAAAATATAGCAGATGAATAATAATAATTGAATGATTAAAAATAAGAATTAGAATTGTTTAATTTAGCCTAGTATTAAAATCCAACTGAGGAATAATTAAATTGTCCATATTGTGTCTGTAAAAAGAGTAATCAGATAGTTTTGAATCAATTAGCTTTAAGATGTGCAATTTGTAAGAATTACTTCCATATTTCATGTTTAAGAATTGAGAAACAAAAAAAAGTATTTGTATGTCCAGAATGTATATTAATTGGAATGGATCCATTACATGAATTATAAGAATCAATTTTAGATCCTGTGATATTTTAATCATTAGAAGGGAGAGTGAATTAATTTACATAGAAATTTTAAATGAAAAAAGGATTACCATCAGAACATTTAGTAGAATTAAGATCAATTAAAATTGATGGATAATTTGAAGATATTTCTTGGCCTGATTTTGGTGATCTTTAATTAAATGGGAAAAAGATTCAAGATTTCAAACCTTTAGCAAACAATAGCAGTTTGAAAAAAAGAAAAGATGAAAAATTAATACTTAATACTGAATTAGGTTAAAGTAATTTGCTAACAATTAGAGAATAGAATGGAAATCAAGATTTATAAGCTTATAGAATAAATTAAGGAATTCCATATATGTTGGGAATATTCGAAGTAAGGATATATAAATTGAGTGAATTCATAAAAAAAGTAAAAATGGATTAAAGTTGTTTGATAGGAATTGAATAAAGTAAGAAATTAATTTAATTATCTATTTTATAAAATTAATTTGATGAGGTAACAATGGAGAGTATAAAGGTTAGTTTAGATTGTGTTTATGATCTAACTTTATTATAAACACCAGCAAGAGGCAATATTTGTGAACATATTTAATGTTTTTCATTAGAAAATTTAGTAACAATGATGAAGAATGTTAGTCCTAGAAAATGGAAATGTCCAATATGTAAATAAATGATTCTTGGATTATAAATAGATGCATATTAAATGTGTATTCTAACAATAATCAAATAGTACAACCTGAAGATTAATGAAGTTTCATTTAATTAGTTTGTAAACAGAGTACTTAATTCTTTTAGGGTGAAGTAGAAGATCCTAAATTGAGATTATTATTGAAATAACAATAATCCACACTTCCAGATTATACTCGTAATAATAATAATAGGATTATTCAATTAGAATAGATTTCTTAGCGTATTTTGAAAATCCCCAATTAAGTTGTTGTAGAATTTAAAAAATCTAAAACACCTCCTCCTCTACCTGAACCAAAAGTAAGAAAAAAAATAACTAATTTATTTTATGATGCTATTCTCATTGATTGATTGATTATGTAATATAATCATAAATTATCCTTTCTCTTTTAAATCTCAATCTCATAATGATGTTGTTCTTCATCTCCATCCAAACCATAATCAATCTTTTTTTTATGACAAACATAAAAATTATATATAAAATAGCCTAAACCACACAACAATATCACTACAACTCCATATACTAAGCTTTTACTAGGTCCTATTTTTATTATCTTATTATTCAAAAACCTTCTTCTTCTTATTCAGGATTTCCTCCAGAATTATCACTGTTACTTTTTTAAGTGTCTGTTTAGGTAAGAGCAATCGATAATGCTAAAAACAATATATATTAATTCTTCATTTATAAATTAAAGTAATATATTCCATATTTACATTTTACAAACTCCATCCTCCTTCACTAACACTAATTTTTTACACATTTTCATTTCCTTTAATTCTTTCCTCTTTTGTAAATGGAACAATAAATTATGTTGATTCAACGAACAATGTTGCTATTAACATAAAAAATAATTTTTATACATTATTTCTTAAACAATTCTTTCAATTTAGGATCCTTTACCTTTATTGATTCCATAAAACCTAATACTCCAACATCAAAAAAATTTTGATATTTTTTTTTACCAAATAATTTATCAAATTCTTCAAAGATTGGTATAATTTTTACTTTTAATTTTGAAAATGCTAAAATTAAAGGTAATAAATACTTTATAAAGGATCTTATTGTATTTCCACTATCATATTATCTTTGGTAATAACTTATTTAATTGATGTATCTGTAGTATTAGCTTCAGAGATATTATTTTCTTCTAATTTATCTTGTAATTATTATTCATCTTTTTCTTATTATTATAATTATTTTTCTTTTTCTTATTATTATTATTATTATTATTATTATTATTATTATTATTATTATTATTATTATTATTCTTCATTTTCTTCATCTTTTTCATCAATTTTTTCTAAACCATCTTATTGTTATTGTTAATTTTTTGATTTTGATTTATTATCTTATCTTTCTAAATATTCATCAACATGAATATGATAGTCAGTACCATTATCAAATTTTTAGATGATATGTTAAATATTGAATTCTGAAACAGTCACAGCATGTGATACTTATTAAGTATTTCTAACTTTGAATAGTTATTCATTTTCAGGTAAAACACTAGTATAGATTCCAAAGGAGATATAAGGTGATACAATGATGTCTCCCCAATATCCTCTAACTAATAAATTATCTTTAGTTTATTTATGTTTGCCAGGTAAATAACTGGCTAATGTTCTATTAGGTGTAGGATAACTTGCATATCTGGATTCAAAAGCAATTCCAGATTATCTCCATTCTCTATAATGAATGAAATGAATGATTGGTGCAAAATCTTTAAGATTCATTTAATAATCCCAATCAATCATATTTAGACGATGATCAAATCTGGTACCATAATGATGTCTTAATCTTTAGTCTCTTAATTTTTCAATTTTAAATTCATTATAAGAATACCAAGATCTAATAACTTCAGTCATTTCATCTCTATCCTTGAATTTCAATTCTTTAAGATCAACAATTTAATTAAGTGCAGATGTAAATTTAGTTTCTTTTGCAATTAAATCATCTAAAAATGGAATCACTTTATCAATATAATTAGTAGTAGATTCTCTTAAGAAAGTATTTCCGAAGACTTCTAAAAACATATCAGATCTTTCTCTATAAGTAAAATTCTTAGTATGCATGATCAATAATAATAATAATGATCTACATAGTGTTTCCTTATATTTCTCATGAATATAGAAATTAAGCTACATAATTAGTATAATTACACCATACTTATAAATCATTTCGATTATGATTACATAAACAAGTTTCAAGTATATGTCTAAGATCACTAACTCCACTAAGTAATATGTTGATTTGACCAGTCATTTAAGATGTGACAAGATTCAATTATGAAGAATGTCCCCAAAATTAAATGAAGCCCAAAGAGGATGTATAATCACTCATTATAAAATTAATATAAATCACAATTGTATAAATTATTCTAACCATTATGTTACTTAATTTGTTGTTTGAATAGGGAGGATCTATTAAACAATATTATTTAATTTGGTATGAATTAATTTACCTTCTTTTGCTTCCAATTTCTAGATAATTCTAGAACTTAAAAACATATCAATTGCTAATATTTAAATTGTATTATTAATAATATGTTACATTTTTAGTATTGAATCTTCAAAGTTATTATTAATATCTTCTAAATGAGTTGTTTATGGCATAGAATCTGCTGAAACGGGATGACAATACTTTTTATTCTTTTATATTAAATTGCTTGCTTAATTAGCTAATTATTAGAATCCAAACAAGGATTAATCATCTCTTAAATATTAATCATAATAATCTTATAATTTAGTTAATTAAGGATTCATCAATCTTTAAATTCTTCTCTAAAAAATAATAAAATTAAATAAATACTTCAGTGATGGCTCCAATTTCTGAAACAGCAATGGCTAAATAATCTAGAAGTAATAATTCAGTTTCATTATTATTAAGTTAATTATAGATGATATCTTGAATATGATTAGAATTAGTTTGATATAGGAATTGATAAGCTCTTTATCCAATTTGTTAGGATTAGATTGTATTGATAATAAATTTAATAGAATCTAAAGATGCACCAATAACTTAAGGTATACATCTAGTAGAATAAGCATCTTAAAGTATGTTATGAGTAATAGTTTTAAGACTTAAATTTAAATCAGACTCTTCATCATTAAGAGTCAATAGATTATATAATTCTTGGGCAACTTCAATCTATCCTTGATGCTATTTAACTTCATTTACTAATTATGTGAAAGCACAAATAACACCATTTGTAGCTTCAAAGGAAATAGAAGTCGTAATAAATGCCATTTTAATACATTTAAAACTTCTATAAGTATTATATAAAAGTGTAGCAAACGATAAAGATTTTGTAAATGTAATTATTATCGCATCATATTCACTAATATTTTTAAGAGTTGATAAGATTGCCCAATTAAGACTTGCATCATAATATTAGGTATTAAAATTTATAGATGGTAATTATAAATGAGTTTTATTATTAAAATGTTATTATAATTATTTTAAGGTATTTAAACTCACTCCACTACAGTTGACTAAATTATTGATAAGAATGAATAATGTAATTTTACATAAATCTTCATTTACAAATTAAGGAGGGTCAGAAGGTATACATTAGAATAATTCTTACAATTATTGAGTTTCATAATTCTAAAGATCCTTTATAGGATTAGGCATTTTGAATCCAAGTAGTGTGTTGAAGCCATAAATTTGTTGTTTAGTATTTTTTATAAATGTTTAAAAGGATTCTCTACATTCTTCAACTTTAATCTCTTCAAATTGTATTTATGTATCATTTTAAAGAATGTCACTGACAAGTTAGAGACTGTAATTTTGAGGAAGCTAAATAATCATATTAATTAATTAATAAATATTATTTTTTATGAATATTAATAGTATTGATGTTTAATTATTATTATCTAATCAATATTACATAATTAAAATATAATTACTATACTTATTTTAAAAAGTTACTACAATTTCCTTTTGAACATTTCTTAACGATTCCTCTAAAAGATCACTCATTTAAAATCTTGAATATCAGATTATATTGGATTCTGAATTCATTTTTCATCATTATATTTACTAACTTTTTCAATCAATCAACTCTTTAACATTCTTAGATTTTTTCTTACTGCCATTGCTACTGTACGTAAATAAATTCCCATGAGAGTTTTCCCATCTAAAATTTTCTGGTTTACCAATATCAATCTATCTTCACTTCTTATCTAAACATTGTTCAACTATAATCTCAATCATATCTATAATAATTTAACATATATAAAATATTGAATTCTCCTACATTAAAATCTAATAATGTCATCTCAATTCTAACTAATCAATATCATTTAATTTAGTAAATTACCAACCTTTAAACAATATCATCAACTAATTTACAATAATGTATCACAAATTGAATATCCAAATAGAATTAAATACAAAATATTTATCAATAATATAATCAACTAAATTACTTATTATTATCAAAAAACATAAATAATTATTTTTGGGCTTTAGATAATCTAGTAAAGATTTATTAAAAGCTAACTCAGCAGCCTTTTCTAAAAGAAATTCAATAAAGTGAAGTTTCTTATATATAATAATTTCACTTTTATTAAAAGCCAATTCATACTTTAGTAATTAACTTTATGAATATGAGCTAATATACTCTATGAATAATTTAAAATTTAACATTACTTAGATGATTTATAACTCATATTTCTATGAATAATTAATGTGAATTTTTTACAGTTATTGAATAATCATATATTATAATATTGAATCATAATGATGAGAATGAATCTTCGAAATGATTAGTATGATTTAAAGACATCTAAAATATACTATTTGATTAGGTGTTTTTGAATAATGAAATTTGTAAAAACTAGTAATATTTTAATTTAAAATATGAGAAGATGTTTATTAAAATATCAGCCTCATAATAAGAGTTTTATTTGGTCAGAGATGGATTTCTAATTAAAAAGATATATAAATAGAATTAGTGATATGTTTAAAGACCTTCAATGTTAATTGCATGATCATGATTCAATTATAGCACTTTGTATAGATTAAAATTGTGAAGAGTATTAACATATATTATGGTAATTGAATTGAGTAGCTAGTTTAAAATGTATAATAAATGATCATCAACATGAATCTTAGAATATTTTAGTGATCCAAGAGGTAGTGAATAAAAGAGAGAAACTATTCAGATTGATTTAATATCTTTAAAATAAGGATAACATATATCGTTAGACAAATTTAAGTAATTAAATATATAATTTAGATGAGTATAATTGGTTATAAGATTGTATATTATATGGTAAATAGAATGAATACCCTTGTTTAACATTTGACAATGTCTTTTAGACAGTTTAGGATACATTTTTAGCAAATATAGATGATCTTAAATCATAAGTAGAAAAGAGTGTTTGTTCATTAAAAAGCAATTCTGAGAAATACAAGAAGATTTAGTAATTCAAATAAAAAATGGAGGATTTAATAAAGACTACACATTCTTAAATATATTTGAATTTTCAATCAATTATGCAAGAGGAAAGTAATGAATAGAGATCAACAGATGGTAAATCAATACCTTAAGCAGTCACATTGAATTTATCATAAATAGACTAATCATAAATAGATTAATTAGGAGACACAAAATAATTATTAATCATGGATAAAGATAGTTTTGATAATTTGGAAAATACTCAATATATATAATCAATTCAAAGTAATTTAACTAATACATCTATTTATGGATTGGATGATACAAATATCAGTCCATTATTGCCGACATTATAATTTATAGATAAAACAACAAAAAGAAGTTTATTAGGCAAAGCTAGAGTTAAATTTGAAGAAGGTGGTAAAATAATCTCAATGTAAAAGAATACAATTATTGTATCTAAAGAATTATATTCTAAAGATAATATAGAAATACGAATAAGAATTCTTTCCTTTCTTTCAGGTTGTCTACATTTTGGATATGTTGAATAAACTACATGTGAATTAACTAAAAATATTGATAATGTTGGAAATTGGGCTTGTTTACATAATTAATGTAATGATTATCCTAAATTGGGAAAGATCTAAGATTTTTGTTTATATATTGACAGTATTGTAGGATTAAATCTAAATTTTGTAGAAGACATTGTTAGTCTAAGATTGTTTACAAGAGATGGAATTATAATTTTATATTAGAAAAAAGGATCTTTAATGAAATAAAAATAATATGTCTATATTTCATGTTTAGAAGGAAATGCAAAATTTGAAGTTTTAAATTGAATTATTAATTAACAATCATTATTACACTTTTATTTAATTCTGTATTTTTAACATTTGACTGCTAATTAAACTGATCCATTATTATTATTATTACTCATTTTGGACAACTAAATAAAAAATGGAGTCATGAGTTTAGATTCTCTACTATTTTTTGTGATTTTTACAATAGAATTCATATTCTGTAATTCATGTTCTTCTGGTTATTTTATTGATACTATTTAATGTAAATCAATCACTTCTGTTGGATTAATGTATTACTCTTACTTCTTAAAAGTATAAACACTGAAATTGGTTAATACAACCCATCGTCTAATAAATTTCATTTTAAACATTACTTGTGCCATTTCTTTAAAAATCTTGATTATTTATCCATCCAACCTTCTTTTACAATATTTTTCAAGTCTTCGAATTCATATTTCATATTTTACTATTAATTCATATTACACAATTTATTTATTATTAAAATAAGCATATACTTCTTTTTTATAAATTATAGACATTCTAAAAATCATAAATAACTATTAATAAATGAATATAGTTCTTATCATTTATTATTTTATGAAAATTTTATTTACAATTTCAAATTTCTTTTATAACTCAACTCATGGCATTTTTTTTAATCGAAAATTATTTGGTTAAAATAGAAAATCATCGATATAAAAATGAAATTTATGTCAAAATTACAGTGATAAAATTTAATTAAAATATTTGTAATAATTATTTATTAGAATATCATTTTTATGATGATTTTTTAATACATTTCAATAGATTTGATAAAAAAATATGATAATTGATAATTTGTTCTAAGATAATTTAATTGATAAAATGATAAAAAAATAATTAAATTTTGTAAGTTCTATTATAACAATAGCACTGATCTTAATAAATTGATAAATTTCAAAAGAAATTAGTAATGTTATTTAAATTTATATCTCTTAATTTCATTAGTAATGAAGAATTTACGTTCTTTTACTATATATGTAATATGAGAAAGAAATTTTTAGATAAAGTTTTTCTTATAATAGTTTCTTCAACTGGTATTAGTTTAGCTATTAATGAATAATTTGCTAAAGAAGGAGCTACAGCAATTATAAGATCAAAAATTAGAAATTTTGTAGGAAATGCTTAAGGATATGTTTGTTGGAAAGAAGTATAGATTATAATTATTATTTAAGGAGACTTAAGATTCCAATATAATTATAGTAAATAAATATTATTAATTTAGATGTATTCTAAAAAGCTAACTAAAAAATGATTTTTCAATCAATTATATCATATCTTCGATTGATGGATATAAAGCAGAAATAGTTTTAGGAATGTATAGTGTAACTAAAACTGCCTTATTAGGATTAACTAAATTTTTAAGTAAAGACTTAGCTCCTATCAGAGTTAACTGTTGTGCTCCTGTATTTAATGACTATATTAATATTTTGAATATTCTTATTTTTCTAAATTTTTAATACTCCTAAAAAGTATCTAAATTCTCACAATTCATTATGTATTATAACAATTAACGTTAAATATTATCAATATTTTCTGGAATCAAATTATCGATTATTAGTACTATTAATCATTTATTATTTATTGATTCTATAATATATATATAATTTATNGTTCTTATCATTTATTATTTTATGAAAATTTTATTTACAATTTCAAATTTCTTTTATAACTCAACTCATGGCATTTTTTTTAATCGAAAATTATTTGGTTAAAATAGAAAATCATCGATATAAAAATGAAATTTATGTCAAAATTACAGTGATAAAATTTAATTAAAATATTTGTAATAATTATTTATTAGAATATCATTTTTATGATGATTTTTTAATACATTTCAATAGATTTGATAAAAAAATATGATAATTGATAATTTGTTCTAAGATAATTTAATTGATAAAATGATAAAAAAATAATTAAATTTTGTAAGTTCTATTATAACAATAGCACTGATCTTAATAAATTGATAAATTTCAAAAGAAATTAGTAATGTTATTTAAATTTATATCTCTTAATTTCATTAGTAATGAAGAATTTACGTTCTTTTACTATATATGTAATATGAGAAAGAAATTTTTAGATAAAGTTTTTCTTATAATAGTTTCTTCAACTGGTATTAGTTTAGCTATTAATGAATAATTTGCTAAAGAAGGAGCTACAGCAATTATAAGATCAAAAATTAGAAATTTTGTAGGAAATGCTTAAGGATATGTTTGTTGGAAAGAAGTATAGATTATAATTATTATTTAAGGAGACTTAAGATTCCAATATAATTATAGTAAATAAATATTATTAATTTAGATGTATTCTAAAAAGCTAACTAAAAAATGATTTTTCAATCAATTATATCATATCTTCGATTGATGGATATAAAGCAGAAATAGTTTTAGGAATGTATAGTGTAACTAAAACTGCCTTATTAGGATTAACTAAATTTTTAAGTAAAGACTTAGCTCCTATCAGAGTTAACTGTTGTGCTCCTGTATTTAATGACTATATTAATATTTTGAATATTCTTATTTTTCTAAATTTTTAATACTCCTAAAAAGTATCTAAATTCTCACAATTCATTATGTATTATAACAATTAACGTTAAATATTATCAATATTTTCTGGAATCAAATTATCGATTATTAGTACTATTAATCATTTATTATTTATTGATTCTATAATATATATATAATTTATTTTTTGTTAAATTAAATATATAATTAAAAATTCTTGAAAATTATAATATTAAATAAATATTAAATCTACAATTTATTTAAATTCATTTTTTCATACTTGAATACTACTCTAATAATATGAATATATTTCTAATTTTATCTTTGGTTATAGAATTTCACCCTTCATTTTAAAATTCATTTCATGCATTAAATTTAAATAGATCTCAAACTAACTTATTAAAGTATTCAAGTTGTTTTTTTATATAGTTTTCATATTTTAATTATACAAATTTATGGTTTCAAAAACTATTCAAAATTTTATATTCTTCTGAATGAGGAAATTCAAAAGTTGGCCATTATTCCTCCTTTGCTAAGTATTTTTTCACAATAAATTATTTAGAAAATTTATATTCTAAATGTCCATTTTATGAGCCTTATATTTTCAAAACAAATTATGATGTTTCATAAGTATTTAATTCAATTGATATATTAAATAATTTATTAGCTAATTAATTGATTTCATGATCAAATGAATTATTAATACTTTTCAATCTCTATATTTGATCATCTATTTTCTCTTAATATATTTTCATCAAATGTGATAATTTTGGTACATCATCTGTATATCTTATAAAATAAATATGTAAATATTTATCATTCAAATTCTAAAAAATTTAACATATTTATCGTAGATCTAAATGAGGATGAGGACCTCTTCTATGTATTATAGATTTTAATTATTAAATATTTTATATTATTGGAATTTAGACTTTTTAAAAAAACTACAAATGTCTTAATTTTTGAAAAATTTATAATTACAAGAATTTAGTGTCGTAAAAAAAAGTATAAGCTAAAGTAGTTATAAAAAACTTTTATATAAAATCCCAAAAATCATTTATTCTTTCAAACTCTTCAAATTTTAGAAATTTTAAATCATCAAAATATTTATTAATATCAATTTTTTAAAGTTCCATAAGCATTGAATACTAGACAGCTTCTCTTAAATAAATTTAAATTTTATTATTAACAATTTTAGAACAAAGCGATACAATTAAATGTTATTAATTTAAATAAGCACTATTAATTTTGAAAACAAAGATGCCTAATTCTTTAGTAGGAATAAAATGATAATATTGATTGATAATAAGAGATGAAATACAATTACATTCTACTAAAATTTATTATATTAATTAAGAAGTAAGAAATGTATTATGTAGTATTTCACCAATAGACCAAATATCTTTTTATTATACCAATATATTAAGATTGAGTGGTGGTGCCTTAAGAAATTCAGTATGAGTAAATCCATCTAATATTTCACTCTTAATCAAATATATGTGAATACAATCTTCTTTCTTACTCATTAGACAATTACCAATAATCTTGCTAAGATAAAATTAACAATTCAACATCTTTCCATATTATATGTTGAACTCCAAATCAGTTGGAGAATATATTATTTTCTAAATTAAAATTTCTTTTAATTCACCTTCTCTCCAAAATATTCTCACCATTATTTATAAATGTTCTTCAATCTTCAATTTTAAAGATTCTATCAATATTTAAGGATCGTAATCAATTAATTATGTCTTTTAAAAACTAGATCTTTAAAGAATTTTACCTAACTGAAATACCTCCCTCTATTTTATTTACTATATAATTTATTTCAGTCCTTTTGTCTGTCACACTATATGGAAACTCTCTATAACTTATCAATTATTTTGGAAATTCTTTTATCTTATTCTCCACTTGTTAAAATCGCTCATCTTTTACAGATATTATCAATTGATGCTTACAATTATTCACACTTATTTTCATTAATAATAATATAATTTTTTTTTATGAATTTCATTTATTTATTCCACTAATGCTGACAATTCTTAACACAATTGTCTTTGTTCTTATATTAATTTGTTTATTTAATCATCATCAGAATCCAATATTTCCTTCCTTTATGGTAAAACATATTTATCATATTGATTAACCCACTTCTAAAGTTTCCCCTCAGGTATTTTGTACATTGTAGACATCTTTTATATTTCTTCTCTTCCTGGATCAGGCCCCAATTATTACAATAATTTGATTCTATCTGAAAATAAAAATTATGGTTTAGTTTCCATTTTATATATTAAATTCATAACTATATTATATTCTTCCTTTTTCATCCCAAAAAAATCATTTTAAAAATTTATCTAATTTTTATTTATTTGTTTTTAATATAATTAAACTATAAATATTGTTAAATCCTATCTAAAAATCTATTCTTTACAATTTATATATATCATTATATAAATAATATGTATAAATAATTTAATTAATCAAAAATTACAAATTCAAGGTTAAAAAATAAATCATTATCATTAATCATAACTTTATAAAACAGAACTTAAATCAAGTATAAATTAAACTTACTTAAAAATATTAATCACATTAAAAAATAAGATAAATTTTAATTAACAAATACTTTTAACTTTAGATTTATAATTTTAATGATAAATTTTCATAATAAACAATTTATTAAATAAAAGATTTAAAGAATTATTCATTAAGTCATTTTAACTTGATAAATTATTTGATTAATGTAAGGGAAATCAATACAAACTAGGAACAAATTGAAACTTAAAAATTAATTAAATCATAAGGATGATCTCCTACAATTACATTTAATATTTAGAGGGCAACTAAGAAATCAAATTTGAGTTTTAACTTAAGGAAAATAAATTGATCATAATGCCTTAATGAAAATATAAAATAAATATTTATTTCATTTCTACAAGCAGAACTTAAATAGATAATGACCTAGAATAATAATTAATTAAAAACTGTTTTGAATAATATTTAAGGAATAGGAGCTAGAACTAATAATTCATAATTTGAGAGAGTCCTAAAAGGAAAAACTGAAAACTACTCATATTTAAGGAAAACTAATTTTCATCAAAATACTCTTTTTATTAAACTCATTCAACCAAGAAATACCTTCTATTAAAAAGACTTATTTACAATTAATACATGAATTTTGTACTAAATTATTATTTTCTCAAGATTTTTAAAAATTTTTTAAAACTTTAAAAATCAATATTGATTAAATAGAATTTATTTAATTAATGATAACTAATTTTAAATTCTTATTCTTCATATTGCTTGAAAATGCTTAGTTTATTAATAATTAGTGATAATTATTTTTAGCTTTAAAAAAGACTTAATTAATAAAATTTTGCAGTTAAACTAGTATTTGATTAAGTTCAAATATGATAATTTTTATGTAATTTATGAGTTGAATTTATAATTTACAATAAAATTTGAATTGTAAGAATGAGTTCACTAAAAGGAGATTAGATTAATGTAATAATATTTATAAGAAAAATTTGGAGATGATGAAAATTTCTCTCTGTATTCTTTTTATTCAATATAGAATATTAATAATGATAAAATTTATGAATTTTACAAAGGATTATATTTGCAATTTTAATTAGATATTTTAAAGTATACAATTTTTCTTAAAATTCTAGATCAAAAGTATTTATTTATAATTTAACATATGGGTAAAGCACATAAAACAAAGAAATTTGCAACAATAAAGCGCATGATTTCAAAAAATGATCCAAGATGTTAAAAAAGACATCTTGAGCAACCCAAAGAAGAGAAAAAGAAAGGAATAAATGATGTTGAAATAAAAGAATTGTATTTTAATATATTTATTTTAAAGGCCATAGGAACCAAGTCATTTATTTTTTAGACATAATCCAGCTCTGGGACCTCCATATAGAATATTACTTGATACTAATTTTTTAAATTTCAGCATTTCAAATAAACTTGATATTTTTAAAAATACAATGGATTGTCTTTTAGGAAAATGTATTCCATATATATCTGATTGTGTGATCGCAGAATTAGAGAAATTAGGACAAAAAACAAGATTAGCTTTAAGATTATCTAAAGATCCTCGTTTTGAAAAACTTACTTGTGATCATAAAGGCACTTATGCTGATGATTGTTTAGTAAATAGAGTGAAACAACATAGATGTTTTATTGTAGCAACATGTGATAAAGATTTAAAACGAAGAATCCGTAAAATTCCTGGTGTTCCCATAATGTTTATCTAGAATCATAAATATACAATTGAAAGAATGCCTGAAGCATTTGGTGCTCCAAGATGATTTCTTAATATTTTTATTATTTTATATATTAATTGCTGATAAAATAAATGAAGATAAAAGTGAAAAAAATAAATAAGTCATTAAATTAAAATATATATGTAGAAAAATAAAAAGTTGAAACAGTATTAAAAAATAATAGATTGGAAAAAAAATATTGTCAGTATAAATAACCTCTTTAATAAACTATCCCTCTATTTTTATTTTGGGAAATTAAATTCCTTGATGATAAGCAAGGTAACTATATATATAATGTTTTTAATGAAATTAAATTTATTCATGAAAGAATTCTAGCTATAACTAAGTTACCCCTTAGGGAGATATTTAGATTAATCTTATATCTAGAGGCAGTTTCCTCTATGGATTAATTGTTGAATATGATATCCTTATAAGAACAGTCTTATGAAATAAAAAAGTCTATTTAATGGAATCAATAAATTATTTATCTATATTAAATATTTAACATTATTTTAATTAAATAATTTTAAAATATTTTAATTGTTTAATAATACATTTAATTTCATCTACAAGCAAAAAGCTCAAACGAGAGTCTTGAAAAAAATAATTGATCATATTTGTAACCATATTATAAAAAAACATTGAGATTCCATTTCAAACTCGGTTTATTTATAATAAGCAGAATTAAAGAATTACCATTTGTATTGGTATATTTTTAAATCATAAAATAAAAAGTGGCTTTCTAATTATTCTATTATGTAGTAATCAATAGGATCAAATTCCGAAACAAAAGAAGAAAAATAATAATTAAATAAAAATATAAAAAAATGACTACAATGACAGCAGGATTAATGTCAAATAAATAGAACAATATTACTTTGGGAGTTTTAGGTAAAATTGACCCATATAAGAGTCAATAAAAATTATCATCTTTTAATTAACTTAATTGATAATTATATATTTATTTTAAGAATATAAACAGTAACTTATATTTATTTAATCGATAATTTTATAAAGAAATCATTATTTTAACTATTCTCATTTCTTAACCTTAAGTTAATTGAATATCAATGTGAAATATATTTCATTTAATTTATATATTGTTTACAAATTATAGATTATTTATTCTCTATAGTATTTAAAAAGTGAAACAGTATTATTATAAATTTTTTTTATAAATATAAGACAAAAACTTGGTATCAAAGCTGTTTTAACCCAACATCTAGATTTTATTTGGATGAATTCAATTAATTCAATCTTCTTTTATAAATTGGATTTTTAACTATTTAAAACAGCTGATTTTCTGTAATAATCTTATCCCTCAAATTATGATGTTGCTTTGGGAAATATGATTATGATTGATTTCCATAAGAACTTTTAGCATATGCACAACCCATGATACTTGTTAGTTGAATTTTATTAATATAATAATAAAAAGAATAAATTCTCTTATAATATAAATTCGAATATAAAATAGTATCTTTTATATATATAAGTCTTCTTTTAATAAATTATTGTATTATAAATTATTTTAATATATAAGGGAATTTAATTTATAATATAATCTAAGTGAAAAAATTAGAGAAATGTTTTATTAATTAGTTTGAAATTATAAATATTAATGTATTAATCAAATGTTTCATCGTCAAGTGTAAAATTTTAGAGTGCAAAACAATATCAATAAGAATCAATTAAGGTAAAGGAATAATAGGATTAAACAATAAATTCTGAGGGTGATCTTGAATCTGAGTTTAATTAGGATGTATTTTCTAAGAAATAAAATAATAATCAAAAGAGTTAGAATTTTGAAGTATCAGAATAGGAAGTAGTTTCAATTGAAGCAAAAAAGGAGATTGTATAAGTAGAACAATTAAACACTGAAACATATGAAGAGAAACCTTTAAATTTAAATTTTGTAGGAATAGCATCAAATCAGAGATAAAATCTTTAAACTTATAAATCAACAAATAGAAAGCTAATTCCAATAAATCAACATAGTCTTAGTTAATCAATGATATCAAATATGACATAGAATAACAAAGGAGGAGGAGGGTTTCGTAAAATAAATGCTTTCTATTATGATAGAATAGGAGATTAACTTAGTTTAATAATTATGGATAATAATAATGTAATAAAATTCTTAGCAAGATAAACAGTAATTCCTATTCTGATTGGATTTGTGATATTAGTTTTAATTTTAGTTTTGTAGAATGAGATTGGAGAATATTGTTTTGTTGATGGAATTGAATGTTCTAGTTATTGGGTTAGATTATGGTCATTTTTCAAATAATAGATTGTAAGATTATAATTTATAATAAACAGCTTTTTAAATTGGGAATGATATTTAGTAAGGGTCATATTCTATACTAATTAGTATTAGGAAATAGATTAGTATAAGCAAAGAATGGAAGGCCATTAATGGAATATTTTGTTTTAATAATAATGACAGTTGTAACAGATTTTTTGATGATATTTTGGGTTGGATTCAATGAGGATTGGCTATTTATAATTTATATGTACATCCTAGGTTTTGTTGTATTTTTTAATACATTTAGGATGAAAACATGGCCAAATTATATTGCAAAAGGTTTGAGTTATTTCTTTTATGATTTAACAATAATTGGATTATTATTTGCATGTTTTAAATTATTTCCTTACATAAAATAATCATTTAAAGATAACAATTTTATTGCTTGGAATGAATATTATATGTTCGTCTACGCATTTTTAGATTTAGGAATGGAATTTTTTATGGATTTATCACTTTCTCTAACTAAACATAGTGAATTATATATTTATTAAGGTTAATTATTAATAATAGGTACAAGAGTTGGGACATTGATTTAAGGTGATATGAAAAGATTTGATTTTTGGTTTTGTTTATTTTTCTTAATAATTTTTAGAATCAATAATATATCAATAGTGTTTACTGTATTTTTTAGAAGAATGATATATTATGCAGTTCCTGATAGTTTAAAATATTTTGTATCAATGGAAGAAACAAATTTAACTAGAAAAGGTAAGAATGGGGCATGTTGGGAACATTTATTTTGGATTGTTTATTTTTATATGTTCATATTTTCAGGGAGAACTCTTACATATTGGGTTTATGATAAATCCTATATCTAAAATGGGTAATTTGAGACTAATATTTGGGATAGATATGAAAATTCAAATTATATGCCAATAATTGTTTGGGCATTTCTATTGATACCTGAATATGTTGGATATTTATTGAATAAATAAAAGAATTATGACAACATAAAATTATTAGGAGGTAATTAATTAAAGTTTTATGAAAACTTATTCATTAGAATACTAGGAGTATATTTATTTAATTTTGCTTTGATGAGTAATTTAATTTGATTCATATAATAAAAATATATAATATTCACAATCTCTCCATTGTAATTAATAATCTACTTCTTTTTTCAACCATTTTCTATTCTCGAAAATCAATTAATTCAAAACCTTCTTCCTTTTCTACTTTCTTTTCCATTCCTTTAAATAAAGGATACAAATAAACTAATCTACCTCCTTTTCTTAATACTTTTCTAGCAACTTCAAACATTCTTTTATAAATAGCAGTTCTATTAGCTTAAAGATCTTGCTCATTTCCTTCTTATTAAATAGAAGCTCTTATTCCATAAGGAGGATCACAAATTATAGCATCAAAAAATTAATCTATTTTTGGATTAAAAGTAGGTAAATGAACATCTGATTGAATCAAATTTGGAATTGGAAGATTATATTAATGAAAATTCATATTGATAAAAGGTTTAACTTATTAATAATTTGGATCTTTTAAATATGTACTCTTTTTATTAATGTATCCAATACAATGTCCTTTCATTAACTAATAATTTAACTATATATATTTACATTTCCATCTATTTCTGAACCAAAACAAATAGCTCCAAAATGAGAACAAGCAACTAAAGAACTTCCTGTTCCTGCAAAAGGATCAAATACAAAATCATTCTCTTAAACTTATGCTTAATTTGCCATCAAAAAAGCTAAATCATGAGCCAAAGATACTGGACCTAGATATATTCGATTTGATAATTCATAATTTCTTGCAAAATTCTTCTCTCTTTTCTTCTTTTTGTTTGTCAAAGTACAGCCAACTACATACTTCTAATCTTTAGTAATGATCACATAATAGAATATGTCTGGTTCTGTTAAATTTATAGTATTTTAACTATTAAATCCCTGCTCTCCAAAAATATACTCAATTAATTCTACTCTCTTTTCCTATGTGATTTTAAAATATGAAGTTATTATATCGCATTTGCAAGATAAATTTGGGTTTTAAAAATAATGTGCTGCCTAAGGTAAAAGATTCTTTGGTAACTCATCTATTGTATTACCTCTACTAATTGTGTATAGGATATCATGAATCAAAATTGATCGACTTAAAACTTTTGGAATCAAATCTAGGTCTTTTAATTAAACATCGACAAATGGATAATTTCCTAAAGTTTAAGATGTTATTTCATATTTCTTTGGAAATTAGTTAATAGGAAAATATGATTTGAACAATTATTAATATGGCAATCCATAGAGTTCAAATAGTTGAATTGCTTCTTGTATACCAAATTCACCCATTTCTATTGATTGGTTTATAACTAATGTGACAATATGTTCTTATTCTTGAATCATAAATTAAATATCAAGTTAATTTTTACTATTAACCAATGAATAAGTTATTAAATTAATATCAATCAATTTTCTAATACACCTTCCCTCCATAGTCCTTCTATTTCTTATCCAGTTTGAGATATAAATACTCCTTTTCCTTCAATCATTCCATCATAAAATAGACCTTAATATCTTTCTCCATTTGTAAGATATAAAGTTCCATTTCCTTACATTTTTCCCTAAAAGAAATCACCTTCATAACTTAACCAACCATTTTCAATGATACTAAGATCTCTATAATCAAAAGGACCTTGTATTTCTTGAGCTGAATAGTTAATCAATTTTCCTTGTCCATGATATTAATTATCTTACCAATAACCACTATAAACTTCATTTTCATTTTGATCAGTTAAGACTCCAAAACCTTCTCTTGTAGCTGGTTCATATCCTTGTCCTCTATAAATATATCCATCTTCATATTATAAGGCTAGTTCTTAAAGTTCCTATTATTATTCTTCTTCATTTTTTTGTTAAGGTTTATTGTACTTATGCACTAAATCTCTAGTTCGATCAATAGCATCTTGAAATTTCTTTTCAAGATCATCTTCTTATTATTATAAGATAGGAGGTTAGGAGTATTATTGGTTATGTTGATATGATGGTGCAGCTTAATAAGTAGACATAGATTGAGCTTATTTGGATTATCTAGGCTAATTAACTGATGATTATTAATGGAAGGATTATGTATATAGTTATTATTATGCTTGAATTGGAATAGATTATCTCACATATGGTTAATGTTAATAGGAAGTATTTAAGACCATTTATTAAGTTAATGGATTCACAATTCTTGTTTAATAAGATTAATAAATTGAATTGCTATGTCTAACAGGTATAATTGGTTAAATATGATAGACTATTGTTGTAGGAATTGGCTATTTTATAGATTATTAAAATACAGAATAATGTAACTGAGATGTTTATGTTTTAATAATGCTTTAGAGAGGAGGTTGAATATATCTAACATAAGAGATATATTTTGGTTAAGTGGATGAAGGAATGAAGGAAGGTTTATACATTAAAATAATTTTTATTTTGTATAATTATAATGATCATGCTAACCATTCTTATTCAATCTAATCTTCTAAAGATATACATGTAACCCTTATTTAAAGCAGGCTCTGNATAGTTGAATTGCTTCTTGTATACCAAATTCACCCATTTCTATTGATTGGTTTATAACTAATGTGACAATATGTTCTTATTCTTGAATCATAAATTAAATATCAAGTTAATTTTTACTATTAACCAATGAATAAGTTATTAAATTAATATCAATCAATTTTCTAATACACCTTCCCTCCATAGTCCTTCTATTTCTTATCCAGTTTGAGATATAAATACTCCTTTTCCTTCAATCATTCCATCATAAAATAGACCTTAATATCTTTCTCCATTTGTAAGATATAAAGTTCCATTTCCTTACATTTTTCCCTAAAAGAAATCACCTTCATAACTTAACCAACCATTTTCAATGATACTAAGATCTCTATAATCAAAAGGACCTTGTATTTCTTGAGCTGAATAGTTAATCAATTTTCCTTGTCCATGATATTAATTATCTTACCAATAACCACTATAAACTTCATTTTCATTTTGATCAGTTAAGACTCCAAAACCTTCTCTTGTAGCTGGTTCATATCCTTGTCCTCTATAAATATATCCATCTTCATATTATAAGGCTAGTTCTTAAAGTTCCTATTATTATTCTTCTTCATTTTTTTGTTAAGGTTTATTGTACTTATGCACTAAATCTCTAGTTCGATCAATAGCATCTTGAAATTTCTTTTCAAGATCATCTTCTTATTATTATAAGATAGGAGGTTAGGAGTATTATTGGTTATGTTGATATGATGGTGCAGCTTAATAAGTAGACATAGATTGAGCTTATTTGGATTATCTAGGCTAATTAACTGATGATTATTAATGGAAGGATTATGTATATAGTTATTATTATGCTTGAATTGGAATAGATTATCTCACATATGGTTAATGTTAATAGGAAGTATTTAAGACCATTTATTAAGTTAATGGATTCACAATTCTTGTTTAATAAGATTAATAAATTGAATTGCTATGTCTAACAGGTATAATTGGTTAAATATGATAGACTATTGTTGTAGGAATTGGCTATTTTATAGATTATTAAAATACAGAATAATGTAACTGAGATGTTTATGTTTTAATAATGCTTTAGAGAGGAGGTTGAATATATCTAACATAAGAGATATATTTTGGTTAAGTGGATGAAGGAATGAAGGAAGGTTTATACATTAAAATAATTTTTATTTTGTATAATTATAATGATCATGCTAACCATTCTTATTCAATCTAATCTTCTAAAGATATACATGTAACCCTTATTTAAAGCAGGCTCTGCTGATTTGGCTACTTTAGAATCATTGTATAAGATCCATTCTCCATTCTTTTTTATGTAAGATACATAATGTCCACAATGAACAGACTTTCCTAAATGAACAATACAAGCTAAATAATTTAATAGGATTGATACCAAATAATTCATATTTAGATGTCTGATTTTCATATTGATCTTATTTCTACTATTATTATTATTCCTATTTTTGGGCTGTTTGGCTCATTTCTAATTCTAAATCATGATTAAATATATAATCCATTGCTCTTTCCAGATTATTATCCTTTTATTTTAATCAATATATATTTATACTGTCTTAGATAATGCAAATCTGGCCTATTCTGGACTGAATCCCATTACTACTATTTATTCTACATACTCTTCACTTATTTATTGACCCTATTATTTCTATTATAATGGTTAATCTTAAGTTGGATCATCCAATGATTCCATTATAAACATCATCGCTTATTCTACATCATTCTTAAACTTTATTAGTGCTCTTTTACATCTATTCTCACCAAATCCCATTCCCATTAAAGTTTATAAATTATCTTCTGTATATTCCTATGCTTACTAATCTTTCAAAGCATCATCCTCTTAGAGTTAAGGTTCTTTGAATTCATTAAAATCATAGAATTATTGAATCTTTATTGAAGCATTCAATTTCTTAGGTACCCAATTCTCTTATACAAATCTTATTACTGGTACAAACAGATATTTTGGAAATGTCTTAAAGTATTCTTATTTTACAAATAATTAAAGAGATTAACATTTCGGACAAAACATATCCACTCTTTCTCCTTCTTTTACTAATTACAAACATTTTTCAAATGTTGTATCATATTCAGGTAAATCATTTAATTAAAATGGTTTAATATCTTCTGGTTTCATAGTCTTAATTCTTTCTTCATATTTCTATTTCTCCTAAACATGATAAAGCTCTATCTAATCTTAAGTTGGTTATTCTACTGGTACTTTAAATTCTTAATTCTTAACAACATTCACTTTATGTCCTCCACAATTCACACATTTTAAAATTGTTGTTTAATCATATGAAAAAATAGAAGATAATTATTACAATTTATACTATTTCTCTGTTTTCTAAAAGAATCCATTCAATAACTACCAATATTCTAACGCATCTTATTAATGATTAGATAAGAAATGTTAATTTCCTTTAGCTACCAATTATTTGAAATCATATAATCTTATACCATCCTAATAAAAATCCTTTTAAGCTCCTTCAGTATCCAATGGAGATTTAGATACTTTCTTTATTGAAAACTCACCACTATTTAATCCATGATTAACTTTACTAATTTAACATAATATACAATTGTATGGTAATTTAGTACAATTGAATTGATGTTCTAATGAATATAATTATTAAAATTCTGGAATACTAAAGAATACTTAAACTACTGAATTCATATAACAAGTATTTCCAATATTATCTATTCCTGTAAATTCAGGTCCAAATATAGGATCTAATACCTATCCTTCCTCTATCAATTTACTCAATTATAAAGTTAAATTAGCATCTAGTGTTAATTCAGCTATAGTTTTTTCTGTTTTTACTTGTTTTTCTATTTCAATACCATATGTAGCTAAATGTTCTTTAAGAAAGTTATCTATTACTTCATCATCACATTTGTAACAAAATACATCACCTTTACCATCAGATGTAATAGTTCCCAATTTTACAACTAAATGATGCTAATAATCTTTTGAATGATCAACTGCATGATTATTACCTCCTGATCCATCATACATTTTTCTACCACAACCAACATGTCCACAATATAAACATAACCATAAATTAGATGATAAATGACAGCTTCTGCACTTTTATAAATTCTTTTCAACCAATGGCATCTACTCCATTGTTAATGTATGTTCACATGGTTATGCTGTATGTTCCCATTATGCTATTGCTTATCTTTAAAATGCCGAATTAGCTTGTTTTATTGATTAAACTAATCCATCCAATTCAGGAGAATTCAATGTTTTCTAACATTATAAACAAGTCACACTTGTTTCACTCTCCAATTATGGAATATCTGCTATTACTAATTTATTGATGTCTTCCACTTTTTATTTTGGCTATTCTACTTCATATAATCGGATATTCAAAACAATATAATGATTATGTTGATCACTATGTTATGGACTATGCATCTCAATACAACCTCCATTAAAACATTTCAAACACACTTATATACCATTATCACTTTTAGCTTCCATAAAACACCTTGTACACTGATCCTTATATATCATCTGTCCCTATACTGACCATGTGATGTGTTATTCATTAATATGTTCGCAAATACTTGTCATTCCTTTTTAAATTTAATTATTTAATTTCTCATTAGGATTACTTACTCAAATTACTTTATTTGAACTTAAAATAAATATAAATAAATTGAATGAATAATTTTATATTTGATTTTTATGTCTTTCGATAGAATCAGAAAGAGCTTCAAATCCTTTCTAGGTTTTAATACTAGTCCTTAAATTGAACATTCCTCTCATGTATCCATATCTATTCCTCAAGAATACAACTCCTCAAATTCTTAATGCATTATCAATAATAAATTTGTTTAAATTGAAAAAAAGGAACAACGTATCAATCCTTACAAAAGATCCATTGACCGCCTTAATGATTATTATAAAAATATAGTCAAAGGAACTGATTTCTCTAAATGCCCTACAATCTAATATTCAAATAATCAAGATGAAGTAATATTGCTCTCTATTAACTTTCAAGAAACCTGTTATTGATCACAAAATTAATAACCCTAGATGGAAGAGAGAAGAATTTTCATAAAATTGCTCCTCTCAAAGTTAAAGATACAATTCAAATTATGAAATACCTAATCCTAGTTTTTTTTAAATTCCATCAAAAACAACTAAAAATTAAGCTTATGATTCTTAAATCCTTTCATAATCAAGAGAAAAATAAGCATCCATAAACTTTTAAAAAAAACAATTTCTTTCCTATTTGGAAGATAAACCTATCCAATTTAAAGAATTCAACGAGAACCCTACAATTGAAGAAAAAAAAAAAAAATCGTCATAAATCTCAATCAGAAGAGCAGAGAGCATCTCATTAGATGACTTAGATAATCCTATTGTTGATAAAGGAAGACAGACTATCCAAAAACCAGAAAACAATAAAAACCAATATGATGAAGACAATTTAAATACATCTGAATCTATAATTATAAAAAAATAGCCAATATCAAAATTTAATAAGTTAAATAAATAAGAACCAGAGTACAATCCCTATATACCATTAATAGAAACTAAACCAATTTCGCCTACCTCCTTTCAAAATAAAGAAGAATAATTAAAGTTACCAAACAAATAATAATCAGATAAAATTATTAAGATTCCAGATGAATAAATAAAGTAAGTTTAACTATAACCACCATCAATTCAAACAAATTAAGAACAATCTGATATGATCAAATAAGACCCTATTATTTAATAAAAAATAGAACCATAAATATAACAGCCAGCTATTGAAGTTAATCCCTTTACTTCTAATATTGAAAATCCACTCTTTAATGCTCCTTGGCTTACTAATCAGCAACCTATACAAAATTAAAATTAATCAACATTTAATCTATTTTAATCATAACCATTATAAAATGAGTTTTAGCCTCCTTTCATTTAGTAACAATAATAAGCTGTCTTTCCATTTTAGAATTAGACATAATCATAATAATAACAAAATGCATTTTCAAATGAGAATAATTTTTTTTCTTAGTAAGTATAACCAGCTTCAAATTAATTTATTACAAATTAAATGAGTTAAAACTTTTTTAATTAACCCAATCAATTTTAATCCTAATCACCATTTTAACAAAACCAATCATTTTAATAAAGTTAATAATCCTATAAAAATGAAATTTATGGATTTAACTAATAAAATAATAAAACTTTAAATGATATTAGTAATAATAATAACAATAATAATAATAATAATTTTTTATTTTAAACCAATTCTTTGGGTGGAGGTTCATTTTCAGCTGATGATTAAAATAAACCTCGCACTATTGATTTATTTTCAGCCTAGCCAGTTTAGAATTCATAAAGCTCTATAATGAATTAAAGTTAGGCAGTTAATTTATTTTCTTTAGATTAAAATACTTCTGCATAGTAACAAACAAATAAAGAATCTGATAGATATAAAAACAAATTTAAATAAAATACTGTTAAAAATTATGTTGGTACAAAAAGATTAGAATGAATATTTACATATTTTAATATAGGATAAAATAATTACTTTGAGAACATAAATAAACTCAGAGTAGACTATATAAGTAATTACAAAATGAATTTAATTAAATTTGATTTTTTTTTTCTGAATCTGCAAATTCCATCATCTTATATATTTCTCCATCCATCAAATTACACTTATCTTTAACAGAATCCATACCCAAAAGAAACTCTTCGCAAGTTATGATTGGGCATGATTGATTAAAAGTATAAAGTAATTTTTTCATTCCTGCAACAAAATTAGTTTAATTCTTAATAAACATTTTATTGAGTTTATTGGCAGCCTTTTTCATAATGATTCTATCAGTTTCATCTTTGTACTCTAAGCCAAAAGCCTCATAAAATTCACAAATGTCTATTTATCCTTTTTGGTCTTTATCAAATAATTTTAAGAGTTTAAGAACATAACCAATATCAATGTTCAATGCTAAAAATCCTTTTCTCAATTCCAAAACTGTTACAATTTGACTTTGATCTGTGTCAATCCAATCAAAAAATTCTTCAAGACCAACTTACTTTTTTTTCATTTTTTCAATGACAACTTCAATCAAGGTTGGCTCAATTTATTCTTATCTTTCAACTTTTAATTGTTGATAAGTTGCTAGATCTTCTTCAATAAGAATAGCCATTTTAAATTCTTCAATATCAACAGCTCCATCTTGACTAGTATCAATTAATCTCATCCAATTCATGATTTGATCAAATTAAGTACCTTTCATATATTTACTAAATGCAATAGCCAAATCAGTTATTTATTTTCTTTAAACATCTTTTGGGTAACATTAATAATAAATCATCAAAGGATCTAATTTATATTATCTTAAAACTTATCTAAATTTTCTCATATCTTAAAGTATACGTAATCCAGTATTATTTTCTCTAAGAGATAATAATTGTTATGCAGTTTTATTTGGATTAAGACATTCTTTAAGATCAAATAAGAAATCTTCAGTTTTAATCTTATTTAATTGTTTGATATCAAAGTATTTCATGATAATAAAGATCTCATTTGATCCAAAATCATTTTTCATAGACATTAATAGATCATCTGTAGTGATGTAACCTTTTTATTAATAATCAATTTATTCTACAATACCTTTAGGGGTATTCTTTAAGCCTTTGAGATATTTAATAAATTTTTCCATAACTCTTTCTTAGATTCTGGCAGGATCATCTTAAGGCTGACCCATTTTCATAGCTGATGTATTGAGAATATAGGTATGATCTTCAGCATTGCATTTACAATATATGAGAACCCTATAGAATTCCTCCCTCATAATAAATCCACTGCAATCATCATCAAAAAGCAAAGCAATCTTTTAAAGGGTTATTCCATCGATTTTTCCATCAAAAAATGAATCTAAAAATTCTTTAAATTCTTGAATAGTCAATTTTCCTGTAAATCTTTTGTCAGCACATCTAAAAAGCATTTCTACTGTCATTCCTCTTTCATTACAACATTTTTATAATTCTTTTAATACTTTTTCACGTATGTATAATTGAGAAGTATTTGCAGCCAATATAGATTCAAATTAAGGTATGCGTAATTCTTCATCAGCAGGCATAGCTAACTTAACTTTAAGTTCATTATTTTCTTGCTCTAACTATTAAGCTTGCAATTTCAATTTTTTAATAGCATTTCGATAATCCTCCATTTATATTTATTTACATATATATATCAAATCAATCTATTTCATCAAACTCAGTGGGTTATCCGAAGTTGGCAATTGTATTAATTTCTACTTATTCACTGCCATGTTCACTAGCTCCATCAATACTCTTTGAATCTCCTTCAACACTTCTATGTTCACTATGTCCATCTGCAATTCTTGAATTATTTTCAGATTAATTATCAGATTACTTATCTGAATGTTTCTCAGAATGATGTTCAGAATGCTGAGCAGATTATTAAGCAGATTACTAAGCAGATGATCTAACTTCACTAGTATTTGATTAAGTATTGTATGTTGATAGATGAGAAGGTTCTTCATTATCAGATGCATTATCATCCTACTATTATTCTTATTATTATTGTTATTATTATTATTGTTATTATTGTTATTATTATTCTTGTAATTACTACTATTCTTCTCTATATTTACGAATCATGTCTTTAAAATTTTAATGTTATCTCATATGTTCTTCTTCCTATTCTTTTTTATACTTTTATCTTTCTTCTCTTTCCAAATCTAATCCTCCCTTTGCAAAAGCTTCTGCAAATCCTAAAATTTAGTATATTTATATATTTTACTTCTTTCATCATCAAACACTGGTCTATCATCTAAATATTTTAAAGTCTTTATTCTATTTATGAAAGTCTTTCGATAATGTTAAATTTATTTTCCAGCTGTATTGTTCTGAAAATATAAAACTGATAATTGAGGGATTTTTAAAAATATTTCATCTAATATATTAGGGTCATCTATTTTATTATCTGACACATCTAAAACTGACAAATTTGGTAGGCAAAGTAATCCTTCTAAATCGCTAAGTCCATTTAATCCAACTCTATTTCTTTTGATTTGAAGAGTCTATAATTTTTAGCATTATTCCAAACTAAATATTTAATTAAATATGTACCCTTCAATCTTGGTTATCATATTATCACTTAGATTTAAATTGATTAGATCTGTGAGCATATTTAAGTTTTCAATTTTTCTAATTACATTCTCCTACAAATATAAACACTTCAGAGATGTTAAACAATCAAGTCCTTCAATAGTTGAATTATATTACCTTCAATGTTGTTGAGACCATTTCCTTCCAAGTAGATTACTTTTAATCCTGTAAACTCTTCCAGATTTTCAATCTTTTCAAAACCTTTGTAATGAAGGTAGAGACAATCATTAAGCTCAGGTGTAGTGTAATAAAGTTTGAATTCCTTTCTTAATAGTTTTTTTAAGTAATCTTTGGTTATTCTTCTCTCTTCCTGTTACATTATTTTATAATATAATTATTTGTTAGAATAGAGGGATGGTGGAAAATTATGAAATGAGGAGGAGATGATAAAAACTGAGTGATAAGATTATTAATAAAATAGTTTCATATTTATAGATCAGGCATATTTATATTTGAAAAAAGAAATTAAATTATTTAATATAAATGGGCGACAAGAAAATCAAGATCGATGAATACAAGGAGATTCGTTTGGGTGGATTCTAAGCCAGATCACATAATTGGTGGGAAGAAGCCAATCCCGAAGAGTCTGAGGAAGAAGAATAATAGGGATAAGAATGGAGGTATTTGGAACATCATGGAGTTTTGTTTCCCCCATTTTATAAGAGACATAATGTAGGATTAATTTATGATGGACAATTAATTGAATTAACAGAGGAATAAGAAGAGCTTTGTACATATTGGGCATAATCAATTGGCTCTCCATATGAGAATAAGGAAATATATAGGAAGAATTTCGAATCTCTTATGTAGACAAAATTTAAAGGGTTTTAATTAGAGAAAGCTGATTTTACAAGGATTAAAGAGTATTTAGAATAACAAAGATTATTGAGGTTAAATAAATCAGATGAATAGAAGAAATAAGAGAAATTAGAAAGAGATTAAAGAGAATTATTTTATGGTTATGCTTTAGTGGATGGTTGTTTAGAGAGGGTTGGTAATTACACATTAGAATAACCTACTTTGTTTAAGGGACGTGGTGAACATCCAAAAGCAGGATTATTGAAAGCAAGAATATATCCAGAAGAATTAACAGTGAATTTAAGTGTATAAGCTCCAGTCCCTTAATGTAAATTACCTGGTCATTCTTGGGGTAAGATTGTACATAGAAATGATGTTACATGGTTATTTTCATATGTAGATTCAAGTATAAGGAAAGATAATCATAAATATGTTTAATTTGCTGCTACATCTAGATTTAAATAGATGAATGATAAGAGGAAGTATGAGAAAGCAAGAAGATTGAAAAATAGTATTGATTAAATAAGAGAGAATTATACTAAAAAATTATAATCAGATTCAATCAAAGAAAGATAACTTGGAACAGCCACTTATTTAATAGATAAATTAGCATTAAGAGTAGGTAATGAAAAGGATGAAGATGAAGCAGATACAGTTGGTTGTTGTAGTTTGAGAGTAGAACATATTAAATTGAAGGACGATGATGTTGTTGCCTTTGATTTCTTAGGTAAGGATTCTATGAGATATAATAATGAAGTTAAATTGGCACATTAAATATGGAAGAATCTCAAATTATTTATTAAAGGAAAATAACCAGAAGATAACTTATTTAGTGATATAAGTGTAGATGATTTAAATGATTACTTAAAAAAATAGATGGAAGGACTTACTGCTAAAGTATTCAGAACTTATAATGCTAGTTTTACACTCTAATAACAACTTGATTTAGGAGGGGAGTTAGATGGTCATTCCATATAATAAAAAGTATATTATTATAATTACATTTTATAGGTTGATTTCTATGATAATGCAAACAAATAGGTTGCTATTTTATGTAATCATCAAAAAACTATTTCAAAATAATTTGAATTAACTAAGAAGAAAATTAATACTAAATTAGAATGCATGAAAACTTACATTTAAGAATTGGAAGCTCATTATAAGAAGAAGAATCCTAATGAGTATGAAGAAGAAGTCTAATTAGAGGAGGGGTCTCAAAAAAAAAATAATGTTTATCTTAAGAAGTTTCCAGGTTAACATGAAAAGATCAAATAACTTATTTAGAGGACAGAGGAAAAGTACTAGAAAGAACTAAAAGGTTTAGAAAAGAAGGAAGAAAATAAAGAAATTGCATTGGGAACATCCAAAACTAATTATAATGATCCTAGAATTAGTGTAGCTTTTTGTAAAGTACATGATGTACCTATAGAAAGGGTATTTTCTAAAACATTAAGAAATAAATTCATTTGGGCTATGGCTACCGACTCTAATTGGAAATTTTGATTATGATATCAGTCCATTCAATATAATGTATAATTTATATTAAATAATTAATCCCCTATTTTTAATTACCTCTCACTTACTTTCTATGTTAAAAGATTTCTAAAAATTTTAGATTGTGAATCAACAAGAGAAAATTGATAATGAATGTTTTAAATGTTTTACAATCAATCATGATTCAACAATTTTGATTGGGTGTAGTACATGGACACTCATATATATCTATTCAATCTTAAAAGATGGTCAGCTAATTAATACATAAAAGATATTAGATTAAGAATTATTACTTATCAATTAAGTCAAATTTATGAGTTCAGGCAAAACATTCATAACTATGGGGTATGGTATAAGTTTTTGGACATTAAATGAAAACAACGTTTGGGAAAAAGGGAATATTATTTAATTAGAAGTAAGAATATCATATCTTATATTCACCAAAGATGAAAAAAAAATAATAGTTTCTTTAGAGGGATCTTTATAATTTTGGAGTAAGGAAAAGTAAACCTAATAATGGAAAACCTAGTATTAATTAAATTTAAATGAAAAAACCACTAGTATGAGTTTAAATGAATCAGAAAAAGAATTAGTTATTGGAATGGAAGGATTAATACTTTTAGCAAGATGTTTCAATAATTATAAATGGCATTTCTGTTACAAAATAAAAACACTAAGTTGTTCAATATGGAAGATGGTTACTTTTTTAGATTAAAGTATGTTTGTATCCCAACCAAGCAATTATGAAAATTTAAGCCAATATCAATGGAATAAGTGGGATCAGAAATTGATTAGAGTAATTAAAATAGGATTAGGAAGGTTAGCTGATTTGAGTCGTGAAAATTCTATCAGTTTTGAAAAGGAGGGACAATTATTGTTTCATAAATTTCATAAAACATTACGAATATTTAGTTTTCATAATAGAGAATTAGTGTTATAGTAATCGATAACATTTAGTAGTTGTGAACATAATTTTTATAATTCCAGAGATTGTAGATTCTTGATAGTAAGGAATGGTAGAGGAATAGGGTTTTCTACTTGGCATAGATGACTATCATATAATGGATAGAAAATTGTGAATGTTTTTATTAGAATGAATATTATGATATGGGATATATATTAAATAGGAATAAATAAAATAAATGATAAATTTATCTGACAGAGAAAAAGCATTGATTGAAGAGATATGTGCTAAAAATACAAAGTCAAATAAAAAGATTAATCAAGAATAGGGAAGTCAAAAATTAGTCAGTCAATCAAGTACAAAAATTTTAGTTTCCAGATTAGAACGTAAATTGAATGAAGTATTTATGTATTGTAAAAATAGACATTACAAGAAGTTGATGATCAAAACACTGGATAAATAAATTTCTAACAATTAGGACGATTATTTACATTGTTAGATATATTCTAAGCTATCTCATACAATTAAGATTATCAGTTAGAGCCTTAAGGACTTAATAATCCTATGCAAAAGTAATTTAAATTCATTAAAATAGATAATAAGAGGAAGACTTACATGAGAAAGCATTTGCAATCATTTCAAACTTAGAAGAAAAAGCAGATATATAGGCAGCCTTTTGTTTATTTAGAGTTATTTTAGATCCTAATTAATTGGAACCATCTAAATGTGCTATTTTGATAAAAGAGTATTTAGAGAAGATTTCTGAGAAAGAAATTGATTATGAATCAATATTAAGATTTTGCTCTGAATTTTAAGCATATTAAAAAACTAGATTGTCTGGAGCTAAAATAGGTTATTTAAAAGCATCCCTAGCATAAAATTTAATTGAAACTTATGAAAAAACTTTAACTTTCAAACCATCAATAAATCCTATAAGTGAAGCTTTATAATAATAATCAGGAAAAAAAGAAAATTAAGAATAATCATCATAATTTTCAGCAGGATTAGGTGAAAGTAGAGTAAATGAACTCTATAGAAAAAAAGAGCTTTCAAATTAAAAGATAGAATATCTCAAATAAGAAAAACTTATGAAGGATATGTAAGAATGTACATTTAAGCCATAAATTATATCAAAAAAAGAATTACCAAATGTAGTCGATAGATTATATTAAGTAAAGAATAGATAAGAAATAGAAGAGAGAGTAAAATTGGCTGAACAAGAAAAAGAAGAATCAGAATATAGCAAATGTTCTTTTCATCCATAAATTAATTATTAAATGCCTGAAACTTAATCTACTGGAATAGGAGGATATTGGGAAGCTATAGAAAGAATTAGAAGAGCTAATGATAGAAAACATTTAAAAGATTTAAAATTGAATCATAAACCTAGTGGAGAAAACTATGAGAAATATAAAAATTAACCATTTTCACCTCCAGAAATGTTATAAAGAAGATAATGTAAAAAAGAATTACCGATACTTTATATTGATATTAAATTGGGACCCAGAAAAGTAGGAAGATTAGCATTGAGAAAGAATGATGATGTTGAAGAAGTAGTTTAATCATTCTGTAAGGTTTGGGGAGTAGGATAATAAGATTATGAATTATTAGTCAATCAAGTTAAAGAAAATCTTCAAAAGTAATCATCATTTATATTATTTTAGTGTCATTCAAGAAACAGAAGAATCCCAAATTTGATTATGAATATGGATACTTATTAATGAATATATAATATAAATCTGATTAAATTTTCACAATATTTCATTTTATTTAGATTGTAGTTGTGGACCCCATAAACCAAAATAATAATCTGTATTTGGTTGATTTCGAACTTAATCTGATTCAAGTTCATCTTATTAGGTCGAGTCATTGTTTTACGTTGGAGATTATTTTTAAGGATCTTATACTTGAGAAGGCTATAATTAATTCTAATTTTAGGAAATTTCAGAAACCTAATTCTGAATAACTTATTTTTATGGCTAATCCTAACTTTCTTTTGATTATTAATTCTCTAGTTCATTAGCTTAAATTTACGGATTTATACGCTAATCCAATTTTTAATTATCCCATTCAGAGCTTTTTTAAACCTAAGGATTGGGGATTTAAGTATTACACTGAAATGGTTATTGTGTCTAACATTGATTTTAATTTGATCTGGGCTATTCTTAATACCCATAGTTGTAATTTATAGGAATACCTATTTAAAGTCCATTTTAGATATTCTATTGTGGTACCTATTATTGTGGTATCTGCTATTAAGGCATCTGATATTGCGGTATCTACTATGGTGTCTAATATATTGGCATCTACTATTGTGGTTTTTGCTATTATGACATCTGCTATAGTGTCATCTACTATTATGGTATCTGATATTGTGGTATCTACTATTATGGTCTCTGATATTGAAGTATCTGTATCTGATATTATGGTATCTGCTAGTATGGTATCTGTTATTATGGTATCTTCTATTGTGGAATCTGCTAAAATTATTAAAAGCCTTAAAGAGGCTGTTAATAGTTTGCATTCATTTAGAATTATTATTATTGTTATTATTGATTTCCATTAATAGGAACACCTATTGGAGAAACCTAAATTTAATTTTACGGAATGCCTCCTGACGTATTTCCATAAGATTATTAATTAAAAGTAGGCTATTGCACATAGATAATACTGGGATCATTTGGATCAATAATAATTTAACATTGTTTTCTTGCAAAGTTTTCCAACACACGAGCATCAGGAACTCTTTAACCTTAATTTCTATATCTTCTAATATGTGCTAATAAACCAACCACTATTTTTAGAAACCTATCACATCCTAATATATTAATTTATTCTAACCCCCTGCTTAGAACCACAATTTAAATTTAGTTCTTCCTGGTAGTAGATTGTATAAAGGATCCACTATCCCTTCAAAGTAATTATTCCCAAATAGTGGTTATTCAAATTTCTCTGCACTTAGATAGGCCAAAGGAATATCAAAAGACTTAAAAGAATCCTTTTAATAGTTCTAATTTACAAAAACTATTCTACATGTTGTTAGAAATACCTAATTTAAAGAAAATTTTTTACTCTTCCTTTAGCTTTAAACTTACCCCTATTTTCAATTTTGAAATCTCCTTCCATTTCGTTTCTATGTAATATAAAGAACTCTTGGTCTACTTTTAACGGAACTCCTGTTTAAGTAATTGGTGGATTTAAAGCCATATTATTATTACAGGAAATAAATATAGAATGAAGATTTGATTAGTTATGAATAAAGACAATTATAAAATAGCATATGTTTTTATGTTTTATATAATATAGATATATTATTATACTATGTATCAACGATTTGTTTTTGCTACTTTTTCAAGTTCATCTCTTTTCTTAATAGTATAAGACTTTTATCCATCTTCATTGGCTGCTGCAATAAGTTCATCAGCAAGAGCTTCAGAAATAGTTTTCATTTTCTTGAAAACAGATTCTCTAACACCTTTAGCAAGATTATGTACTGCCTATATGAGATATAATTTTTATAATTACTTCATTGACTCTTCTAATAGGGGCAACATCGACAGCTTATTATTTAGCAACACCACCAGTACCAACTTTTGTGAAATCTTCTCTAGCTCCACCTCTTTAAACAGCCAATGATAATACTTGAAGAGGATTCTTACCTGTTAACAAGTGTACAATTTCAAATGCATGTCTTATTATGGCAACAGCCTTTACTTTTTTACCTGTATTACGTCCATGGAACATAAGTGCACCTGCCAATCTTTCTACTATTGGACATTATGCCTTTCTGAACTTCTTTCGTTGATATCTAATATAGATTTAAACAAATACCTTCCAGCGGTATGGGGAACAAAAACTCTTGATTTTGAAGTTTACACTGCAATGTAATCTTTAAAACATTAGTCTGTAACTTGAACCTCATCATAATCCCATTTGCCAAATAATTTAGGTTGATTTGCAAATTTCACACTCACTACTTATTCCTCTGCCATTTTAAAAATAAGGATTTATTTTTAATTTAAAAATTCCTAATACTAAAGAATATCCATAACATAATAGATGATATATAAAAATATAATTAAATAATACTGTCAAGCAGGTAATTAAGCTAATTATTTAAGTCTATCTTATTAATTTTTTACTAATTTTTACAATTCATCAATCTCTAGATTTTATTTTTTATCAATATCATTATTTTCTCTAATTGAATCTTACATAGTAGAAACAGTTTTCTATGATTCATCTAATCTAACCTCAATACTTTTTAAATCATTATTAAATTTAAGATTTTAGTCTTCTAGCTCCCCTTCTAATTTTGAATTTTTTTAATCAATCTATTTTAGTTCATTTTACAATTATTAAAAATTAACATTGATAGAATCTACACGTTCTCCAAAAATTACGATTTTTTCATTTAATTACTCAACATTTTAAGCTAAAATTTAAGAAAGGTTTTAAATTTTTTTTTATTCTGAATTCACTTATTCAATATTCTTATCAATATCTTATTACTTGAATATAATAGTTTCATTTTCTTTTTTAAGAATATCAACATCAGTTATATTTTCATCTAACATATTTTTATGTTAAGTTTAGAGTTCATTTAAATCTTTAATGTTTGTACTAATTTACAAAATATCTTATTTAATGTTATCTACAGATAAATTTACTTCTTTAATTTGATTTTGTTAGTCTTCTTTGATCAATTATTATTGTTATCTAAATAAATAAAAAAGAAATACTTGAGTTCTTGAATGCTATCAGCCATTAATTTCAATCCTTTCATTTATGTTTATTAATAAGCTTCATTTTAGTCAAGAATAAGTTTAGTTTTTTCTACAACTACTTATTGATTTTCCTCAATAACTTCTCTAAAGATTCTAAATTTATTGGATGAATCTTCATCCAACTTATTAACTTTATCTTCTAGAAATTGAACAGTTGCATTAACTGCTTCTAAAATTTGATTTTTTTCAATAGATATTCTTTCCAATAAATGTGTTTATTAATCTTCAATAACAGTTTAAAAGTCTTATCTAATCATATCAATATTCTATTCGATAATTGTCTATCTAGAATTCAGATCTTATTTCAATCCTTCAAATGCTGCTATATGTTATTTAAATGATTCACCAAATTTGGAAAATATCACTTTAACTTTTTCATACTTCTAAGCAGATGTCTTAATAGCCTAAAATAAATTAAAATTGTATTAACCTTGTTTATTTCATCATCAATATATAAGGATAATCTTTCTGCTTTTTCAGCTTGATCCTTCTCTAATTATTTTACTTATGTTTATAAAGCTCTATTAGCCATTTCTATTTGATCTTTTAAACTATTTAAATCTGAAACAATATCAGTAGCAATCGCAGATGTAAGATTTTTTAATTCTGTATCTGTTGATAATCTAGTTTGAACTTCAATTCTTATCATATCTGTTATTTTTTCAGTAATATTAGCTTAATGAGTCTTGAACAATTCATTTTCTTATTTGATATTCTCTTAAATCTTTAATAAATCTCCTCTTAATTAAACTTCATGTGAATATCTTTAAGCTTCTTCATTTTAAATATTTACTAGAATTTAATTCACTTATGTTTCAATAATAGTTTACAATGAACGAATGGCTTCATCTTTTTTTTATGAATCAACACGTTAAAATTATTCTAAAGATCTTAATTACGATATAACTTCCTCTCTCTCATATTACAATCTCTCCATATTGATTTAATCTTTTAAGCTCTAAGCTTATTTCATCTCTTCCATAGTTTTGACTCTCTATTCATGTTCCATAACAATTCTATTTATAACTTCTGTTACTCTAGTATCTAATCTTTAAGTATAATCTTATTATATCAATTATAACATTCCCTTAAACTCTTCTTAGATTCTCTAATTAGCCATATCTACTCTATTTATTTATTCATGATCTTTTAATTAATCTTTCTAAATTAATTAATTATTTAATCATACCCCTAAAGCTAATAAATTAGCCTCTAAAGCCATAACTCTTTTTTCTATTCTCTCATTTGTTTCATTAATAAAATTCATTCCAGAATCACCTCTCTAAGCTACTTAAATTAACGCCTTCTCTCCATTATATATTTTACTCTCCATTCCATTAATTCTTTACTCAAAATGCTAATGAGAAGTTGATAATGATTCCTATAATTTCTCTTACAATTCTCCTAATCTTACCATCTCCATAAATAATGCTTTTGTTTTCTCTCTCTCCTTTTATAAATGAGAACTTTCTTCTGTTATCTTCTCTTACAACATTCCTCTCATCTATAATACCTCATTAGTATCTTTATTTTAAGTGTTCTTTAAAAAGTACAACAACTCTTTAAGATTTTACTCTTAGATTGCCACTTTAGAACCCAATTCACTCTTCTGTCTATCTTAAGCTATAATCTTTGTTTCCAATGAATACATCTTATTCTACAAGTCTTCAAATATTTAGTTTGGCTATTA